CGCCGCTTTTAACAGTATTCCAGTTATATCACGGCGTGTCAGCTTAATGTGGGAGGAAAGCCCGAAGTGATGCAGGTCTCAGACGTTTACCACTTCGGTGAAACCCACGAGCACGGGTATGGTGCTGACAAACCTAGAAACATAATAGGGGCGAACCGGGATTCGAACCCACAATCATAGGTTTCTGGCGTGCCCAAGGGACGCAACTCTGCGCAGCGAATCGCGGCGCCTTAGACGACTGGGCCACCCGTGCCCACCACTAATCAAAGAGGGCAATGACTTCTACGTATACAATATACAGGTTTTATTGTTGTTTAACGCCGCAGTCAGCAATATTCTATGATGGCGGTCTGTAAATAATCTGTGAGTCTGACAATCCAGTGATCGATATCATGAACATCAATCCACGCAATTTGGACATGCGTTAACCAATCAGCGAGCCTGACCTCTCGATCCCGTCAGTAGCCTCTTACGACAAGCTTAGTCGCTTTTACGCAATAACGGCTTGGTGAACACCTATTCTCTACCCGTATCTTCACGGGTGCGACTTACATGTAAGTCCTTGTCCTTTTTTAAAATTGTAAACATATTAAACACCCTGCACTGTAAACAGAATCCGTATTTGTTACTCACTAGATCCACCGACATAAATAACTTTATGTCAAATAGATTACAGAATATTGAGCTACACAAATTTTTATTTTTATTTTTATTTCGATCACCTGAGCTCTTGTAAACATTTAATGGGATAACTCAAAAATACGTAAACGAATATATTATAAGTGTTACCCGACATTTACAAATTCATTAAAAAAAATAGTCTCTTTACTACTCCAGCAGTACGGAAAGATGAGTGTAGTTGTGTGTGCCCAAAGCTTGGTCAGGCAGACAGTCCGGCATGTCGTACTTCTTCCATGATATCTTCCCACGAGATTTCACGATAACAAAAATCATACGTTATAATACGAAAAAAGGCAGTGACAACGTTGACGCGTTCGCTCAGCCCCACGTTGTCGCTGTTATAGACTCTGACCCCTCGTAGCCAACCTCCTAGTTGCTACTGTTCAGACCGAAGTCGGGTTACATTGTGAGATACCGCTTCATTGAGAGCTGTTATAATTATAATGCATGTCACAGGGTATTGCTTAAAAGTGGGTCGGGTCCGGCCGGGCCACGACGGACCACGTTATTATTGGCTGTTTTCGCACAGTGACGTTTTAGGTTCTACTACACCAAATCAGAACCAGTCGTTCAACAATCAGTTTCGTAGCTTTGAGTTTAGATTGAATCATCTGGCAGCTGTGACTGAATGATTTGGAGTACTGTTTTTATGTTTTCGAAATGTACATCCATCCAGTAATTAAAACCGACCATGTTTTCCATATGCAGCGCTGTCTTTTTCAACATGATGACGTATGCTGAATGTGACCACATATATTTTCAAGCGTTAATCCATGTTAATAACTTGTTTGTCAGGCCACGTGATGCCAGCTTCTTGTGTCTGAAGCGGGTAACCTCCCAAAACCCCTACATCCCATTTCCCCTACAGCTTAAGACAACAAAGTTCACGGTCCATGGCACTGCTAATCCCTAGTCTGTTACCTATTTCATACAATGGAACAACCCAAGAAACACGAATAGATTGAGATAAATATTTAATTACGATTACGATATTATACAAAAATCATAATACATTATAATAAAATGTTCATTTTTCAAAATTCATAATACATTATAATAAAATGTTCATTTTTCAAAATTCATAATACATTATAATAAATTTCATCTCAAATGTTCAATTCACTCTTTATCCCAGCCTGAGGAGATGGCCAACCGCATCTAGAAACTGCATTGGGGATTTCTCCTCTCTATTCAACTCGTCCTTCAGGCGGCAGAGACGGTTCTCCACCTCTCTGTACACTCTCTTCCTGCCTCTCTTCCTTATCCTGGGACCTGTTGTACCGTGATGGTTCCACAGTGGTAGGGGGAATCGTGCTCCGTGGACGACCCAGGTAGTGACGATGTAGTCGTTGAAGGCGACAGCTCTTGGTACATCTGGTGTGTTGTCCATTGCGTCAACCCACGTGTCCTGGATCTTGTTCTGGGGGAGTAGGGGTAGGCCAGCTGCTCTTCTTATCCACTTGCAGACTTCAGGATCTTCTCGATACGTGACAGCTAGTCCCAGATCCTGGACCTTCCTCCATATCGCCTGGCAGTAATGGAAGAAACACCCCTTCACATCGGCAGTAGGAAACACGACTTGGACAGCTCGAATAGCAGCCATCTAAAAGTCTGTCTGGATGCATGACGGGGAAAGTGGTCTGTTTAGTCTCTGTTGAACTTCATCCTTGAGTAGCCCGAAGAGTCTTGAGTAGGTGTCTGTCTGACGGTCGATGAGTAAGGCGAAGATGAGGGGATAGGTCGTGGCTCCAAGTCTTGCATCGATGATGTACACTTGATTCCACAGTCCAGGGCAGGCAGTGAACGTCCCATCCATGTATAGAATCTCAGATGACTGCAAGGCCTCGAGACTCTCTAGACTGCCAAACGCCAGAATCTTGTCATCATCACCGTCAGCAAAAAGGAGGAACGGTCGTCCATCTGCTGTCTGCGTCCAGGAATCCTGAAGATCCACCTCCGATCTTGTCTGTGGCAAAACAGGAATCGTCTCCTGTCTGGGCCGGTACAACGCGCTGCTCATGGTGGGGAAGGATGGCATCATTCCTGTCAAATCGTTGTTCAAGTTGGAGAGTTCGTCGTTGTAGAGGGTGTGCATCGGGGTTGACTCTTCTCTCGCTCTCTTCCCCAGGGTGCTCATAAACCGGACCTTCTGGCTATCCTCAGGGGCATGGTTATGCTCTGTAGCTTTCCTCATCACGGTTCCTACTGTCGTGAGTCTTCCTCTACATGTGGACTTGACACACTTCCAGTGTACGCAAGTCAGTCTCTCGACGTTCTTAGTGTGAAGATAACCATCAAATCCCCTAAAGCTCTACCCCTTTCATTTCTACTACCTCTACTCCAGACCTTAATCTCTCCTTTAGGTGAGTTCATAATGCCAGACAGGTAAATGCCGCGTGTTGTTTTAACTAATTGTAGGGGAACTGGGTTGTAGGGGAAATGGGATGTAGGGGTTTTGGGAGATAACCCTGAAGCGTGTACATTGCTGACAGCAGAATAGATTACAACCCCCCTTTTTTAATGTAAACAATGAAGCATACCATCAGTTTGTTTTGTCAGGTGCTTTTGTGTGAATGGATGGTGATAGTTGTCAATTAAAGTTCTTAAAACAATTTTTTTCACTAATATAACTTTTAAATAATCATTGTTTTCCTCATTAACTGACTATTGGCTGTTATATCTTGTTTTATAAGTTGGTTTGACATTTAATAACTCTCAACACTACTTTCAGCTTTTAGCATGCCTGATGTTGACTGGGGAGGTATACACGAACTCATGAAAAACACAGCATTTGTGATTGCCCATCCATAGATGAATGACCGAATGCTGACAGTCATTTAAGTGTTTGATTATATAAACAATGCAGGGGTGCTAATTTGCTTAATCTCAAACAAACTCAATCATATCATGTCATGAGTATCCAAACAATATTCCATGAATGAGGCAGAATCTGCGATGATGACAGAAAGAAAGAAAATATGACAGCTCATCATGTCAATATCATAACGGTCTGTGTTGTTCTGTTAACTTGATTATATTAATATAAACGTACATATTAACATGTATCTCGCATTATACAGCCTCCCGGCAAGACACACAATGTGTCTCTGAAGTCTACACCAAATCATGGAGTTACCAATCACCGGCATATCAGGGGGTTAGGCAAACATATTCACTTGTCAGCTATGACAAGCTACGGTCTATACCCATCCAATATGCAGGTGATCAGTAACGCCGTGCGTAATTTGGAATGTGCGTCAGATGTTCATTGTGTGGGAGTATTGCAAGCGTTGAGGCATCAGAAAGGTTGAGAGCATCTCTAATAAACAAAACGTTACGTCAAACAATCATTCATGGCCACGTCTACTTACGACAATGAACCTCATTTTGCAAATGAGATTAGCCTCCTTGCACCAAGAGTACAGTAGATAGAAATGTCGTACTTATGTCAACCAATGCAATTGCGTGTCGTGAATCGTTTGCGCATCGTTATTGGCCTTGGGAAACTTTAATTACCATCAATTCGATACCATTTAAAATGCCTTTTATGAAATCATAGTCAACATGACGTGACTGGTTGACTCGAGTTTTTTCTCGGGCTCCCCTCGTTGAACTGAATTTGGTATTATGAAGCTCGATTTTTCAGGTTGAATGCAGTGCTTTTTAACTTGGCGATTATTGTATTCAACAACACATTTTCCAGCAGGACAACGCTCGTCCACATGTTGCCTGAGCTACCATGGCCTTTCTGCAACAACACAACATCCGTGTTCTACCGTGGCCAGCCCTCAGCCCTGATCTGAACCCCATCGAACACTTGTGGGATGAGGTTCAAAGGCGTCCGTACAATGTACGCCCAGTCCCTACAACTGCCGACGAACTACGCACAGCTGCTCTGGATGTGTGCAGGAGGATCCCTAGGGCCTTCACAAATCGTCTGATCCACTCAATGTACAGGAGATGTGTGGCAGTGATCAATGCTAATGGTGGTCACACCAGGTATTGACTGACATTTTGAGTATTGACCCGAAACTGTGTAAGCCCTTAACATTTGAAAAAAACAATTATGTCATCTGCCTTTTAATCCATTAAGCTGTCTTCAGTCAAATTTTTGTCAATCTTGCCCTATTAGTATAATTTTTTCTTGTCTTTACTGTTGAAAATAAATAACATGTATACTGCATACTCGACATGCGTTTCTTTTGCGTGTAAGTATACATGAGAAACGTCTGGTCGAATTTGCCTGTTGCAAGGGTGTTATGCTTAGTCATCGGTGCACGGGAGTGTGATAAGAGAGCTCATTGAAGCAATATCTCACAATGTAATATGATTTCGGCGTGAGCAGTAGAAACTGGGGGTTTGTCTATCACATCAAAAACATGGGTCTGAAGGAAAGCGCTGTCGCTGCCTTTACCCTTACGATAGGATGCTTCCTGTCAATTTTCGTGTTAATTCGTATGGTCTTTGTTGGCGTGAAATATCGTGGGAAGATATCATGGAAGAGGTACGACATGCCGGACTGTCTGCGTGACCCAGCTTTGGGCACACACAACTACGCTCATCTTGAGGTGAGTGCTGCCGTGGTGGCTGATGTAGAAAATGAATATATAAATATAGTGTGTAGCTTAATATTCTATATTCTATGTGACATAAACTTATTTATGTCGGTGAATCTATAGCTAGTAGGTAGAAAAAAACGGGGTCTCTTCACAGTGCAGAGTGTTTGCAAAAGAGAATACATGTATTTACATGTGTCATAGAAGGTATTGTCATCTTTATTTAGAGACATTTAGAGTGGTGGGGTTTTGGTTTGAGAACAGTAAAAGTTTTAATGGTATGGAGTTCATTGCTCTCCCAACATAAGTATGTGTTCAATCATGTTTTTAAACAAACAAAAATAACGAACTGGTTTTTTTTGTTTATTGCAAAAGAGACACATTATTTTTTCATATAATGTGAGATATTCTTTAGCAAATGGTTGCTTCTTTATTCTTTTTAAGCTATGAAATTGATTATTTATTATATGAAAGGTTAACCGTTCTATTGCTTTGTTACAAATTTGTAGTTGTATCTTTTTATCGTATATCCACGTAGATAGATCAATCAGGAAAATCAAAATAGATTTATATTTTTAATTTTTATTCTGATTGAGACTTTTGCCTCCGATCCGTCGAATTCGTAAATCGAAAGATAATACAACTATGACAAAACAGATAAACGCTGTATGACTAGTATCATTTAAAAAACCCAAAACACAACAACATTATGGCAGTTTGTTACAGAAAAATACAAGATTTTGAATTCCAATTTTAATAATTATGAGTGACTGAGTAGGATTTTAACACCGCCTAACACCACAGTATTCCATATACACATTTCTATCTTTTTGGTCACCTCTTAATTTTTGGCATTGGTAGGAATTATTACCTCATGCTTTCAGGTTCAATAAGTATCTGAAACTGGTTGACTGTATGTGTTAGCGTGGGTCATGTTGTTTGCCTGCGACAACTGGACGATTTCTAACTACAGGGTAAAACAACACTATTCACAGTGTTAACTGGCAGGCTCTTATCAGTTGTTTGTGTCACGAGGGAAGCCCAAAGCCTTAGGAATTATTGCTGAATGGACATTTATTGTGAACCCTTCAACTCTTATCACATTGTTATCAGAAGTATGCCAATATATTGACCTGCACAGCGTGACTTGCAAATACGGGCCCGTTGCACAGTGTTGTGCAATAGCACAATCAATGAGACAGCTCGTTATAGAATACAGAAACTCTAAAGTTAAAGAACGTCCACTTCTTTGATATTACTATAGTTCATCCGTCATAACTTGAGAGATTAAGTATGAAAATATGAACGATTCGGGTGTTCTTTCACTTCTTTTGAGTAGTATAAATATCTAAATCATTTGCTAAGGGCTTCATTTTGTTTGCAAAAAATATAGCTCGAATAATGATGACTATAGCGAAAAACAACCATAATATTACTTTAGTAATCCAGAGTAAAATAGGTCCTCATGCTTAAGTGACAACTAAAATTGGGATCAGATGGTTGATATGTGTGACAGTGCTGTTTGTGTGTTGTCGCATACCCCGACGGTGTTCGTCGCTGCTCACTTTGTCCAGACACAAACATGAATTGTGTGCAGCAGGATAGCTGTGTCATCGCGGAATTCCGCGAAAAACATTTATTCCTACCATGAGGTATTTTAGTATTTTAGTTGTAGTTGCAAAGTTAAGAAACAGAACAAGTTTACATTTCATAATAACACATCGATTTCATTGATGACAGCAAACCAACTTACTTATTATGATCCAAAGGCTATTCGTCATATTTGAACAAATGTACCTAACACATTAACCGAGTTATCTTACTTAACAGCACATCCGCCTTCACTATGTTGCTGCCGGGGACGAGGACAAGCCGTTGATGTTGATGGTGCACGGCCTTCCCGAGTTCTGGTTTTCGTGGCGTTATCAGATCAGGGAGTTCAAGAAAGACTACAGGTGGGCCCCCCAGAACACGGCAGGAACACACCTAGGGCTTGATATATAAATACTAGCACCGGCTTCAAACAAATATTCTTTACTCCAAATCGGCTTTAACCCCAAACCAACTCACTCACCAAGTTATGTTGTTTGAACATAACATCCTGATAATTGTTTGTGCATGGATATTTTGGACAACCCTACAAAGAATAAGTCTATCCGAAATATATTGCGATATTTCTCTCTGTGGCTCTCAGCTAAGCTTCACTATAACTGTACTTTCTGCCCAGAGTGGTTGCCATCGACCAACGGGGGTATTCGGAGTCGGACGCGCCCTCTGGAGTCAACAGCTACAACCTTGGTGAATTAGCCAATGACATCAAACAGCTCATACCAGCTCTAGGTAGGTTCGAAGATTTCCGATAAGTTGTAGATCTTTGAAAATAGGGCACGGGTGGCTCAGTCCCCTAAGAAGCATTTCACTGTGTAGAGGTGCGTCCTTGGCGCCTATATCGGGGGTTGATAAGCTGACACAGTTAACGCATAGGCTGTGATTATGACGGAATTACATTTCAACGCGTTTTGAACCCATATCGTTCACACTTTGAAACTATTCTTGACTTGTTTCATCGTCTATTCGCCGGTCTTGTATTTGGTCCTCCATCCACATACCGACTACTATCGGCTTAAAGTGTTCAGGGTGGTGGATGAATGTAGTGTGTACCAAACTTGTGAAGTGTTAACGATGGTCATGTTCTTAGGTCATTATGTGCTACTGATCTTGGTGAGTCATGATGACGCATGTTCATAAGTGGCTACACGCTGTCGTATGGATGACCACAACCTTGTATGCAGGCTACAGATCGTGTGTGTTGTGGACCATGATGATACATGTTGATATATGACTGTAGGCTACAAGTCCTGTATAATGGTGGGTCATGACTGGGGTGCCGGTACAGCGTGGACAGTGGCTGGAATGTACCCTGAGCTGGTGGACAAGCTGATCGTCATGAACTTCCCGCACCCTCTGTCCTTCCCGAAATACGTCGCCACACACATGTCCCAGTTTAAGAGATCTTGGTACGTTCTCCATGTGTCAAGAACATGTATGTGTTACCCGAATGTATGTAATTATAAGTATTAAATATTTCATTTGGTTTTTCGGTAAAAGTTTTGGGTATAACAATACTTTAATTTCACCCAAAATTTCAAAGAACAAGCCCCTCCCGTTTGTAAATACAGTAAACTACGGTTATAACGAACTCAAAGGGACTACTATTTTTAGTTCGTTATAACCGTAGTTCGTTATAAGCCTATATACAGCATAACCACAGCAAATAGTCGGGACTAAAAAGTATGTTCGTTATATTCGTCAGTTCGTTATAAGCGTGTTCGTTATAACCGTAGTTTACTGTAAATGCGTTCGCGATCACCATCCCTCCTGAATGTAGTTGTTCTTCGTCCAAGGTACATGTTTCACATCCCTTCTGCAGGTATGCTCTTCCTGATATTGGTTCATGTTCTTCCTATTTCTACATATTCTTTCTCCTATCGGTACACCTGTACATAGGTTCTTCCTCCGGTACATGTTGGTGCTCCTGCTTCCTTATATATACGTTGGTGCACTTTCTTCCTCCTGTACATGTTGGTTCTCCTTCTTCCTCCTGTACATGTTGTTTTTCGTTCTTTCCTCTGTTAGCACATGATATACATACGTACTTCTTCCCTCTCGTAGGTTCCAATTCTTTTTCTCCGTCCCCTTGTTGCCGGAGCTGTGGTTCTGTATCCGGGATAGGAGGATGTTGGAAAACTCTTTTAACGGCAGAGTCTAGGGGACTCGCTGTACGCACCTGTCGCCGGATGAAATACAGGCTTATAAGTTTGCCTTCCCAACATTAGGTAAGTGGCAGTTTTTACATTCTAGGTAATTATTCCCAAGTCACATCTCATTTACGTCACAATAAAGATAACTTTATGAGGACAACTCGTCAGAAGGTTGCGTCAGGTGAACCATGAGAACTTTGTCCTCTCAACCTAAATGGAGGATGCGTAGGTTCTTGAGCTAATCAGATGTCCACTTTTTAAAACGGTTCGGCTTCATTTGTTTACCAACTCCATTCAGAAATTTGTACTAAATCCACACAGAACACTAATTTTCCTTCGATCATACTCCCTTATGGCTGTATATGTCATGTTGCTCACAAACGACAGGATGTATAGCATATCGAAAACAATCAATATGATCAGCATTATGACATTATATTCCTTTACGGAAATCGCATAAGCTGGTCCGAATGTTTTGCTCACTGTTACCGAAAATTTAGGGGCCTCGTCGCAGACTTGTGGATTAGAAAGTTTACCTAATACGATCTTCCTCAGATCTTTACGACTTTAATATGATCGATCCGAGAGGCGTTTATCCCAAGTGACGCACATATACCGCACTCATTCGCACTCATTTATAATAATTCAATCAATATTATATATGCATACGCTCTTGTCACTTCAAGGCAGCTTTACCGGCCCCATCAACTACATCCGGGCATTCATACGCACCATGCCACCACAAATGAAGAGGATAACTACCCCTACCCTTCAGATCTGGGGTAGCCAGGACGGGGCGTTCGAGAAAGGAGTTGCCTTAGCTTCAGGGGAGTACACCGACTCCCTGACCACCAAGTATGTGGATGAGGCCAGTCATTGGGTGCAGATGGACTGTCCAGACGCTGTCAACGCCCATATGAGAGACTTTTTAAGCGTTCCTTCGTAAAGCTACTTCTTTTGAAGGTGCAACGAACCTAGTATATACGAATGCGTCTTTTAAGAGGGACTGACTTATGCCTAAATGGCAATCCCAGCTAGTTGGAGCCAGTTTCGAACACGTCTATGTCTGCTTATTCGAATGCATTATATATATGATGTCAATCTAGCTGTTAATGCTTACCCTATAAGTAATTACACTGATACAATGTCTCAGTTCATTAATTACAAGGTACAATGAATGAAGCTCATTTCTGGTGTCCCCCGCCGTGAGATTGCTGGAATATTGCTAAAAGTGGCGTAAAACCATACTCACTCACTCACTAATAACAAGGTCTAGACCGTCATTCAAAGAGCCACAAATCGTAAGTGTCCATCTTTAAAAACGCAATTTTAAACATTAATTTAGTGTGACTGCTTTTAGAACACATGTGGTGTGTAAGCATTTGATGGAAAGAAAGACCAGTAATTGTGACATATGATAAGGGGTCGTGCGCGCTCGCGTGTGTGTGCACGTAATACGCAAGTAGAAACCAGTTGAGAAAGCTTTGATTAACAGCCATGACATGTCAATAGCCTGGTATTCAATATTTTTATGTATGTATATTAAGCATGACATCATAGACAATTTATGATGTTTAACTATTATGTTTTCATATGTTACATGCTTTGATGTAATCATTTTTTTACTTTTCTAGAATATGAAATGCTTTTATCAAACGATGTATTTTTTAAAGTTTTTACAAACTTTCAATGTCAATCCCTTTTCCTGGTTTACTTCCATATACCAATAAACCCTTAACCTTTGAATAATTAGCAATGAAAATACATGTCTGAAAGCAGTGATGGATTCTTGCTTATACATGCATGAATACTTACTACATTGTAGCATGCTGTGTTCTGCGTGGCGGGGCAGTGCTCGGTCTTTACGCCAAAGGCCCAAGTTTGAGTCCCCACATGGGTACAATATATGGAGACCACTTCTGGGTGTCCTGCTGTGATTTTGCTGAAATATGGCTCAAAACGGCGAAAGGCCATACTCACTTACCAGTTAAAATAAAGTAGGAAAAACACTTGCAGCAACTCCCACATCAGCATATCTTCAAGGAATGAATGTTGTTCTGAGTAATATTCCAGCCATATAACCGTTACATGACCATAGACCAGACAAACCATATTCTTGACACAATGAACAGCAATATATGCTTTTGGGTCGACGTCCACGCACCACCATCCAGGTCACACAATTAGACCATGCCTCCGATTTATATTTTTGCTTTTGTGATAAGCATTGACAACTGACCCGGAGAAAAAATTCATAACCATTAGATTCCAAATCCTCATTTCCGTACTACAGTTCAAAGCGATGTTATTGATGCAGTAGGGCACTTCATTCATACAAACTACATGTACATACGTTGGTCAATAAGTACATTTAGCCAGAAACATCTAAATGCGGTTATTGACATGCCAACACCAGTTTTCAACTATAATATTTATACTGCCACATGTCAATGTGTAGTAGCACCTAGTTGTCGGGGTCGTGAACACACAACAAACGGCTACAGGGTGTGAGCTGATGGCTGTTTATTCTCCCAGAAGAGATATGAGAAAGACAAAAAACGGCCTGTAACAATGTATAAATAATAAGATATTTACATATATATATATATATATATATATATTTATATAAAATAACCATATAAAATAATATAATATATAATAATATATTATAACATACATAGTGGCCTTAAATCTAATGGACATTCAATTACATGAACTTAAAATAGCGAGAAACCTATGTTACTCATGTAGTAAGTAACCTGTCCAAAATTGTATTGCATAATGATACAGTACCATATATGCTTATGGTGCTAATATGTATTTAAATTAAATCTAAACCCTGCCCACTGTTCATTAGACAAGTACAATACTACGTGATAATTACTAAGACATATGACGTCAGGATATACGCAGATGCATACATATATACATTGTACTTATATAGTGACGTTCATTAGCTTTATATCATTGATAACCTTGTACATAGTTAAAAATTACCAATATATGGCTGTGGTCATTTAATGGAAACCTGGCTAATTTTGTTAAGCGAACAATATCCCATGGAAACCACGGAAAGTAAAGATGACAGCTCATCATGTCAATATCATAACGGTCTGTGTTGTTCTGTTTTGTCAACGTGATTATTTATTAAAAATATACGTACATATTAACATGTTTCTCGTATTGTACATGCTCCTGGTGAGACACACAATGTGTATCTGATGCATACACCAAATCATGGAGTAACCAATCACCGGCATATCAGGGGGTAGGCAAACATATTCACTTGTCAGCTGTGACAAGCTACGGCCTATACCCATCAAATATACAGGTGATCAGTAACGCCGTGCGTAATTTGGAATGTGCGACAGATACTCATTGTGTGTGGCAGTATTGCAAGCGTTGAGGCATCAGAAAGGTTCAGAGCATCTCTAATAAACAAAACGTAACATCAAGCCATCATTCATGGCCGCGTCTACTTACGACAATGAACCATGAGATAAGCCTCCTTGCATTGAGAAGATAGTCGTAAGAAATGTCGTACTTATGTCAACCAATGCAATTGCGAGTCTTGCGTCTTTTGTGCGTCGTTATTGGCCTTGCTTAACGGTAATTACAATTAGTTTTATACCATATAAAATACACATGCACCTTTTGTGAAATCATAGTCAACATGACGTGAGTGTTGACTCGATCGTTTCTCAAGCTTCCGTCGAATACGCTGAACTGAATTTTATATTATGAAGCTAGATTTTCCCGTTAATGCAGAGCTTTTTAACTTGGTTAGGTTTGTGTTTATGCTATTATAGACGTGATTTTCGAATCTGCATGCAATGGATTCTTGAGAATGCTGCGCCCTTCAATGCCATACTACAGTGCATGATCAAGTCATCAGCTACGAATGCTGTATTCACCCTGCTAGCTTTATCGATAACGTGATAGATGGTGTAACGTCAGCCAATGCCTTTAAAAGAGATGACACAGCCAACCATTGTCGTTTAACTTGCACCCTGATCACCGTGATTTATCATATAGCCCACCTCCCTCCTGACTAAATAAATATAAAACTCTACAAGTGTATTTATCAATTCAATAACACAATAAAATTATAACGACAAAATATTGTTGACAGTACCATTTGAACCTGTATACATAGTCTTCACACAAAACAACCGGAAGCTTAAAAAAGAAATGACAACCAGTTCAAATGCATCCAGTCGTGCGCTCGCTTCCTGATAACATAAATAAAATGTTATTCTCAAAACATGATTGATGAATTGATATATTATCACAGACACCTGATGTCTGTTCATTAAAAATCTATATACAATCACATCAATACGTAATCTGAAAAAGATTTCTAACGCTAGTTTTCACACATTGAACCAGAGGATTATATCTATTTCGGTTTAAAGGCACACATATTTATAAATAAATACAAATATTACGAGGGGTTATTACTCAAGAGCCCCTTGAAGATTCCATGTTAGAATTGTTTTTCAGCAACCCATGCGTGTTGTGTCATAAGAGGCGACTAACAGGATCGGTCGTTCAGGCTCGTTGACTTTGTTGATGCATGTCATCGTTTCCCAATTGCGCACATCGATGTTCTCTTGATTGTCTGGTCCAGACTTGACTATTAATAGACCGCCGTCATATAGCTGAGTGCGGCGCTTAAAATCAAACAAACAAGCAAAACAAAAAACAAACAAACAAAAATACACTTATTCGCATATGGCCTTGAATTATACTTATATTACCTGAAAAGCAAAAGTTTATATTTGTAAGTATAGTCAAGGCTGTAATACTCTTTTGTAAATAACGCAGGTCATGATACTTATTTGAATTGCGGTGCCTAAGACGACTGGGCCACCCGCGACTCCTTCATCAAAGTGAATGACCATGTAGTTAACTGGAGTAAATGCCTATACAAAATCCGTTGGCCTGCATGTACGGACATGCTTGTGAGATCCCGATGGCTCTTAAGATAGATGTTGTTGTTACACACGAATATATCTCCGAAAATATTCCTCGTAAAGTGTGAACTTGTAATGATAGTCTTGTTACGTTTCAACCGCAGGGTGTAATCATGGGTTTAACGAGCATCTACAAGCCCAATCAGCTCATAAAACCCCAGTCACCCGTATTAATACATGTCATGTAAATAAAAGCAAAAAGGAGTCCTTGCAAGTTATAATTTAGTCTCATAACTAGGAGACTAGTGACCCCATCTTACCTACAGCCTAACAATATAATATCTCAGACTGTATTAAAACATAAAATATTGCAAAGCGATGCACCGATAGCATATCGAATCATCACAGCTCTTACCAGTTTACTATGTATGGTACTTCAGTAGGACTAGATGGGATACATACCGGTAATTATTATGCTGCATCGCGAACAAATTTAAAAAACCCAACAGATTTGTAACAATAAAAACATATTTTTCGTCAAATAAACATTTGTAAATATATTATTACCTTATCATTCTTACAGCGAAAGTTATCAACATGAACGTTATAACAAGCTTCCTTTATCTCTCGTACCGTGACAAAACAACAATGGATGTTATTTTTAGCGACGTCTGATTGTTCCTGACATAATATTGTTTTGTGTAACATGGAAAATAGCATACATATATCTTTATGGTAGAGTTTCTCATGTGTTGCAGTACTAACAATCTAATTGTCATGACATTATGTCAGTACGCTATATTTTAGGCCCTCTGTACACATTACTGTTGGAGACAATTTTATGTTAAGTCTGTTTGATAGTTTAAGAAAATATACCATTTTGCCTTTACTCAACATGGTCTCCAGCATAAAAATGCCTCTCAGATGAGATTATTCCACAAATCGTTCGCTGATCACCTTTTTATACATATATGAAAAGTCTTGATAATATATAATATTAATATTTGTATGTGTTTCTACAAGTGTCACATGTATATTACAGAAAATCTCATGTGTTTCCGTCAGTGATCTGAGCATCACATATTTACTTAAGAAAATCAGTCATGTGTTTGTTAACTTGGTCCGGAGTGTCCATCATGACCCAGTGACTAGCCTCCTCTATGTATTTGACTGTGTGGTTGTCTACAACAGCACTAGCAGCAGCGGCCAAGCCTGTCTCCAGGGCTGTGTCCTTGCAGCCCCAGATGGTCAGCACCGGGCAGGAGATCCTCGGGATCCTTCTCGCTGGGAACCGCATTGTAGCTCGATAATAATTGATGGCAGCTGTGGCAGCACCTGGAGGTTGGAAACAAAAGCTTAGCATGGTGTTGAATACATACAAACAATCTGCATGAGTCGCAGTGTCACAAGCTGAAACTCCCAGGGTTGGCTCCAGGTGTCCAAGATGCTGGCTGAGTGGGGCATTGAGAACAAGAACAAGCTAAGGGCCATGGGACTAAAACCCCTTGAACAATTGATTATAAACAGTACGGATCCTATGTATATATGTTACCTGGTCAATAATGTCCATAGGCAAATGGTCATTTGACTAATCAGTACCCACAACTACATGAAGCTCTTGAAGGATGAGAATGTAAGACATCGAGACAAGTTAAAGTATTATTTGTGGACATCAGTACTGACAATTCATCTTAATATAACATGAATAAATACTGATAATCGTCATACTCAGTTACCTTACAATGTGCTCTTATTCCAAATACATGTACCCAACAAACTCCCTGACAATCTATTGAACCTAGGACAACTCCACATGTACAGCCTTGACATCAAGTAAAATAATGCAATGATATCTGCTGAATAAGTAGGTTAAAGTACTCCCCTTCCGCCACAAAACAATTCCAACAGGTCATCACAGCTGTGCTCCTATTACCATAATATCATAATTTGTAACCATTACACAGGTACATTACATTTACCTGGTCTAGAGAAAGCATATTTGTAGGCCTCTATATCGTCAGTGCTGCATTTGCCCGTGGTGACACCACCCTTACGCCCCGTGAAGATTCTTTCCAGAGCTTTCATGTCATTTGCTCTCAGTGACAACTCGGGAAGAAATGGAACTTGGAAGAAGAATACGTACCTGAAGCAAATACCACTCACTTTATATAACTCGGAAAATAACCCGCTGGCAGTGTCGTAAAAATATAGCCTCTGTAGCTCTGTAGCACAGGCGAAGCAGTTTTCTGTAATATTATATTACCATTATTTGACCAGAAAGGTTATACAAACACATGCAAAGGCAAGTCAACTGTTCATCTGAAAAAACATGGGAACATATGGTACAAGTCAAAATAGGGAATTGCATTGGACTTCATTTTCTCACTGATGCGTCAAATTATATTTGTGTTACCAAGATTTCTTGAACTGCGCCATATTCTTCTCCATGTAGCTCCGAAAGATGCCTGGATGGGGACAGTTCATTACAATCAGTTTGTCGACCAGTTCTGGGTGCATGGCAGTGAATGTCCAGGCAATGGCACCACCCCAGTCATGGGCTACCAGCACACAGGATCTGTAGCCTGGAGGACAGGAGCAATTTTTATTTCAATTCACACATATATATATAAATAGTGTGTATTTCCGTTGTGTGGGCTGATGGTTGATTTAGCAGGTATACATAAATATGTTTGAAATACCTTCTAAAGAAAATATTTCATATATACTATGATAAAGTAGACCTGAGAATTCTATGACATAGACAAAATATGTAACATATTTTTCATTATCCTCTAGGAAAGAAATGTACAATCAGCAGATCTTACTCGAATTCTTAATTAAAAGGCAACAGGTAGCACCTCGTTGACTTGTTTACAACACTTCCAAACTGAAACTACAGTTGGGTCATGTCCATGGATCACTGCATTGATTACATGGAGGGGGATACAGAGGTAGATGCATTGTTTATTTTACTGTTTGTTGCTATCTAAGCTACCTGAAGATTTTCTAGAAAAAATGAGTTACGATCAGACAATCCAGTGATTAATATTCATGAGCAGCAATCTCTGCCGTCGGGATACGATGACACGCCATAACCAAGTCACCGATCCTGATCACCCAATCAATTAAGTCCTCGGTCTCGCCCCTTAAGTCCTAGATGGGGGCCATTCATATACCAATTGTGACGTCATCCCAATTTCCTAAGGTTACTTTAAATAGTGGAAAGCCCACAAACTCAGTGGCTAGTATTCCGGGAGAATGCCCTCGACGTTCTAAATTAACTGAAGATTTAAAAACATCCTTTTTAATGAGCGTCTAATGTAGACTTTTGACTGGTTAATTGTCGCGATTTGTTTAAATGAAAATTCCATGTTGCGAATGGAACTGCAACTGTTTGTCCACTAAGCCACCGCGACAGGTGATAAACATCGGTGCTTAATCTTACATGTCACTAATTTCAGTTGTCTGCATGTTGCACATAGTCTTCCTCTGTTCGCTGTCATCGAATTCGTTGTATACCGCGCTTACTGTATTGTTTTACTGAAAGGTACCCCTATGTTTTCTATTCTTTCTGGATTTTCCTGCATTTAGATGGTTCATAATCTAGTTCAATAACTCCTCGGTTTTGTTTAAAAATGTAAAAGATCGCTCGCGGTGTTACATTTTCAACCAAACCCTCGTAGTCGTGTTTTAGCACTAACTCGTAACCGTTGGTCTTGTGACTTCCACTATGAAGACGCACTCCACTGTTTCTTTACTTGTACCAACTGCACTGTTATAAGAAGAAACCCTATTCTTTTTGGAAATGTAAATGTTACAGCAAATATAAAGTTGAAATATCTAAATCCGTTCACAGATTTACATACGCCTCTCCGAGATTTCCAAATTTTATCAAATTGCAAACTGTCGTTTAAATTCGCAACATTTATTTCCTTTTTGCTTACAAATGTTTGACTTCAGAGTCGATATCTATGTTTGTATACAATATAATACCTTAATGTTTATCCTTGACTGTACAGCATAACTGATTACATTGTACGACATCTGGAGCGGCATTGATATGTAATTATATCTTTACCAATCTACCTCCACACATTTTGTGACATAAATAGCTTTAAAAGAATTCATACCCGGAATGCACATAGGGGTAAATTAAATGTTACCAAGAGCAGGGATGACTTGTTTAAGATCGGACACAATCTTGGACATCTGGTAATTGGCAACACCGGAAGGCTTGTCGGAGTCACCATAGCCTCTCAAATCAATGGCCACAACCCTGGGAAAAGAAACACACAGGTCTTCAAACTTGACATGTGATAAAAATAAAGAAAGAAAAACAAAGGTCACAGTTGGAGCAACAGTACATGATTTATCACATTTGCAGAATCAGTAACTGTGTGATCGTGCGTGTATCTTTCTGGTAAGACTGGTAAATATAACAGCTGGTAACTATCTGATCGTAGTGTTAATTTGGTGGGTAACTATATGAAAGGTGGATACTCTTTTACTATTGGATACGCTTGGTAACTTTCTGATAGGGCAGGCTACTCTCTGATAAGGATGATTACTGTCTGATAAGGATGTAAACAGGTCTCTGAGTTTGATGTGTAGGTCTCAATGGCGTATACCATTGAGGAGAAACCCATGAGTACGGGTGTGGTGCTGACAGACCTAGAAACATGATCATCGGTTTCTGATAATGCCCCCAATCACAGTGAAGAGTTACGCCTTACACAGCTGCACCACCAGTATCCCCAGGTACTGATATAAATGTTATTCAACATGCCATCATGTTTGTGTGTGTGTTGTTTAACGCCGTACTCAGCCATATTTCAGCTATATGAAGGCGCTCTGTAAATAATCGTGTCTGGGCTAGACAATCCCGTGATCGACATAATGAACATCGATCCACGCAATTGGGATTTGATGACATGCATCAACCAAGTCAGCGAGCCTGACCACCAGATCCCGTTAGTCCCCTCTTACGACAAGTATGGGTTGCTTAAGGTCTGTTATACCCCGGATCTTCACGGGTTACATGTAATATGTTACATCACCATGATCATTGAATAGACCCAGTAAACATAGTATATGGGTCAATGGACGCTGTCCTGTTCACCTGTAATCCTTCTTGAACTTCCGCAGCTGGTATCGCCATGAGTACCAGAACTCTGGAAATCCATGGACAAACAGCATCAGCGGCTTGGTCTCGTCGCCCTGGGCAACGTAGTGGATCTTTACCTCCTGAAATAGGAAGTGCACCGTACACATGCTGCAGTATTTGCATCAGCATAAATTTGATTCCAAACAAAATGTGTCACAAACATGAAACTTTTTATGTAGAATAAGTTCTTCATTTCTTAACTATAAAATGTTTCATGTTTTCACTTTCACATATCCTATCAAACTTTAACATGTTCATAAAAAAAATTAAAATTGTATTTACAGAATTAACTAAATCTTGATTAACATGACAAATGACTAAAACAGTGTTAGCGGGGTCAGCTAGGGTTCAACGTTTTGAATAGTTTTTCAATAAGCCATGATAGCAATGGTTAGAATTTAAGGGAGACCACTGATCATCGTCTTAAAACATTGTTTGTTTTGTTTGTTTGTTGTTTAAGGCCGCACTCAGTAATATCCAAGCTATTATGAGGACGGTCTGTAAATGATCGAATCTGGACCAGACAATCCATTGATTGATATCATGAGCATCGATCCACACAATTGGGATACGACGACATGCATCAACCAAGTCAGCGAGCCTGACCACCTGATCCCGTTAGTTGAAATAGTCAAGATGTTACAATTTGCATGGAACGTTTAACATAATTCTTATAATGTATCCAAGTTTATCACTTTTACAGTGAACATGTTGTTTTATTACAGGAACACCAGGCAAGTGTTACCCGATCCCGTTAGTCGCCTCTTACGACAAGCATAGTCGCCTTCGTGGTGACTCAGTAGCTATAACATCGCAGCTAAGGATAGTGTAGATCCATATTTCAAGCTGTCTGTTGCCCACAAAATGTGTAGTACCCTTCCTTAGCGAATTTATATTGTGTCTTCTACCTGATATGGGGGGCGGTCGGGTAGCCTAGTGGTTAAAGCGTTCGCTCGTCACGCCGAAGACCCGGGTTCGATTCCCGACATGGGTACAATGTGTGAAGCCCATTTCTGGTGTCCCCCGCCGTGATATTGCTGGAATATTGCTAAAAGCGGCGTAAAACCATACTCACTCACTCACTCTACCTGATATGTATCGTCACACGTAATTTAGTTATTGTTAGAAACTCAGTGCTGCGGCCGTCGAATAAGCTGTTTCAATCAGAGGTAATTATTGTGACTTCAAACCTCTGACTGATCAATCCAGTATTTCACAAACCCAGGGCAGCATATATCTTTAAAAGCTAGTATGATGAGCCATGCAACATCACGCTTTGGTTGTGAATGTGTTTTCCTATCTCGTTGGTATTACAGTCATGGACATGATGAACATTGAAAACTTCTTCTCTGATTGCTGATATGTGAACGTAAAATCTGGACCGGTAACCATAGTGCCCTAAGACATAATAAATAAAATTGGCAATTAAAATTTATCTCTTGTCCTTTGTGATAGAAATTTGTTTAAACTCCTTTATCACGTATGCCTCGTAACAACCAATTGGGGATTACGGGTTGTAATTGTTCTCCAGAAACTTACACGTCGGAAAAGTATTTGTCGCAAAACGTCCACGGAGACACCGCAGGAATTTTGTGATACGTTTTAGATTATTCAGTTATTGTCTGTTTTATCAGGCACTACATGAACGTTTGTATTGTACAAATAAGAATTGGATTTTGTCGGTCATTTTGCAAGTTTATATATTCAGAATGTGCTCATTCGAATTAGGAAAGAGATTAATTGGTCATCATGAATATGTATTATGCGTATAGTTATACTTATACACTGTATATGCACTTCAAAGCCGTATACGACTTTCGACCTTCCCCAGCGAGTTGAATGATTCACGTCCAGTGGAACGAAATGTAGAACGGTTGTATAAGTTTTGGAATTTGTTCATAAACAGTTTTGTAAAATATTATTATAAAACGAATTTCTTTTTAATTCCTTTCATTCAACATATGTCGTCGGAAAATAAATCATGCTTGAGAATAGACTCGAAAGGGTCTATAACTCCGGGTCTTTATCTTTATAACTAAAAAAAATCTAATTATCAAGCGAATAAGAGAAAGTGATTTAATAATCCCTATTAACCAAAGCTGTCAATAAACTGCCAATCATATCTATCGGAGACACGACAATTAACTTTGAGTTACCAAGTTTTATTCAATTTTGTATTTACTACAATTAAAAATATTTGAGTGCCACAGTTTTCATAGGAAAGGACACAACACACAATATGTATGGCTCCCTTGAGTGGGGCGCATAGGTGGCCCATCCGGCTAATATAACGCGCCGCGATTCGCTGTAAAGAGTTGCGTCCCTTGGTCATGCCAGAAACCTATGATTTCGCCCCAATAATGTTTCTAGGTTTGTCAGCACCATACCCATGCTCGTGGGTTTCACCGTCTAAGACCTGCATCACTTCGGGCTTTCCTCCCACATTAAGCTGAAACGCCGTGATGTACATGGAATATGTGTTACAAGTGGCGTTAAACACAACTCACTCACTGCTCCCGTGAGTGAATCCACGTAATACTTGGCTTTTCAGTTCTTGCGTCATTGTGCTTCACACAGAAGATAAATTTGAATTTGTTTTGTGTCTTTGTGCCTAATTTATCGACAATTAAGGAGATATGTAATACATGTATCCACAAAAAATATGTACACCTGCTAGGTATTTGCCCAAAGCAAGACCTGTGTAACTGTTTATTCACGCTTGGTGTGGCAGACTGATCAAATATGAAAGAGGGAGCAGGTATTGTAGACTCACCTGTAATTTCATCTTCCCGAGGCAAGAGAGTTAACTGACTATAAAAGTCCAGTTTCCACCCTTGCCGAACTAGGCTGGAATTCCTGGGCTCGATCGTAGCGCCGCCAGTGGCTATAACGAGTTATGTCCATTCTATGCCTCTCCCATATGGACCAATCAGATTCCACCTCTCGTATCACATGCATTTGCCACTGGTGGCGCTACGATCGAGCACAGGAATTCCAGCCTGGTTCGGCAAGGGTGGAAACTGGACTTTTAAAGTCAGTTAACGCTCTTGCCTCGGGAAGATAATGTAATTTAGGCCGACTCTCTGATTGGCGAGTGACATTGTGTATTCAAGAGAAAACTTACCTAATTATAATAAGAGGTTTCACTGAAGGTATTAGTCAATCCGCACATAAATAAAGTTACAATTGCAACAGCTACAATGAATTGCGATTACAAAAAAATGTACGTGTATTCATCAACAAATTAAGAAATCGTTTAAAAAAATTAAAAACTCTACACAATATTGACTAGTTTAATCTACCTCAATGGGCATGTATATACCTTCAATGTAAGGTTCTACATTAGAAAACGCCTCAAAACCCCGATGTACTTGTTGTTGGACTTCTCCAGAAGAATGAAACAAGGATGGAAATAAAATGTTCAGTTCGGGAGGACTGCGAAAGTTTAGATTTGCCACTAGATTGTAATAACTACATGTATTTCTTGTATACACTATACGTACATACCTAACATCAGTACAATCAAACCTGGTTCATTAGTAATATTAATAAATTAACAATATTTTAAAACATTTATAAATAATATACATTGTCAATGCAAGAAAATAACCAGTCTTGATTATCCGCCGAAACTTTGATTATTATACAGTTATTTTCGCTTTAGAGTTGTAGACTTTATGCATGTACATTCAATTTGTGTGTTTTACCACGCTGAACTGATCATTCTAATACTAAACACACTGTAGAAACTGCTTGTCATGCTGAGTCATGATGATGATACAAGCCGTGTTAGCAAATACACATGCAATGTATTGACAGGTTACGTAGACATGTAAATGCACCAATTTACAGGTTCACGTGGTACTCATAGGGCAACAACCCCATTTTAGCATGACAAATAAACGTGTCATTGAACTTGAGCGATTTTTAGATGTGTGACCTTTGTCCATTACGTTGAAAGCTTGTTTTTGCTACCCCACCTCAATGCGGGCAACTGGCATACCAACATCAGATGCCGTATGACTGTCATCATAAATGTTGATTTCATTGAGATTTTGATCTTTTAAAAACATATTACTTCATGCATCTATCTTTATTGTTTTTAAACTAGAGTGATTTATAGCTATGGACATTTTCTTTTGGCCGTCAGTTTATATAAATGTATACACCAGTGAAATTGCTGTAATGATTATGTTCATAATAATAACTTAGATTATCAATATACAATTAATATCGGAAATCAGTATGTCCCAATGTTGATGACTAAGACGTATAGAATATGACTGAGCACAAGTGACCGTGACTCTGCTCAATTTTAGTCCTAAGTCCACAATATACCGGTATCCATGATAGCGATAAGCCTGTCGCGACTGCACTCGCCTGTACAAAAATGTTGTGCGCTTGTGATTACACCACATATGAACCTTGATGTTTGGGAGCATGCATTTGTGGGTACACATGTAACTATGGTCACATTGATATTTTAAAAAGTTTTCTGTAGAAACGTTTATGGAAATTCATGTTGATAACGATTACTTCAATTATACATACACCTTGGAAAATGTGAAAATGATAATCATGTCATTAATGATTACATATATGTTCATCATAATATCTTAGATTAATATAATAAAATCAATATTGTGTATTAATATGTCTCAGCAGCTTATTGACGCGTAAGAATAGTGATAAGTCTGTTGACTGCACGCTCTTGTAAACCGAGACCAGTGTTGCCCTACTTTGTAAAATTTATGTTGTGAAATCTAAATTGACAGTAAAGACGTAAAAACGTCTGCATAATTAAGAACAGAAGCACACATAATTTGCAAAGAATAAATCAAATGTACAGGGTTGAGTAAAGCTCTAATGATTTCTTGACTCACCTCCAAGTGAAGATAGCCATGCGTCCCCAAGTCCGGGTCGTTCAGAACTGATGGCATCACATTTCGTTTCTTTCGTGAACAGAATACGATAGGGTGTTTCACAAACCCCACAAATAAAGTGAACGAAACGAACGTTGAATAAAAACAGGCCAGTCCGAAGAAAAAACATCTGAGAAAAATTCCTTTAATCGTCATACTTCCTGATTGGGAAAGTCAAAAGTGTTGATGGGAATGAGTATATGAGCTCGATCCTTTTATATTCAGTACTGCGAAAACTTTGACCAATGTTATTAACTGTAGGACAATGACAACACACATAATAAAACAAATTCACTTGTCAGCTGTGACAACCAACGGTCTACCCCCTAATATGCAGGTGATCAGGCCCATGGGCGACATAGTGTAAATATTGAGTTTTTGAACAATTTATTTTTAATTTTTTCTTCCTTGGTATGTTCCCATGAAAACAGCATGTTTAATTTTGTAAATACCTTTGACCGAGATTGGGCAACGACCGTAGAGTTTCTGGACTTTTGGGTTTCCAGAATTAAAATGGGACGTGTTTAATTCATTTTCATTGATGTTCACATATGTCTCTTAACATATTTACCTGTCACCTGTGACAGCCCCCTCCGTCGTCAGGTGATTAGAATCAGACGCCATATGCAGGACACACTTCATCAGTCCCTGGTCGCCTATTCACGCTATCAATATGTATATGAAATAATAAAGCCTAAAGATCGGTATTAATAGAATACTGATTTAAAAAGCGCTGCATCCAGTTGCTCTAAAAGTAATATTGGCGGAAGTCTCACATGAATGACTAAATGTATGGGATGGATCCGGCTTCAGTTATTTCAACTTCTCCCCCAGAGATGCTGGGTAGATCAAGTTGAACTTGGTTTATGACCATAAGACCGTTTAGAGTGAATGAGTTCATTCGACACAATCAGCAATATTTGAGCCATCTTACGGAAGCCTACATTAATAACTGAATCCTGGCCAGACAAGCCAGTGACTGACATCAGGGGCTTCAAGTTTGAGCACTAAAATAGAAAATTCAATAACACATCCATCTTCGATGTTCTAAAATATTATCTACTTGGAGAGGAAGTGTTATTGGCGAACGTATGTAGTTTACATGAAGTGCATCGCTTTCAACTATAGTAATGAGAAATGAGGAATCCAACAGTGAATTCTTACCTCCGAGTCAGTTGTCCATATGGTCACAAACAAAAATAAATTTGAAATACATGGTCTCATTTTGTGACCTGGCTGGTGGTGTGTCTTCGTACCCGGACTTTGTGTGCTGCTGTTGATGCCGTCAAGAATATGTTTTTTCTGGTCCAGATTGATTATTTCCACGTTACCGTGGTATAGCTAGAACAACATTAATGTTTTTGTAGATGTGCCGATGTGCTATTTTTGCACATTCTAATTCTTTTGAGGGGTGTGACAAACACGCACACCATCGCAATATAGCTGGCAGTACAAAATATCCATATGCAAGCAATTATCAGCATGTTATGTTCAAACGGCATAACTTGGTGACTGAGTTGGGTTGCGTTGGGATAAAAGCCGATTTAGATTGAAGGATGTTTGTTTGAAGCCGGGGCTAGTATCTCTATATCAGGCCTTGGCCTGGGTGTTTTTCTGTAGTCTTTCTCAGGTTTAAACCTCCAGTGACGTCATCCTATTGTTCTCCAGTCGGGTGAAATCTCATAAGCAGGGATGTTTTAATGTCCCCGGTATGTTATAGACTATTCCCTGGATGTTATGGGATATTCCAGGCACATTTGCTAGAAAATGCGTTATAATATCCCGGGTATTTTATTGACACAACTTCCATGAAATGAAATGCAAAATCAAACGATTTTCTTTATATTTCCAAGGATTTCCAACGTTTGTATCTGTAGCCCATTGAGGGTACTACTAGGCTACATGGATGCTGATAAGTCGCAATGCTTTTTAAAACGTCTTGTTCAAGAATCGTACGCCAGCAACAGATATTTTACGACCGTTTCCTCAGGTTCATGAAAAAGTATGTTTGAAACATGTTGAAAATGTTTTAAGTTTCTTTTTACGGTTTATAAGTAAGATAACACACTTCCCCGCGGGTTTTTATCCCCTTATCCTTATCCTTGGGATAAAACCTCGAGGTTGACGCGTCTCGGTTTTATCCCGCGGATACGGGTTTTAAATATTAAAAAACCCCTCGGACGTGCTTTATCCTACAATATAACGCCTCAGGGATGCCGTGCACCATCAACATCAACGGCTTGTCCCCGTCCCGGGCAGAAACACAGTGAAGGCGGGCGTGCTGTTGGGGAAGATAACTCTTTCAGCTCGGCGGTTAACATGTCAGAATCATAGACCATGGGTTATATGTGTATTCAGTTCTAAGTGGCGACATAAGTAAGCTGGTGCGCTGTCGTCAGTGAAAGAGGTAATGTAGTGTGAAATGTAAACTGGTTCTGCATACTAACTCTGCAAATACAACTGTACTATTATTGAAACGCTAAAGTGAAGGAATGTTTTACGCGCCATTCAGCAATGATTACACGCGATTGTTTCTGGACAACACTACCTGAGAATTCGAAGCGATCAACCCCGCGATCATCTTTTACACATGTTTCAACCACCTGATCCCAATTTTAGTCGTCACTTAAGAAAAACATGAAGACCTAACCTGATCTGGATTACTGAAGTAAATAACCGAATCCATGTCAGGCAAACCACTGGTAGATATTATGAGCAACGTCGAGGTACGCTGTCACGCAGTTTCCAAGTCACTGAGCCTGACAACCCGATTCCCATCAGTCGACCCTTAAAACTATCACTGCTTGCAGGGGTCCAATACTAGCCCGGCTCCCAGTGGGTAACAAGCAGAATGAAGCACTGTGCAAATGATTTACTGAGTGAGTGAGTATGGTTTTACGCCGCTTTTAGCAATATTCCAGCAATATCACGGCGATTGACACCAGAAATGGGCTTCACACACTGTACCCATGTCGGGAATCGAACCCGGGTCTTCGGCGTGACGCTTTAACCACTATGCTACCCGACCGCCCCGATTTAGTACACAAAAGAAGTTAAAGAACACTATAGTACTATGAAATACTCGGGTGTTCTTTAACGTCTGTTGAGTAGTATATAACGAGCTATCTCAATTTTGTGTTATTGCATAACACAGCGTTACGGACCCTTATTTGCCAGTGTCACGTAGTGCAGGTCAGGGCGTCCCAACCTTGGCTTACTTCTGATAGTGGCCTTGACGCGACATGATAAGAGTTGAAGGCTACACAATACCTGCGCATACAGCAATCATTCCCAAGGCCATGGCTTTTCCTCATGACACAAACAACAGATAACATGGTGTTACTTGCGTCCCATTGGGCTATCTTTCTGCTATAGAGGCTTTGATTTTGCTTTTTATCTCTAGTTTACTAAAAGGAATAGGCTGTATATCCGCTTTGTCTAGAGCTAGTTTCGCTTGTGACTCTGCGTTTTCATTTCCATGAATATCTACGTGAGAGAAGATCCAACACAGTTCCAGCTGTTGCCCTTGGTCCGATAGTTTTGTAATATTCGTAATGAATATTGTTGACTGTGTTTGGCCTGGAGTTTGAGTTTCTGCCGCTGATCATGATGGCTTGAAGTGCACTTAGCGAGTCTGATAGGACGACTGCAATTGCTGCCGGAAGTTCCGGTATGAGTTTGAGTGCATGATGAATTGCTTCCAATTCAGCCGTGAATACTGACTGACCATCAGGCAGGCGAACCGAATGGTCTTGGGGTTTGGGGCTATGGATCCCGTAACCAGCACTGTTGTTGATAAGATTATTGCATCCATTAGTGTATATATGGGCGCAGCTGTCCCAGGTAGTTTGAATTGACAGCGTACCTCGACGTTGCCCCCCCCCCCCCCCCCCCTGGCCTCCGCAAGGCTGAGAATATAGAAGTGTATGGCAAATGGGATGTGTAACTAATGGGAGATCACCCTGACCAGGGCCCACTTACACAAAGCGATCTTAGCGCTACAACTATTGTAAGCCTATCATCTTAGCGCTAAGATCGCTTTGTGCAACTGGGCCCAGATCACACGCCTGTCGCGTGTCTAATTTAATACTTACTTTGGAGATAAAACATTCGTCGTTTTTATTTGATTTGCAGCTATAAACACATAGAAAGGAAAAAACTAGGCAAAGGATTATTCCGCATGATTAGATCTTGACAGGTTGCGTAGGCGGACCGAAGCATTAAAGATGTTGGCTTCTATTTGCGGCAATGTTGGTGAAATGAATTTATTAGCTTAACTACAAGTCTTACGTCTCATGGAGCCTTATCATAACGTTTGTACATGCAGCTGCGGAATTAATAGCAATTACGCCTGTAATCAGATTGATATATTGCCCACTGTGTAACTGCAATCAAATAGGTGTTGCGTAATCAATCAACACATTCGGACCATTGCCCCTAATTACGTGTCATGCACGTTCAATTGTATTTCATCGCCGACAGTTATAGAGATAACGTTAACTTATACATCCGTGAAGGTTAATTAAGAAATCAAAGATATTGTAATTTCAGCTTTCCGTTAATATGTCTGACTTTAATGGGAATTTAATTTCCTTCGAAAATGTGAAATAAAATAATAACCTATTTTATCATACATATAATGGAAGGTTTCTCGGCAGGATAAAACCAACGCATGAAAACGATATCCGTTTTGGGTCATATGCGGATAGAAATGCAAATATGAAAGGTGAAGTAGGGACTACTTTAACTGTTTATAAACAAACATGTCCGCTCTCGCTCGCGAAATACCGGAATTTAGACACTCGTGTGTAAACATAGTGTGACCACTCATATAATATCATCTATTTGTTACCCTTATAGTGTTAGAAAAAACCTAGTTGATAAAAACCTTATGTGACCCAGTGCAAATATAAATTCTCGCGCAACAGTGTATTGTTTCCGTCATCCAGACGTCTAATCATATTGTGACGTAAGTACGGAATGACGTCACACTAGAAACGAAGTCAAAACGAAGATTGTTGGTGTCATACGACAAATTGTGGTTGGTGAGCATGGTGAGGACAGCGGTGGTGAGCATTGCATTATTTAGGGGAGCTGAAAAGAAGTAAGAAATAATGGGTAATAAAGAAATTATTACACTCACGTGTGTGTCACACTAATTTTACGAAACTCGTGTAAGAATTCATGTAATACACTCGCTCTCGCTCGGGAAATACAAGAATTCTGACACTCGTTTCGTATAATCAGTATGACACACATATATATAATCTCTATATCACTATTAATACGAGAAATAATATTTCATACGCGAAAAAATTCCTGGTCATTGAGAAACAAAAGCGGCCTTAGAATGAGTTTAGTTACTTAATTCCAGTGTGATGTGATAAGTGATAGCTCTATGTGATAGCTCTATGCGCACAGACAATGTACAAACCTACATTGGTAAACCAGTGCAGCTTGTTTATATTAATACCGCTCCAGCAACAAAACAATTACAAGCATGATTACAGAATGCAAATTGGCAAAATACCATACGTACACACATTAATAGACATATGATTACAAGGAAAATCCAAAGTTTGGACTGTTTATAATTAAAGTTATAAGAGAAAATATTCATCCAAGATAGATCTGGAATGTCAGGTTTAAAACTTTATGATTATTAGTGATTATACATGAGTGGGATGACATTACCTACTCATTACCTACTAATGTCATCCCACTCTTGTATGCAATTGTTGTTACTGTTTATCCACCACTATATATATTCTGTACAATGTTCCTAATTCAGTCTTGCTTGACAACGGTACAAGGATCTATACCGAAACGTTGCCCTTACAGTAAGTTGTTATCCATAAACTGTGTCTACTTTGAGACTGTCAATGTTATCTAGCCTGTTGGATTGTCGAGCATGCAGCTGACTACTCACTACTTGGAGCTGGTATGTCAGTAAATTGATCGTATACTTTAATGACTTGTGATTTGTACAAATTAGGTTGCGGCTATCATGGGAAAATGGTACTATTTATGCTACATTTATTGTCTACCGGAATTACCATCTACATACTTTGAAATATGCGGGAGTATTCAACGTAACATATACGTTTTCATGTCCATTTAGAGCCTATGTTTGCATTATTATCACATATTACTGTGATATCAAGTTCGATGTATCAATATTCTTATTCTCAAGAGTCATTTCAGTATGATTTAGCAGGTAGAATTAGTTACATAAAAAAATGGGCGAACAAAAGTTATATAGCCATACCCCTCCCTTTGAAATAACACACGTTTTAACACAAGCAAATGGTTTAACAAACACAAGTTGATATGTACGTATATTTCCCCAAGTCAGATGCCAATTTTCAAATGTAGCCACGGTAAATATATCTATTTTGGACTTATTCAATTATAAATCTATTACTGTTCTTTATAAATGGAAGAGGGGGAGGTGGTGAACGAGGAGGTGAACTAACGACAATGTCACAAGATTAATTTGTCATTCATGTTGAACAATCCAACAAGGAAATTCGGATATTTCTGTCAGAGATCATATATACTTAGTAGAGGGGAAAATGGAGCTACGCAGGAGATATGGATTCCGTGCAATGACAATTTACTGTGTCATCTAGTAAACACATCCACTATAGACTTTTATGACATACAGAGGGCTGAACGAAGAGTTATTTGCACGACGTGTCTGTCTTGTGACGTCAAGCCGAAGTAAACACTTTTGACTGTGATTATGTTGATGGTATGGAAGAAAGAGAGTTTCGCATTGAGCAACGTGTTTGTTTTAAATACCACGATCTGTGACATTTCAAAGTGGTATTTAGGTAGAAGTTATACTATTCTGCATGTCTAAATACATGTGACGATACATCTTTGACGTTTAAGCTGATTATGACAGCCCGGACCAAGTCGGACCAAACACTTGTGACATTGATATTCTTGAGAAAATATAATATACAGTATAAAATGGTATGTCGGCGGGTATAACACTAGCCTATAGATACAGACTCTTTCCGTGATACATTGAGGCTTGTTGCTTTTCACCACCCGGGCCAAGTCGGACTGAACACAGACCAAACACTTCTGATAGAGACAGTGTTGAGAGTAGAGGGAACATGGCGTCACTTTAACAAACGTGTTTGCTTTAAATACGATGAACAGTGAACACTTCTGACAGAGACTATATTGAGAATGTATAGTTAAAGCGCTTCATCTTAACGGACTCACACGAGACCCTGTGGCCTTATAAAGTAGTAAGATGCTGGAGGAAATATCATTCTAACTATCTTAACCCTTTTCATTATACATTAATGATGTCTTAGTTGATGTTGTCCACACGGGCCTCGTCCAACTAGCCGCTTCGGATAGAGAACGGATGTCTAATGCACGATGTAATGTGACAAGTGGTAGGTTGATCCGTGTAGAACAATCTATCAATCTGTACACATTCCCTGTAACACGTGTGATGTTTTCGTGTGTCGTGCCCGCCTGTACAATCATGCACAAACGTATTTCTGTATATAGGGACCATGCTGAGTGTTTTGAAAACACAAAAGGCTTCACTTTAATGGACGATTGTCAAGAGTATTATTTGTTAAACTATAATGCATAATAGTGCCCTAGATCAATCAACACACTGGGTGAATCATGTGTAACTCTTAAGTGAATTATATTTAAATAGCAAGTAAACCCTACATAGTAACTTTACAGATTTTAATACCTCAATCGACATGATAGGGAGACGTGTGCGTCAACGTCCTGGGCCACCGACCACGTTCTCTGAACCAGGCGCTTCAAGAGGAGTGGGACATACTCTCTCCAATCGCCATTGCGAAATTCAATCGCAGTATGCCCTGTCGAGTGAATGAATGTTTAACAAATCGTGGAGGTATTACGCAATACTGATCATGATCTCAAAACGTCAACTTTGAAATTTTAAGTTATTTCTAAGTATCCCCTCTTTTTTAAGAGTACATATTGTCAAATGATCAAAATGGAGGTACAAAATGGAGACAAGTCTCAGATATGTCGTAGGTTCTCTGAATGTGTCTGGTGTCACCCGCTGTGATATTGCTGGAATATTGCTAAAAGCGGCGTAAAACCATACTCACTAACTCTGAAGTGTGGCATGTTTTTTTTTATGTTGGAGATCTTAGTGACATTTTCAGAAACGTGTGAAGTAATGAAACTTGATTTTTTTGTAAAACTATCAAACAGCCTAAAAATAAAACTGTCCTAATAGTAATGTGCACAAAGGGCCTACCACAAGGGGGGACGATACAGAACCATAGGAACAAAACAGATGCCATCCCTGGCAGTCACACGAACCTTCTCAACACCGTGTAGCTTTAATGTGGCCATCAGACATGATGCCACAGAATCCTACTGTCCACACTGTTGAGCTATTTGTCATGTTATGCAATTCAACGTTCTGTCGGGAGCAATCAGACTTGGCCAAAAATGGCACCTATTTTTGTGATGTCACAGCGTCAAAGATAACGACAGCTTGTTAAATCTCTCCTATTGATCAATGTTACTATCGCTTATTAAAATGATATAGGTAAAATATTATTGTTTAATGTTTAGTTGATGAAAAATAGGTTTAGAGAATTATAAGTGTTTTTTTAATAGTGATTTACACTAATTTGTATATTTTGTTTTAACTGTGTTCACGAAGCAGCATAACAATTACCAGTGTGTCCCACCTAGTCTTCCTGAAACACCATACATGATAAACTGGTTAGGGCTGCGATGATTCCAAACGGTATCGGTGCATCGCTTTGCGATATACTATGTTATGACACAGCTGTCATATCGTTAGGTTAGATAGGGTCACCAGTCTGCTAGTTTTGATGTAACATTATATCAATGCATCTCCACAGTTTCAGGATAAGTTGTAGTGCCTGTCGGGAGCAGATTATCCGTCTTGGAGCAGTTGCAATCTGCAACCGACGTCTCAGTGAAATAATCCAGCCAGCCCCTGAATGTTATTACACAATGTGTATGTTAATTAAACATGATATCTCCAACAGGTTATACAAACCCATACGAAGCACGCGTTATTTAGAAATGAGGATTTTATACACGATACAGCATTGTTGACGTTATGCAGTTATGTAATGGGATGGTCGCCCGTCATTGTAGACACCATGTTGCCACTGCTGGCTTATCGATACGGGTGTTAACAGAGCAAACACAAATATTGGCAGTATAAAGCAGACTAGTCCGTGCTTGCTGACTAGGAATATGGGTATGTTTGATTAAAGTGGGCCAGTACGTAAAGTGTTATCAATGATATACAGCTTATGAACGTCACTATGTAAGTGCCATGATCTTGAACGCGCCGTTAAACCCGATTTCACTTCAACTATACAGCTTATGACATGGGTCAAAGTCCGCGCATTATTACCTACATAAGGGTGGAACTTATTTCGTTTCTACTAATTCTCGTCAGCACTTTTGATTTTCCCAACCAGGAAGTATGGCGATTAAAGACATTTTTCTCAGGTGGATTTCCTTCGGACTGGGCTGTTTTTATTCAACATTCATTTTGTTCGCTCTACTTATATGGTTTGTGAGACACCCTATCGCATTTTTCACTCGTAAAAAACGAGATGGGATGCCATCAGTTCTAAACAACCCGGACTTGGGGACGCATGGCTATGTTCATTTGGAGGTGGGTGACCGAGAGAAGCAAACATAGCTTGTGTCAACGCGAAACATTGTATTTGTCATTTGCAAATTATTTGTGCCACATTCTTAATTATGCAGACGCTCCATATATTCTTTACACCTTTAAAGTCAAGTTAGATTTCACGACATTAAGTTGTATAACGTGGATCAACATTGGTCGCAATCGCACACTTACTCTTTACAAGCGAGTGCAGTCGTGACATACTTATCACCATCGTGAATACTGGTGCTTTGTTGACGTTGCACGAAAATAGAACAGTCACGGTCACTTGTACTGACTCATTTGGAAATCATTTCTTTTCACCTGTTCTATATACGTGACCGTTAATCGGCTGTTGAGACACACTAATACCGATATCAATTATACATTGATAATTTATTATAATTAGTTATATAAACGTTATTATTATTATCACATTCAGAATATCAAAATAAACAAAATCCAGCAAAGAGGGTTTGGATGATCCTGGCACAGTCAGGCTATTTAGGCTCATCATCAGATCAGGGCCCTTGGCCCCTCTACACGCAGCCCAGACAGCGAATGGGACTGCCAGGAAGCGCTGCCTAGCTGTACCCTCTCAGAACTTGTCGGAGAATGTTAACACTCCTCAACACTGCAGCCTTCTGCATTACCCAGATTGTCAGAAGGGCTGTATTACTGGTAACAAAACCGGGTGCTCTCCCAATGTCATTTTGGGAGGTACCAAGATTAAGGCACCGAGAACAATGGGGATTCGGTTAGTCGGGATGCAAGCGTGACACTTAGGTCCGCATATGTGCCATGTTTTTCCTGAATCTTTTCAATGTCATTAGTGTCAAAAGGGACAGAAAAATTCAATGATATAAATGATTTCATTGGATTCATCAAAAAGGACAAGATCAGGGGTTTGTTGGCCTGGATACGTCTGAGGCTGTATACGGGCCTATTCCAAAGAATTTTGTATTTATCATTTTCCATGACGCCCTCTACATATTCTGGGTCGAACTATGGATGGACCTCTGTGTTAAAACCACAAGCATTGCGAAGACGGAAATAAAATGACCAAGCCACTACATCATGTCGTTTGAGATATGCATTCACTGATAATGTGTTGGACAGTCTCATTAAATTCATTGCATAATCAATAGAATTATTTATTATCAATTTATTCTACATTTCATATTTTCATTTTGATGAAAAATCCCACATTGACGATTTCGAGTGGGAAGTGACTTGTCCTGAGCAGCAAACAGAAAGCCTTCTGCTTGTTTCACTTTTCAGTCCAGCCGACTTCTTCCAAGCGAAGGACTCTGCAGGGTTGCTGATCGTGTCAACACACTGCTCATAAACCCGATGCAGTGGTCGTTCATATAGTCTATCCTTGAAAAACTGACTCTGGGCTGATTTGATATGACACTTCGCTTGGTTGACACTTATTTCTGTACCGTCGAGCAGTACTGAACCATCAACATAGCGGGGTCCGCATATTTGCCATGTTTCTTTCTCCTGATATATTCAACCGCAAAAGAAACGCAAAAATCACAGGCAAAAATGCGTGCATTTCCTTCTCCATTCTTTATAAGCCACTATATGAAAAAACACCAAACATGTCATACTCGACTCCAGAGAGGCGTTGCCATTGGGATGCTACAGACGGGATCAACGTCACCTGCAGTGGCGAGGCACTTTGGATGTCATGTGTCAACCAACATCAGATTGGTCGCAAGGCATCAACAGACAGGCAGTGTCCAGGACCGGCCTCATATTCTGGACGGCCCAGGGTCACTACTCCAGCGCAGGTCCGTTACATCCGGGTGACACATCTGCGTGACCAACAGCGACGAGCAACACAGACAGTTGCAACCATTCAAAGTCCACGTCATCCAGCACGGGTCTCTATGGACTTCCTCAAAGTTTCTGTGTTGCCCTGGCCGTCTTTGTCACCGGACACCGCCTATTGGGCATATCTGGGACGACATTGGGAGACATTTTCAGGCTGCAAGGCAGCCACATATACTTCAGGAACTGGAAGCATTGTTAGGCGGGAATAGAAAGGGATTCCTCAAGCCTTCTTCCACAGATTTGTCGACTCAACGAGAAGGCGATGTGCAGCCTGTGTCGCAGCTAACGGAGGGGACACACTATTGATGGACACGACTGACACTTGTCATTTATCTATTTTTGGGGTACCCTGTTTTCGGGGGGATTTTCAATTAACACGGATGGTTGTCATCAACAATCAACGCCAATTTGTTATTAAATGTTTTCTTTGTTATCATTTCTTAACATTATCTACATGTACATAATTTATCTTTTATGGTCTTAACGTTATCCGCATTTTATGTACAACTTGCGTTTCTTTTGCGGTTGAGTATATATTGCACGTATAAAAACGTATACTTAACAACAAAGTTCCTGTAACATTGCAACAGATAAAAGACTCCTGTAAGTGTTCAAATTGGTTTAATTTGCCATACTGACTTCAGAAAATGCATGATTTCATAAAAAACCCATGAACTTTCCAAAATGTCAATTTACAAATCAATAGCGTGTGTGTCCATCTCTGGTTGCGATGCAAGCAACACATCTTCGTCTCATGGAATGGACTAGTCGTCGTACAAAGTCCTTTGGGATATCTGTCCATATCTGCTGCAGCATGTTTCGAAGTTCCTGGAGTGTCTGTGGAACACGTGGTTGACTTCGAAGGCGCCGATCCATCTCAACCCACATGTGCTCGATTGGTGAGAGATCAGGGGAGCGAGCCGGCCAGGGGATGACATTCACGTTGTTTTGTTAAAGAGAATCCTGATCAAGTCGAGCAATATGAGGCCGGGCGTTGTCATGTTGAAAGGTAATGCCTGGGCCATGACGACGCAAAAACGGTAGAACAACAGGGCCGATGATCTCGTCGCGGTAGCGCTATCCATTAAGACCACTACCACTATCAAACGGGTCCTCTGTCTTGCTGTAATCCCACACCATAGCATAACGCTGCCGCCCCCGAACCGATCTTCTTCCATGACACAATGATTGACGTAACGTTCACCTCGACGTCGGTACACTCGAATCCGTCCATCGCTTAGGCTGAGGTGAACACGAGACTCGTCAGTGAATAGAACTTGTCCCCACTGCATGGCCGTCCTGTCAAAATGTGACGTCTGGTGGGTCTTCTGGCAACAATCCCTGCACATCTGAGGCGACGACGTACGGTTTGTGAAGATATTCGACGAAGTCCAGGGGTGCTTCTTGCAGTCACTTTTGCTGGCTGGAATCGATTTCTTAGGTGTGTTGTACGAATCAAGTTGTCTTGTCGATTATTGGTTACACGTGGCCTGTCACTCCGAGGATGAACTCTGACTGCATTCGTCTGTTGCCAACGTTGCCATAAACACCAAATGGTGTTTCCGTTGACGTTAAATTGTCTTGCAACATCACGTTGACTCGATCCTGCTTCAAGCATACCAATGGCTCGCAGAAGCTCATTTTCGGACAGGCGTGGCATTTCGTAATGTTTAATAATTGCGAAATTTTGTTGTTTTTCTGAGTGGTTGTTGTTAGTACGATACAAAACAATGCATATGGAATCCCGTTAATGCATATGTTTTTAATACCCATTCTTGGGTAGTGAAATGCATGGGGCTTGCATAAAAGTCAACTTTTGCATGGAATGCATGCTTTTCTGTAGCAGTTGCGTTTTTTGTGACTTGATTCCATACATGTACTACCAGATTGAAAACTTTACTTGTTTGAAAAATACACTAAAATATTGGTGTCACAGGAATTTTTGTTGTTGAGTATATTATTGTTATTATGAAAATTTATGAAGAAGCCAACAATGCCAGTATTGTTTTTCGTTATCAGTGAAGTTAATCATATTAATTCTGTTTATGCGTTCGTTATTAAGTTTTATTAATGACATGACATACAAAAGTCGTTGATAGGATATGTAGAATTAATAGACGTGAAACCGGTTAAATTATTATCCATAAAAGGTTTGTGACCCATTTGTTTCGAATCAAATGTATGCAAATACTGCACCATGTCTATAGTGCTTTTCTAACGTCAGGAGGTAAGGATCCACTACGTTGCCCAGGGCGACGAGACCAAGCCGCTGATGCTGTTCGTGCATGGGTTCCCAGAGTTCTGGTACTCATGGCGATACCAGCTGCGGAAGTTCAAGAAGGATTACAGGTGATAATGACAGCTTTCATTAGACTGATTTACTATGTTTACCGAGTATTTCGAATAAGATCATGATGATAGTGATGACATATTAACAGTTGTGAAGTAAACCCGATATATTGAATCAATTGTCCAATTTGCTGAGCAGAGGAAACCTGTGATCTTTGGTTCTAAGTCATGGCCACAGTTGAAAACGTCTAATATCGATATCTGCAGCACTCTGGGATCTTCTTCCCACATCAAAGTCAAAGACCTGTTTCCATCTTAATCAGAAAGCTCCCACCAGAACATAATCAGCCTCTTCAGAGAGTGGTCCACTCTATCAGAAAGGTACTGACTATCCAAGCGTGACCGTCATTATCAGAAAGGTACCTGCCCTATGATAAGGTAACAGTCTATAAAGACATAACTACCTTTCAGAAAGTAAGCCATCCTATCTGAGAGTAATGGACTATCAAAACATAAGTGTTACCCACCCCGTCAGGGCGGAACGTATTATCAAAACGTAACCACCCATCAGACAGTTACCAGCTCTGTTAAACCTACCAGTTTTATCAGACATCTACTGGTTTTACAAACATGTTGAAAGCACTTTGTGGTTCCCTACACACTGATACCTATGGCATTTGTTTTTGTTTCTCCATTCTAATCACATCACAAGTTTGAAGGCCTGTGTTATTTTCCCCCAGGGTTGTGGCTATTGATTTGAGAGGCTATGGAGACTCCGACAAGCCTTCCGGTGTTGCCAATTACAAGGTGTCCAAGATGGTGGCCGATCTTAAACAAGTCATCCCTGCTCTAGGTAACATTAAAATCTACCTTGAGCAATTCCGGGTTAGTATTTGATGCCAGCTGTTTGTAAGGGGCGACTTAATGGATTGATGGTAAAGATCGGTGACTTGGTAGATTGTGTGTCATCGTGCCCTGACTTTAAAACCAGTTACTGGATTGTCACCAGACTCAGTTATGTATATGCCGTCGTCATGTAGCTTGAATATTGCGTCTCTTCATAACAAACAAATAACCAAACGAAAAACAATGCAACCACCTTTGTCATGATAGTGATATTTATATCCCCCACCATGTAATCAATGCAGGGATATATCGACACGATCAAGCTGTAGTTCAGTTTGGAAGCGTTGAACTGAACATGCTGAAGATAGGTTTGATATTTCTGTTTGTAACTTTGTACACCAGTGAACCAAGCGCTGTCTGATTTTTATCAATTTAGAATTAGAATTAGAGTTGTGCTGATTCCTAAAGAAAAATGAAACAAAGGTTAAATATTTTGCTATGGCATAGAATTCCTGGTTCTAGTTTATCAATGGATGTATGGAATATTGTTCTTGAAAAAAGTAGTAAACTTCAAACTTTTTGAGCATTTTAGTTTTTCCTTGTAAATCAACAATCAGCCTGCACAAAGATATTACAATATATATGTATACATTTACCAAATGAATGAACATAAGCGTGATAAATATTTAGATAAATATATGTATTTTAATTCCTCTCTTATGTTGTGTGGAATCTAGACATGAGAACACTGTATATTTCACCTGCTTCTGTCCTTTAGGTTACAAATCATGTGTGCTGGTAGCCCATGACTGGGGTGGCGTTATTGCCTGGACATTCACTGCCATGCACCCAGAACTGGTCGACAAACTGATTGTAATGAACTGTCCCCATCCTGGCATCTTTTACAGCTACATGTGGAAGCATTTGTCGCAGTTCAGGAAATCTTGGTAACAAAACTATATTGATTCTCTTTTGCACTGGCTAACGGCACAGAACTATATGTCTTTTAGCTACCAATGGTAACCATGGGAACAGTTCACCCATGAGTCCACATGAGATGCTTCTTAAAGCCTGATTAGACCCCACCTACAAGACCATAGCAAGAGAGAAAGGTTTTTAATGTCTTGAATAGTTGATATTGGTTATACACTGGTACATTGGGATTTCATTAGGAAGAATATTTTTGGCTCACTTGAGGTAGGGTCACGTTTCACGTCATTTACGAAATCTCACTTGAAACCGCTGTGCTTTTTTTATTGAATGTTGTGTACTTACCCTGAAACTAATGCTTCCCTAAATTAAAGTGAGTGTCGCCCTTAGCCAAGAATGCGTCATAAGACAAGTGCGAGTAACTCTACAATGACAATTTTTAGAAAACAATAACACTACGACTGTAGACTGATATTTTCCATGATAAAGTATGAGATGATAGCTCCCCTCCCATCTTCATAAACTTGATCTACTTGCCATGAAATTAGTAGCATTACGTTCCAAATAGGGCATGTTAAAATAAGATAGGTCAAGTTGCTGACAGAGATTGTACATGTTTCTCAGAACAATCCTTTTAAATGTAAATGAGCAGTGGCTACCGCGGCTGTTGGTGTACAGGGCCCCGTTCCTCTAAGCGGTCTTTGCGCTAAGACGACCGTAGCTCACATACTGTAACACAGACTTATGACTTATGAAAAACGTATCGCCAAGATCGCATTGTTGAACGGACTCCTGGACATTTTACAGTGTGTGTGTGTGTGTGCGTGCGTGTGCGTGCGTGCGCGTGCGTGCGTGCGTGCGTGCGTGCGTGCGTGCGTGTGTGTGTGTGTGTGTGTGTGTGTGTGTGTGTGTGTGTGTGTGAGAGAGGTTTGCGTGTAATTAACAGATTATTTGACAAGGTTACCAGGAACAAAGATCCCAACCCATACAGCATACGACTGTTCGAACTACTTGATCATGTTGTAAACAAAATGGCTATACTTGACACATGTGCAGTGAAGGTGATATGTCCAGAGGAGAATGCGTCCTCTATTTAATGCGAGCAAGGGAGATTCGTGAATTCTATGCTCGCATTAATTTCATGATTCACAGTATATGATTCCAGCTGTGGTATCTCAATAAAATTGTCCCCAAAGTAGTTTCCAGTTGAAACATGACCATGATGGCAGCCATATGGCAAAATGTTATTCTTGTCCCAGGCATGTCTATATATATATTGTTATGAATTTGTGATATGCAGTGACGTGGTAACTGATACTAACAATTGTTAACTTTTGTGGAATTTGTGACCTTTTGATCGTCATGTTCAGCTGCGGCTGGTGCTGTCATCTGTACCATAGCAATCACGATGGATGTGTATTTCTTGGCGTCTACAAAGCCGGTCATGCATGCGTCATTATGTGAATAACGTGATGTGGGGAAATCTGTCGTATACATACTTCTGTTGTTTCTGATATTTCTTTACCCTTGTATTACCTTTCTGACCGAATAATCGTAATACTACATTACAAAAGACTTTATCTGAGCTACAGAGCTACAGCGGCCCCATTTTCGGCTTCCAGTAGATTATATCATCCTTGTCATTTTCCGAGTACCATACAAAACGCATTATTTGTTTCAGGTACACTTTCTTTTTCCAAGTTCCATTTCTTCCCGAGTTTATGCTGAGAAGGAATGACATGAAAATTCTGGAAATCATCTTCACAGAGACATGTAACACTGAGGATGTAGAGGCCTACAAATATGCTTTCTCTAGACCAGGTAATTACAACGTAATGGTTAAAAGCTAAAATACTATAGTAATAGGAGTACAACTTCTTGGATAGAGATGTGGCAGTAGGAGGAGTCCTATAACCTACTCAAGCTGTAGATGGCATTGCAAGGCCGTACGTGTGGCAATGTCCTAGGTTCAACTGATTATTGTGGAGATTGTTGCTATGCCCCAGATTTAATAGGCTGCTTTAATAGATTGTTAGAATACAAAAGACAAAACCATTTCCATATTCATAAGAAATCGATTGGACGATTCCGACCATAGTTTAAACATATTTTATTCTCATGAAAAGGATTGGGCACAAGTTATTACAACTTAGAATGCCCTCTCCCATAGATTTATAAACATGCATATTTACAATTAATAAATTTAATAACAGAAAGGAAAGAAAAGAAATAGAGAAACGTATGTACATTAACATTGCTCACTCAACCCTTTTGTTTTCTTTATATATGTATGTGCATTCCTAAAATGTTTTCCTTTACATGATTAGGTAAAACTGCATTGCCAACCAGCATCAGGTCAATAGTAACATCACAAGTATCTTTCACAATAAACAATAGTGAATGGACATTCAATGAAAAACTGACATTAATTTTCACATAGGCTGCCAAATCGGCATTTTGGATCATCGTATTAACCTTTTCTAGGTCATTTTGTTAATTCACTATCACCACGTCTTAATTATGTTTGTATTATGTTAATTTTCCTGAGACCATATGAGAAATATGATGAAATATTGCTGTAACAATGTAATATGGCCCGATAGCCTACATGCACCCGGATAAAGAGAATTGATGGAACAGTAGATTTATCTGTTCTTACACTGGTTTTAAATCGAGAGGTTTCCATGCTCCTTTGTTGAATTGGTAAGGTATTCCACATTATAATAGATGATGGTATAAACGAGTACAAGTTTTCATAAATCTTGTTCGTAATAAAGGCATAGTTATGTTATGAGCAGTTCTAAGGTTGTGTGGAATGTTTGTCCCGACGGAGTGAGGTAATAGATCTTTAAGGTATGACGGTGTGTATTGTTATATAATTTTTAAAATAAACACAATTTACGTTTTCCCCTACGCTCTGATAAGGGTTCACGGGAACTTTCCAAATATAATTATTTGACAGAAGAATAGCTTGGTAGACCAGTTACAATTCTTGCTGCTTCTAGTTGGAGTTTTCCTAATCTGTCACTCTACTCTTTGGTACAACCGTCCCAAACTTCACATCCATATTCAGAATGTGGCTTAATAAACAATACATACACCTTGTTCAACACACTACGACTGAGCATAAACTTAAGCTTTCTCAAGATTGGACGAATCATCTTTGATGGAGTTTTAATTATTGAGTCTTTATGACAAAACCACTTAACGATGACGGCAACATAATACCCATGTGTTTGTGAGTTTTAACATGTTCAATGTTTTCATTATCCAAAAATAATTTCAGAGTTCGATGCTGCTCTTTTGTGAAAATAAGATTTGATTTTGTTTTGCTGGGATGATAAAGAATTAGCCAGTTTTGAGCCCATTCATTAACTTTGTTTAAATTGCCATTCATAGTATTTTCTATATATTCAGTGTTGTTAGATGATATGCCCATGGATGCGTCGTCGGCAACAATCTTATTGAACAGTTCAATTTATCAGTAATATCATTGATGTACACAAGGAACAGGAAAAGGCCAAGTACCGATCCCTGTGGCACACCATACTTTTCAGTATCAGACAATGTTCCATTTGATTGCGAGCTCCAGGAATTCATCGTTTATACAATAACATGTCTATTTAAGCCCACTCCGCCATACTGTATCAAACACTTTTGAAATATCACAAGAATACCATACACTAGAACTCTTTGTTAACGACTACTTTGCACACTTGATTATATAATTCCACCAGTTGGTGGACGGTCGAGTGACCGGCTTGGAATCCTGATTGGTATTTGTTCAACAACAAGTGAACATGAAAATAATTGTGCAAGTGCTTGAACACAACTTGTTCGATACAGTTAATCAAAGATACTGGTCTATAAATTGATGATAGTGTTGGATCACCTTTTTGAAAAGTGGCATAATATGAGCTTATTTCCATTGGGATGTATATATCCGACCATAACATGAGCACGTGTTTATGAGTCACTATCAAATAATGATAGTACCTGGTTTTCGCGAAAAGGTGAGAATATCCTGCCCCCCCTTGCATCGGACATAATGTTTGTCACTGATTCGTCAAATTCGTCCAATGTCGTTCAAATGTCAACTAAAACACTTTTGGAAAGCTTTACCGAGGCCGTGAATGTTGTAGCAACTCAGCAAAAGTCGTATGACGTTCTTTGAGGTGAGGTGATATGGAGTTAAACGTCGCGTTAAAGATTAAAGATTATTGCACTTATACATGCATTAGTAGCATTACGTTCCAAATAGGGCATGTTAAAATAGGATAGGTCAAGTTGCTGACAGAGATTGTACATGTTTCTCAGAACAATCCTTTTAAACGCAAATGAGCAGTGGCTACCGCGGCTGTTGGTGTACAGGGTCCCGTTCCTCTAAGCGGTCTTTGCGCTAAGACGATCGTAGCTCACATACTGTAACACAGACTTATGACTTATGAAAAACGTATCGCTAAGATCGCATTGTTGAACGGACTCCTGGACATTTCACTCTGTGTGTGTGTGTGTGTGTGTGTGTGTGTGTGTGTGTGTGTGTGTGTGTGTGTGTGTGTGTGTGTGTGTGTGTGTGTGTGTGTGTCTGTGTGTGTGTGTGTGTGTGTGTGTGTGTGTGTGTGTGTTTGTGTGTGTGTAACTGATGGCCACCCAGTAATGATATCGGCCATTGATATTTTAACTTCTCGTACTTCGACGTACATGGACAGTGTAAGTGTTACATTCGTCTCCGTCCGGAGCTTCAAGTAGTTGTAGGAACACAGGGGCCAAAGGGTCAATTGCCAGTGAATATAAAGGCCCTGTTCCACAAAGTTATCTCAGCACGTCGGTTGTTGTACATCTGTGTTACAGTATGGGATTTACGTTGGTCTTTGCGCTAAGATCGCTTTGTGGAATGAAGACCAAGGTAACATAAATATAGGATCCATGTAGGATCATGTGTTCTTTCAGGGGCCAGGGGCTCTTGTGCACAGAGCTGGTTTGTTATTGGATCACATACTCAGAAATAGTACAGGTATATATATATCAAGAACATACAGGTACATGCGGCCTGTATAAAGTCTTGACCAGATAAACCAGTGGTTGACGTTATGAACATCATTTCTCACCGTCGGGGCATGATAACACGCAGTCAGCTAATTCATCTTGCCTGACTACCCAAAGGATTTAGTCGCCTCATGCTACAAGAACAGGTTGTTTCGAACAGAACCTATTCTTACCTGGAATGCCCACTTTGGGTTTAGATTTTAGTAATGCCTAGAGCAGAGAAGATTTTTTCTTCGATCAGCCAGCAAGTCATGCAGATTGTTTGGGCACCTATTCTAACCTTGAATCTCCACAGTGGGTTCTGATTTTAGTATTGCCTAGATAGCATGGAACTCCCGTAGCTTGTGGCACTGCGACTTATATTTATAAAGACTCGTGCAGATATGCGAACACCATATATCATCACTATTTCACAGTGACTCATAAACACTTGCTCATCATATTGTCGGAATCGTACAAACGACTCTGCTTTTGGCATATATTTCTTTTGAATATGGAGAGGATTTTGTCGCTCTTATTTTTATTTATTTAACAATGTATTTTCCATGTTAGCCCTTGTTTCCTACCTCAGGTGCTGCCACAGCTGCCATCAATTACTATCGAGCCAAAATCCAGTTCCCTGTGAGAAGGATCCCTAAGATCTCTTGCCCTGTGCTGACAATCTGGGGCTGCAAGGATGCCGCCCTTGAGACAGGCCTGGCCGCTGCTGCTAGTGCTGTTGTAGACAATCACACGGTCAAATACATAGAGGAGGCATGTCACCAGGTTATTATTGACACTCCGGACCAAGTAAACAGACACATGACTGATTTTCTAAAGTAAATATGTAACGCGCAGATCCATGGTAGAAACAGATGCGATTTTCTTAGGTAAGCCATCGCAGAAACGCAGGAGAGTTTCTTAGGAAAATATGGAATGCTCAGATCCATGGTTGAAACACATGAGATATTATTGATATATTATATCATTAAGAAAACATGCATGAAATAAAGATTAATATCAGATGTAAAGTAGATTCTCTGACGTGTGGCAAGTTTAATTTATCTTACTGAAATTGTCAGAGCAATGGGACTAGATTCTTTCGTTAAGCTATAAAAAAACACCACAAATGTATAACTGCCCCTTATAGTAATGTGTACAGAGGGACACCTTAGTTAAGGCGGACTTGATACTTAATCATACGAAAAAAGCAGATGACATCCCTTGCAGTAACATCAACCTTATCAACCTGATAAATGTTACTGTCGCTACTAAAATGATACAGGTAAATATTTTGTTTTCTTTTTACTTGATGAGAAAATAGTTTTGAGAATTATAAATATGTTTTGAAGGGTGATTGGTGCGAATTTGTATTTTTTGTTACACCTGTGTTCACGATGCAGCATAATAATTACCGGTGTGTATCCCAGCTTGCCTTACTAAAGTGCCACACATGTACACAGTTGACAGGTTAGCGCTGTGGTAGCATCTGTGTATCGCCTTGCTTTATGTCAAGCCGTGATACAGGAATCATATTGTTAGTCTTGATAGTCAGTCATTCGACGGATGTATGCGAACGTTCAGTTCGTAAAATCCGCCACATTTGCTGTTGAAACGTCTACACTTCACGTAGAGTTATTTTCAAAGATATATACATGTATGTCTATAATGAGACCGCCATGGGACTCATCGGAGTATGGTTACTCCAAGTGTGAACAGGGACTTTACAAGCATGTGTTGTTACATCAAACATTATGACATTGATATCCATACATACAGGCCATCTGGCTTGTATGGATTTTTACACGATGACAACTGGCCGATCAGTTACCTGGATTCTTTTCCAAGTAATAATGAAGTCTTTTCATCAGTTGTGTTTGCAAGAGTTCTCAAGACACTACTTTATACCACTTTAGATTTTAGCCTTTTATATTAGGCTATTAACATCTAATATACAGAATGCTCTTTTTAAGGAATTATGCGTGTCTTAAAACTGAAATAGATAAAATCATCCGACCTCACTCAATTATTTTTCTTAATAAAAACTAATGAGAGAAAAAGTTTTCAGATTACGTTTTGATGTGACTGTATATGATACCTTGTCATGTAAATGTATATAGATTTTCAATGCACAAAAATCCAGGTGTCAGTGATCATATTTGAATATATAATTCGTGTTGCTTGTCGTAAGAGGCGACTACAATGTATCCAGTGGTGACGTGGTTGATTGTATGTCATCAACATTCTTTGCTGATAAGTCGATCATGGACTGTTATCTCAAGGTTGAAACAGGGCAGGGTGGCCCAGTCGTCTGAGACGCCACGATTCACGTGTATCAAAATGACCTATTTCCAGGCAACATGTACGCACTAATCTGGCCAATACGGCCCATGTTATCACGTGTTTACACTATTACAAAACGTAACGATAAGCTTGCAGTGTCAATATGATGTTAACAAAGACAGACAGCAATGTCATCACACATCACTTCAACAATTATATTGTATTACATCACAAATGGTGTCTGCATAACGTCAACACTGCTCTAGGGCGAATAAAATGCTTATTACACACCTGCTTCTTATTGATTTGTATCACTCACCCGGAGATATAAATGCTAAATCAACGTTCAAGTTACTGTATAAATGCATTGTGTAACAGGGGGCATAGCTGGCCCAGTCGATTGAGGCGCCGCAATTCGCTGTGCAGAGTTGCGTCCCTTGGGCACGCCAGAAACCTTTGATTGTGGGTTCGAATCCCGGTTCGCCCCGATTATGTTTTAGGTTTGTCAGCACCATACCCGTACTCGTGGATTTCACCGAAGTGGTAAACGTCCTGCATCACTTAGGGCTTTTCTCCCACATTAAGGTGACACGCTGTGATATAACTGGAATACTGTTAAAACAGTGATACACACTAGCATGTAGAATGTTATCAATGTTATATGAACGTCGCGACCTAAGTGCAATAATGCTGAACCCGACGTAAGAGCCCCAAAGGACCTCGACGTCACTACCCATGGTCATATGACGTTACTCAATTTACTCCCAAACCGTTACGTCCGGGTGTTAATAATTTCACCTCCTCCATGTCCCATAAGGAAAGTAGCCGCTGGCCCACTCACTAGTAAAAGGTCCAAAAGCCAGTAAGTTTTGGTTTGGTTTGGTTTGGTGGACCAGACACTCCAGTGATTGATATCATGAGCATCAATCTACGCAATTGTGATACGATGACATGCATTAGTCGCCTCTTACGACAAGCATAGTCGCTTCTAGCGACACGCATGGGTTCCTGAAGACCTATTCTACCCCGGATCTTCACGGGTAAAAGCCAGTAGGACGGGGATAAGGAGGAGTTATGTGTTTGGAGCAGACGCGTAGGCGCCAACCGCCATAGGATCTAGCGGTGGAGATGGAGTAGACCAAAACACAGCAGGATTGAGTCTGTATCAATTCGCACAATATTATGCATACATGTAATACCAACTTGGCCACGACAGTGAAACCTACCATCACACAAACAAATCCAGCCATGCTTGCTAACAGCACGCTCACAAACGGGGACACGCATATCTTTGTAGACAATGAGACGGCGACGCGGGATAGGTTTTTAAGCAATCAAGGACGACTAGACATTGGCACGCGAACGCTCGCAAACAAACAGGGAAGGGTCAACAAGCACTGATAACATGCATAATATGCATCCGCCCCAAGCAACACCACTCAATCCATTCGCATCTAGGAATTGAAATGATTCAACCAAGGTTGGCATACCCGCAAAAAATACACTCTGTCTACAGCTTAAACAACGGATCATACGTTTCCCAGCAACTATGGAGCAAAATAAACAACAGCGAATACATTGAGCTCAATCAACTCCTATCGGCCCAAAATCAGGCACCTCAAGAGATATCGGCGTTCACAATGGCGCTCAACGCCACTGGTCAGATAATGCTTAATTGGTTGGTTGGTTTGTTGTTTAACGCCGCACTCAGCAATATTCCAGCTATATGACGGCGGTCTGTAAATAATCTAGTCTGGACCAGGCAAAACCACGCAATTGGGATCGATGACATGCATCAACCAAGTCAGCGAGCCTGACCACCGGATCCCGTTAGTCGCCTTTTACGACAAGCATAGTCGCCTTTTACGGCAAGCATGGGTTGCTGAAGATCTATTCTACCCCGGATCTTCACATATAATGTTTAAAGCCAAACAACAACAAACGCGTCCATCAGGCATTGACGATGGACGTCCCCGTTTAACATCTTCATGAGCGTACATAGAAAATACCCAGAGAAGATATAGGACCTGCTTGGTTGGTGGGTGGGGGCTGCTATTCGGTTCGGTGGAGATTCACGGTTACAAAGAATGCAACGCGACCCGTCTCGCTCCTGGTGGGCGATAGATGGCTATTTATGGTTACAGTATATGCTTCCAAATCAAAAATCAACGCACGTACGCGTAACAAACACCACCACAATAACAATGTCAACACGGGTAGTGCAACTGCCGGTACTGTCCCAAAGTTTTGCTTGGATTTTAACAAATTGTTCCAACCCCCAGCACTCAAACAAAACCCAACGCAAACAATACCAACTCAAGGCCTAGCACCTAGCTCGTTAGTCACACTATTGTCCACGCAGCAAGCTTTTTATCAAACGTTTTTTCTACAGTATATGGGTCCACCTGGTCCTTGAAGGCCCACCGACATCTAAAGATTATGGCAACATTGTTACAAAATGAAATTGATCCAGGTAGAATATAGGTCCATTTACAGCACCACCATTTCACGATATAATAGTTTCTCCAATTGGACTCGTTGCGAAAAAGTCAATAAACCAAAACAGTGAACAAGTTCAGCAAAAGTTCAGACTTATTCACCATCGGTCGTACCTCGAGGGGGAGTCTGTAAACGACTACATGTCACACGATGTGTCAACAGCCAAGCGAATTGGCTTTTAAGATATCACTGTGAACATTATCACGAATGACATGATTATCATTATACAATTTCCCTGGTGTGTATATAATTGAAATAAACATTATCAACATGAATTTCCATAACCGTTTCCACAGAAAGATAAATAAAACATCCATGTGGTCAAATGATATGTTAGCATCGTTACATGTCCACACCATGATGCATAATTAATTTTAGCTCCCACATCTCAAGATAACAGTGACATTTGCAAGTAGATCTTTGTCTAAAGCTAAAAGAAGATACCCTGTGACAAGAAAAGAACTCTTAGCAGTGGTTTACATGACACAACACTTTAGACATTATCTGATGGGGCAAACATTCTTACTCACAACTGACCATGGAAGTTTAAAATGACTTTACAAGAGCCAGTGGCACAGGTGGCCCGCTGGTTGGAAATCCTCTCTGAGTATGAGTTTACCATACAACACAGTCCATGAGTCAAGCATGTGGATTCTGATGCTGTGTCAAAACTACCATCTGACACCATTGCAGATGTTATGTATTTTCCAATTAAGAATTGACCTTCACTTTGTGTTTGAGTTCATTGGAGTATGAACCTTCCTAGAGTAAGGGCCAAACTGTACAAACGTCGGAACCTGCGACGACGTTCATACACTGTTTGGCCCCCACTCTATGAAGGTTCATACTCCAATGAACTCACACAAAGTGAATGTCAATTCTTATAATTTTTTCATCACAATTTCTTACCTCAAAGGATGTAGGCCAAGATCTAAACACAATTTCATTTAGTACGTGTGACTTCATGTTTACACTGACAGCCATACAACAACCAGCTATATCGCGGAGTAAAATAGTTCCTCAAAAAGAGAGGTGACATGGGCGTATGGATGCACAACTTGCTCTCCAGAAACATCTTAAGCAGCACATGTGTTCAAATCGTATCCTTATTAGATGAGAAAGGTCTGTAAAGAACTGCCTCAGTAAGTCAGTCACAATGACAGCGCTTCGTAATACATTTACATCAAGTACAAGACGTCAAAATGGCCGACACGATAAACGTGACGGGAGAGAATTTCCGGAGTTGTTAATGAACGTGTGGCGGTTACATGTGTACGTCATCATTGATCAACTGGCCGATCATTGAAAGGTGAATAAAGATGCGTCAAACAGACACTAAGGTAAATTCATAGATTGCTGGAGACGGTCAATGTCAGCCTAGGCACGGATCGAGTCGACACTACGATAGTTTAGATGTGCATTTCATCGTTTGGTCATTAGGATAGGCCGCAGCGAGGATATTCGTGAACAATCATGCAGTCACGCGCTCTGACATTTCTCAATGTATACTGAAACGCTGAGACCAAGAATAAAGGTTCTAAATGATCAGAAAGAACGCTTATGTGTGTTATCGTGCTAGGGAATTCCCAGGGGCTTCCCCAGGAATGTGGAAGTAGTTCGTCAGTGTTTACGTCATTTCAAGAACACAGTCTCGTGAAAAACGTATGAACGTCAAATTGTGTCGTTCATACACTTATGAACGTCAATTTCGCGGTCAGGTGACCGACCTCTCGTCCAATGGAAAAGCCGTATATCGTGTAAACTTCAAATTAAAAAAATATTCTATTTTACACTGTTTATTCCATGTTTACCCCTTGTTTCCTGTCCCAATGTGCTACAATAGCTTTTATCAATTACCATCACAATTAAGTCTCCTAGTTTTGCGACTAACTTGTTTTTGGAAGTACTCATTTTCTTCCGAACGTTGCTACGTTGCGTACAAATTTGACGCATCAGTGATAAAATGATGTCCGATGCAATTCCCTATTTTGACTGGTACCATATGTTCACATGTTTTTCAGATGAACAGTTAACTTGCCTTTGCATGTGTTTGTATAACCTTTCTGGTCAAATAATGGTAATATAATATTACAGAAAACTGTTTCATCTGTGCTACAGAGCTACAGAGGCTACATTTGTCCGACCTACTACTTCCATTAGGTTACAAAATCATTGTCATTTTCCGACTCGCGAACACCTGGTATCATTTCTATTTGGTAGTGATTCATAAACACTATGATATAGTCGGAATCGTACAATCGACTCTGCTTTATGGCCATGGAAAGGGTTTTGTCGCTTTATTTCAGACGATAGCGTGATTATAGCCCCTGCTATCAGGGCTAGATGACACAATCTATGACACTGCATTTTGGCAGGCAACCCGTTGTCGAAAGTGAGAGCCAGCTGTGAGGCCACCAGCATTCAACTACTTATCATAAGTGGCGGGTTGTAAGGCTTGGCGACGTGGTGGATTTCCTGTCATCGTAGCTTGACTGCGTGGTACATATCTATTTTCAACGTCAGGTTTGTCTGGTCTCAACATGCTCACTTTCCGGCCGCTTTGATACACCTTAAATATTGCTTTGTGCAGCGTTTCACTGTCTGTGTGAAAAGTCACACTATGACGGGAGCTAGTCCCACTTGCAAAATGAAGTTCAAGGTCGTAATGATATGACGAGCAGCTTATCTTTTCTTTCCGTCCAGTTGGACAATGTTCGCTTTACAAAGTAGCTACGTGCCCATGAAATCCTATACCAGCATGCACAGTGTTATCAATGTTAAACAGTTTATGAAACGGATCAAAGTCCACGCATTACCACATATAAGAGGGACGAACTAATTTCGTTCTATTCATTCCCGCCAGCACTTTTGACTTTCACAACCAGGAAGTATGGCGATTAAAGACATTTTTTTCAGGTGGATCTCCTTCGGGCTGGGATGTTTTTATTCAACATTCGTTTTCTTCGCTTTATTTGCATTGTTTGTGAGACACCCTATCGCATTTTTCTCACGAAAAAAACGAGATGTGATGCCATCAGTTCTAAACGACCCGGACTTGGGGACGCATGGCTATGTCCACTTGGAGGTAAGTAAAAAAACATATCATTCGTCAAAGCAGGACATTTGATGTTTTCTTTGCAAATAATTTGTGCTCATAATATTAACTATGCAGACGTTCCAGATTTCGCGACATGAAATTGTACGAAGTTGAGCAATTTTGGCCACAGATAACAAGCGAGTGCAGTTAACAGACTTATCGCCATCAGGGATACATGTATTTTGTAGACTTTCGACTAAAATTGTGCTGAGTCATTTGAAAACCATTTGTTCATGTTTTGTGGGCGTTAATACGCCGTTGAGGCATAATAATAAACAATATTAATTTTATTATGTTAATGTAAGATATTATTAAGAACCTTATCATGAGTGACATGATTATAATTATTACAATTTCCCTGGTGTATGCATTATTGCAATAAATATTATCAACGTGAATGTCCCTAAACGTTCCACAGAGATCTCTGTTACCATGGTTTCATGTGCACACATTAATTCATGTTTAATTTCGGCTCTAAAATGTCAAGGGTCTCACAGACAATACATTATGCATATTCACACATTCTACCAGCTGTGGGGCGGTCGGGTAGCCTAGTGGTTAAAGCGTTCGCTCGTCACGCCGAAGACCCGGGTTCGATTCCCGACATGGGTACAATGTGTGAAGCCCATTTCTGGTGTCCCCCGCCGTGATATTGCTGGAATATTGCTTAAAGCGGCGTAAAAACATACTCACATACTCACTATCAGCTGTGATTATTTGCTTATCACTTGGCAGCTTAGAAGTATTTTTCACATATTGGTCATGTTGATCAGCTGATGACATACATAAATGATAAATTGTACAATAGACGTGACACACATACCTGCAGACTAGAGACCAAACAAAAGTCGGATATATCAATATTACTTCTAGGCTTTTACTGTTTGTTTGTTGTTTGATAAAAATCCAACTTTATGACAGTGGTCCACATCTATCTGTGCCTTGACCATACAATCCAGTGACTGATATTATGAACAATAATTCACATCGACGGTACACAGTCAACACAGCCACAGATCCTGACCACCCGATCCATTTAGTCTCCTCGTATACTTCTTTGTCAAACGTGTCAATCATTGTCGGTATATTTTGAGGCTTCAAGTCACAATAACTACCTTTGATAGACACAGCTGATTTGACAGCTGCATCACTCACTACAGAAGATAATATTTATCACAACGGAAGATAATATTTATATTGGAAAGTACTTCTTTCTTAAACGTGTCAGTCATTGTCGGTAAATTTTGAACTATATTATCAATACAATTTGTAGGATACTAAATGCAGAGTTACGTTTCTAACAATAAACAATGTATGCATGGCAATACATATCAGGTAGACATAATAGACATTCACTATGGAAGATACTACACGTTTTTGTGACGACTGACAGATTGAACTGTCGATTCTGTCATAGCGATTACGTCACAATGAACGATGTGGTGTCATAATCATGATAACGTGGTGTACGGTGCAGAACGAAACCTTGCAAGGTTTGCTTCATTTCAGGGTTGTCCACTCAATGTCTTCAGTAGCTATTCAACATATTTTATAATACTCATCATATGTGTGAGCAAAGTAAATCGATGTAAAAAACAATGTTTCAGTGTATCATTCGTACAAAGTGACTTTCATTTTTTCAAGATGATGATCAGTGTGTCTTTGATTCTGACCCTTGCTAATTGACAAACTGTTTAAAAAAGCTGAATTCAGTCGATGCTGATTCACTCACTCACGCTGACACCAAAGAGTTTGCGTTTAATATTTTCGTGCTAGAATGAAGATAAATACATCAAGTTCTGTGTTTTCAATACAGAGCTATGTCTTGTGATGTGTGTTACCTTAAGATTTGATGGCCCCAAATCTATAATTTGTAACCTAACCCTGAGCGGTGAGTTATATTAATATATCGAACATACAAAAATTTAATATTGTGAGGATGAAACTTTATGTAGGAGCTGATCATGCTGACACCGTTTTCAGTTATAATTCATGTTAGTCAAGTTAATTCTGTATTACATTTGTTAATAAATTTTATGAATGATATGACAAATGTTAAAGTCTTTGACAGGTGATGTGAGATGAAGTGAATTTGGGGGTTAACGTCGCTTTCAAGATTATTACACGTATAGCGCTTATATAGCGACGTGAATGCACGTGTGTTTTAACGTGTTTTGGTATGACGGAGCCGGGGACCTTCCGCACCCCATACAGACACTCTATCCATGAGACTGCAGAGGCTACCAACAGGATATATAGTCATGGTAGAAGGTAGAAGAACATGGAGACATTACACTTGTTATGGATAAAGAATAAAGAAGTTATCCATAATACGGTTTCATCTTGTTTGGATCAAATGTACGCTACTGTAGATACTGCACCATATTTACATTGCTCTACTCATTTCAGGAGGTAAAGATCCACTACGTTGCCCAGGGCGACGAGACCAAGCCCCTAATGCTGTTTGTCCATGGGTTCCCAGAGTTCTGGTACTCATGGCGATACCAGCTGCGTGAGTTCAAGAAGGATTACAGGTGATTATGACAGCTTTCACCACACAGAATTACTATGTGTTTAGGGTCTTTCCAATCTAATAATGAAATGATCATGATGATATGTAACCGTTTCATCACAACTTTAAAATAATTTTGGATGCTGTCGAAACAGTTGCCAAAAATAGGCAAAAAGAGAAGAGAAGCCTGTTGAATATCTGTCAGAGTGGGTTAAGTCAGTGCTTGATCTTAACATTGGTAGAATGCACAAATTGAAAAAGATTTTGAATACATCCATTCTGTCCCAGCTAGCTGTCATCAAAAGTCTGGCTGCCTGACATGAAAAGTTTGTACATGTACTTGTTGCCACTGACAAGGCCTCAAATAACATAACGATCATATGTAAGCATCACCTTATCAATTGCTTGATCAAAGAACTTGATAAATGCATAAGTGACATGCCACATAAAAGCCCAGTATGTTAACTGAGGAAGAAATTTGCCAAAAGCATGCATAAGTATTAACAACTTTGAACTTGACTCTAAAACCTGCAGAAATGCCCATTCCTCTATTATACTGGATTACAAAGCTTCATAAAAAATAAGATAGATATATGCCGGTCAAGCAAATGTACCACCAACTCCCAGTCTCAAAGAAAAACCATAATCATTGATACAATCAAGGAAGGACTTTTTTATATTCACAGAAAGTATTTGCGACAAGTGTTATTAATACCATGTGGATTCTCAAAATCTCAAAGGATTTGCTTGACTTTTTGTAATCGCAGAAAAGAACCAAGATTTATTCAGTCAAAACATTTGACCTTTCAAGTTTGTACACCACTATCCCACATGAGAGACTTAAGAGAAAACTTCATTCCTTGATCCATGGGGCTGTTGTTACAAAATAGATACAGTTTCATATCTCTCAATTTGTCCACAATGAAAGCAAATGCCATCTTAAGTTTACTGAGAAAACAATATGCGAAATGCTGGACTTTGATTACATCCATGTAAGATTTGGAGGTAAGACATGTTTTTAAATGCATACTAGTATGTGTTGTGTCCGTCGTATGACAAGTCTTGAACATGTTCCAATATTTATTCAGGAATGTAACAGTCGTGCACAACATCTAAGATGGCTGACCCCGGCGAGCACATGTGTTATATCGCACGTGAAGTTCCATTCATGTGACGCACCTCGCACGTGAAGAGTTACCAAAGAGTTACCTCCCCTATACCACAACGTGCATGCATAGCATATATACCCACAATATGAATCGGAATTTCAACTCAGATTGGCAAAGTCAAAACAAGGGAATTCGGTCAACATGTTTAACTATAGCTTTAGGTATATCGATGATCTAATATCGTTTAATAACCATCAGATGGCTAATTCCCTTCAACTGATTTTCACATCTGAACCGGAGACCAGTGAGACTGCATTATCCGTTTCGTATTTATATCTATGCATCAACATTCTTTCCACAAGACTGTATGACAGGAGGGATAACTTCAACTTTCCAATGGTCAGCTGTCCCTTCACGTCGAGCAATATTCCAGCCACTCCATCCTTATCACAGCTGTTGTTGTACACTCGAGCATTCTCCTTCTACCACGATTTCAAAGTGTGTCATATTACTTTTCTCAGAGGTTGTTTGATCAAGGTTACAACATCCACGGTCTCGGTAAAGCTTTCAAAAGGTTTTATGTAGACACGTGGAGAACATTTCCAAATTTGACCATCAGTGACAAAAATGATATCCGATGCAATTCCTTATTTTCACTTGCAACGTATGTTCCCGTGGGTTTTTTTTAAATGAAGAATTGACTCGACTTTGCATGTGTTTTGTATCATCACTATTTGATAGTGATTTATAAACACATGCTCATGATATAGTCGGAATCGTAGAATCGACTCTGCGTTTAGCAGAGATGTCTGATGAATATGGGTTTTGTCGCTTTTACTATAATGGATGGATAATTATTGTTATTTAGTTTTATTATTTAACATATTACATGTTGAAGGACCGGTGAAGATCTGGGGTAGAACTGGTCTTCAGGAACTCATGCGTGCCGTAAGAGAAGACTATGCTTGTCGTAAGTGGCGACTAACGGGGATCGGGTGGTCAGGCTCTCCGACTTAGATGATGCATGTCATCGTATCCAAATTGTGTTTATCTTTGTCAGCACAGTACCCTTGTTCATGGATTTCACCACAGTGGTAAACGTCATAGATCTGGTGTCCTACTGATTCCTGTGATATTTGTTTTTCCTCCTTTTTCATCACGAGTTTGAAGACCTGTGTTATTTCCCCCAGGGTTGTGGCCATTGATTTGAGAGGCTATGGTGACTCCGACAAGCCTTCCGGTATCTCCAATTACAATATTTCCAAGATGGTGGCCGATCTTAAGCAACTCATCCCTGCTCTAGGTAAAATTAAATTTACTCCCAAGGAAATTCTGGGTACGACATATTCACAAGCAACCCATGGTGGTTGTAAGTCAGATGCGACTTAATGAATTGGATGAATAGGATCGGAGACATGGTTGTGGGTATGTTAGCCTATCCTGACGGCCGGGAGTGTTGCACGTAAATATCGTGGAGATCCGGGTTAGAATAGGTCTTCAGCGACCCATGCGTGTCGTAAAAGGCGACTATGCTTGACGTAAGAGCCCATTAATTGGATCGGGTGGTCAGGCTCGCTGACTTGGTTGATGTATGTTGATGCTCATGATATCAATCATTGGATTGTCTGAACCAGTCTCGATTATGTACAGACCGGCGTCATATAGCTGGAATATTGCTGATTGCGGCGTTAAACAACAAACAAAGAAAAGCCGTCCGGGAGTGTTATCAATCACTGGATTATCGGGTCCAGAATCAGTAATGTACAGGCCGCCTTCAGATAGCTGGAATATTCCGCCTTTAAACAAGAAACAAAAATATAAATAGTGCAACCACCTTTATCATAATGTTTATGTCCCCTACCATGCATGCATGGGTCCATCGACATGACCCTGTTGTAGCTGTGTCAGTTTGGAAGCATTGAACTGAACATGGTTAAGATGGGTTTGATATTTCTCTATGTAACTTTGTAAACAAATCAATGAAATGCTGCCAGGTGCCTTACATTTTATATATAGTTAGATAGCTGATTGTGCATTTCTTTCTTTTCCTAGAGGAGTATGAAACATATGTTAAATATATTGTCTATGTCATAGAGTTCGTGGGTCTAGTGGGTAGGTACGGAATAGTGTTCGTGTGAAGCAAATACACTTTCTTCATTTTACACATACTGAGCATTAATGTTTTCCCGCTACATCAAGTATCAGCCAACTTCTGGTTGTACTCGTATAGCGACAGGTTGCTAGATTGTACCAGCTCCCGAAATCCGCCACAATCCTGACAAAATACAATGCCAGCAACACGACAAGGATCTGGACAAAGTAAAACAGACACCTCTGAAAGATCTTCAAAAGGCAGAATGGAGGAATACCTACACCAAAATGAAAACACATCATATATAGCAGAAAACAACACAGGAAACTAGGTAGGCGAAAAAAATCACGACATGAAAACTCTCATAAAAAACGCTTTAAGAATGCTACAGAACTCACACTGAAAATGGAAGAAATAAATGAGGAAATAGTGAAAATACGTATGTGACTGATGACTTAGTACAATATGCCGAGATGAACACTGAGCATATCGCATGTAACAGAAAAGAAATTGAAAATATAAGACAGGATTTTGCTGATTTCAGAAAAGAAATGGGAAATAACCTGCTTACACAAGAAATGTATTCCCCAAAACAAAACTTGCTTGTCTATGGCATCCCCGACAAAGAGCAGCCAGGTGTATCTTGTCATGAACTTTTCTCGGACATGGGGTTTACTTCCGCCTTGGATGTTGTAGACATTCACCGGCTGTCACGCCACACTACAGATGAGCGTTAAAAAACTCTCCTTAATCTGTACATATCTTAATTTGTACATATGGCTGATAATCAGGATGTGTGGCAAGGTAGTTTCTCAAACTCGGCAATGTTAAGGGAAAGAAAGGTATCGACCGTACTGATCTACCTGTTCTTCTGAAAAGGTACAGTGGCAAAGGCCTACATTTTCTGCACAGAACATAAAGTACAGACCATAATCTCCTAGAAAGGCATCGATGTGATTCCTGGGTACAGAAGGAACATTACCTCTTCGTGGAAAGCCATTGGGCTTCAAGATGATATCATCTGTGACCTGAACGTGATGTCAGTGTCAGCTAAAGATCCACATCACGTTCAGGTCACAGATGATATATCTTTGATGAAGTTCATTCATAAATTTGTTTTACACATATATGGATCCAACGTTGGATCTTCTTCGGATCACGGTATGATAGGATAAGAAATGAGACCACGTGAAGCTTGCCGATAAGCACGTTGATTTGTTTATCAACGTTTGACAAGGTGACTGCGTGAACTCTTAACCGGATGTTTTCGTTTCCAAGGCCAAGGACACATCACACGTGTTTTCTCTCAGTGTTCATTCACGAGCGATAAAATGTTTTACTGACTTTCAATGCATGTAGCAAGACACTTTTAAAAAGACACTAAGATAATAATGCCCTGTAAATATATTAGTCCTTGCTATATAAAACATTGATTTTTATCAGTGTGCAAGTGATTCATTTAATCGAAAATACTTGTGTTTGATACCTGACGTTGAGCAGTCACTGACATTGTATTAATACCGTTGTCTACTTATACTTGGGCGGTTTTAGGTATGGATTCGGTATGAAACCGAAGGAAGCATTTATTTTTCATACTTCGTCATGTTTATGTTCATATTTAATACTTTTTTCCATCCAAACCTGACGTGTGCAAATATATACAACATAAACAAAATTATACCTATTTTATAATGGCAAAATATGTAATTTATGACAAAGTACACAGAGGGAAAATTTAACATATTATCATTAAATTGTAGAGGCTTACATAACACTTTTAAAAAGAAACAAGTATTTAGTTTTTTTGAGAAATGAAAAAAGCCCAGATAATTAAACAACAATGGGGTTATAAAGACTGTTAAATTTGTTCTTCAAAAAGCCAATGCAAAGGGTACATCGTTTTAATTTAATAACAATTTTGCATTCATGGTTATGCATTCAATTCTAGATAAAGATGAAGGTAACTTTGTGGCATTAGATTTAGTATTGATGAAGTAACTGTAGAATAACCACAAGAAAGAATCATTTCATGTGGTGATTGGAACCTCATACTTGATGACGACAAGGACACTTGGAATTATAAACGGATTCATCATCCCAAAGCAAGGAAGGTACTTCTGGAAACAATTGATAGTTGAGATCTTAAAGACCCATGACGAGGATTATATACGCCTTCAAAAAGATTCACCTGCCGACAGCCAACACCAAGCACGTTTGGATTATGTTTCAGTCTCACACAATGTTTAACACTCAGTTGAAGAATGCGATATAATCCTATAACCCTCAGTATACATTCTGATCATTCTAGTACTTCTCTTTCTCTTTCACTTTCAGATATACAAAAGGGAAAGGGCTTTTATAAACTGATTTTGAAAAAGCATTTGATTCTGTGGAAAGGAATTTTATGCAAAAAGTATTTACATTTTTAATTTTTTGAAAATATCGAATCATGTGTTTTTGGTAAATGAATATGCTAGTCCCATTTTAATGTTATGAGGGGTTGTCGCCAGGGAGGGGGGTCCAATATCCCCATATATCTATATTCTTTGTGCAGAAATCTTAGCAAAAATGATAAGAAATAATAAAAAAAATCAAAGGTATGCTGATGGGTACTATTAAATATCTGCTGACGAATAACAATTCAATCACTACATTAATTATGGTAACAAAATCGATGCTTTATACATTTAATAGAAAAGGCAAAACCAATTGTACTACTTATTCTAAAAGAAATATTTAGATATTATGAGATTACAAAATGTATTGCATATTTTTATTGTATTTATGCAAGTTTCGATGCCTTCTGGTTCTTTACATTAATTATTTAGAAACCCTGTATTAACTATGATATTTCATCTGTCTATGCAGCAAACATGTATTTTGTTATAATTTTGTATTTTGGCATTGAATAAACCACATCTCACTATAATAATTATGCCGAATGTAATAACTAGTCCATGCACACTCTATGTGTGAAAATGAAATGTGAAATATGATAGGAAACATAATAAAATAAAAATTTAAACCAAAAAACAAAACAAAAACAACAAAAACAAAACAAAAATCAGGTTAGACAATAAGAAAATACTCACAATTTATATATTCTTCAATAAAGGTATCATGCAGTATAAATGTATGCACCAAGTATAAGAACAAAGATACGTGTTGACGACAAACATCCTTCGCAGGAACGATTATGTCTGTAAAACATAACATCAAAACACATCATATATTGTGCACGTGCCTCACACAGTAGCACCCCACAAGTGCGTAGGGCGTGAATTTGACACTTTAAAGGAATGTCGATTAATCTCTGTGGACCATTATTTCTGTCAATCTTATTCTCTCTGCCTCTCATACAGTTGTGACTTGCGTGATTTCACTCATTGTTTTGTATGAACTAGCGATGCGGCGTCTATAGGCTATTAACATGCTGGAAAATGGCAGAGGTCAGGGTGTGGTGGCCAAAACGTTCAATGTTTCACAGTCTGCGATTAGCAGACTATGAAGCAGGTACCAACAAACCCAAAATGGTGACGATCGACTCCGTTCTGGGCGTCCCAGGTCAACGATCAGAGTACAGGATTGATTCATCCGAAACCAGCCTCTACGAAATCGAGCTCAAACGGTGAATCAACTTGCTTCAAACTTTCATCAGGCTACAGAAGTACGAGTTACCTGCTCGATGGCCACGTGTTGTGCTTCCCCTATGAAATCGCCATAGTGCCAACAGACGTCAATGTTTTACACATCGAAACTGGCCACGTGTCATGTTTTTAAGTGAGTGAGTGAGTATGGTTTTACGCCGCTTTTAGCAATATTCCAGCAATATCACGGCGGGGGACACCAGAAATGGGCTTCACACATTGTACCCATGTCGGGAATCGAACCCGGGTCTTCGGCGTGTCGAGGTAACGCTTTAACCACTAGGCTACCCGACCACCCCTGTTTTTAAGTGAGTCCCTAGAGACTTTGCACTTCCTTGATGGGCATGATCGTGTCTATCGACGTCGAAATGAACGTCAAGCCAATGTTAATCTGAGACCTTATCACAGATTTGGCGGTCGAAGGGTTATTATGGGGTTATGGGTGGCATTATTATGACTGAGCGAACCCCACTCCATATTGTGTAAGAAAGGGTCACTGGACAGTACTATTGGGACAACATGCTGACACCCTTTGGTGTCCAATTTGCAAGGCGTGTGGGTCGACATTTAGTCTTTCAGGACAACAACGCCCGTGCTCACCCTGCACGAATCGTCAATGCTCACCTCCAGCAGCACAACATCCATAGAATGCCATGGCCAGCAATTCCCCCATTGAACACGTCTGGGACATGATACGGAAACGAGTGCGTGAACGTCAGGCCGCCGGCCCCGTTGTCTAAACTTGGCCAGGCGCTGAAAGATGAGTGGGACAGACTCTTTCCTATCGCCACTGGGAGACACATATGTAATATGCCTCGTCGTGTGAATTAATTTTTGACAAATCGTGGCATTACGCAACACTGATCCAAAAACGTCAACTTTGAAATTTCCTATCTTAACACTATCATCCCTCAAGATCCTTCAAGATCATAACATAGCGGCAATAACACCCTCTGGCATACTTCACTACTGGTTGTAATGTGTTCTCAATTCGTTCTTTAATATCATACAACTAATACAAGAAACTAATTTTGAAAGTTATGTCCGTGTATCGGTATAGATTTGCGAAATGAAATATAATTAAGTGTGATAACCATGATAAATATTCAGATACACAAAAGATTTATTTTGATGTATTTCTTGTGTACAGTACATCTGATCTGCTTCTGTCCTCTAGGTTACAAATCATGTGTGCTGGTAGCCCATGACTGGGGTGGCGCCATTGCCTGGACATTCACTGCCATGCACCCTGAACTGGTCGACAAACTGATTATGATGAACTGTCCCCCTCTAGACGCCTTTAGGAGCTACATGGAGAAGAGTTTGGCACAGTTCAAGAAATCTTGGTAACAAAAATATAGTCTATTCTCCATTTGCTAATCACGCTTAAGGTACACGATACACGAATATGCATCTTTTACCTACTAATTGTAGCCATGGTAACTGTTGTCCAACGTGACCAAAGAGGATGCTTCCTAAAGCATGATTAGCCCCAAAGGTCATTGCAAGCTTAAGAGAGAACGTTTTTTTAGGTCTTTGAAAAGTTGATATTTGTTATGCACTGGAACAATGGGATACGATTTGGAACATATTTGAGTCTCTCTTGAGCATGTTGAGATAAGGTCAAGTTTTACGTTATTTTGAAACTTCTGGGATTTTTGTTGCTGAACGTTTGTTTAGTGTAATTCTTGAAAATAATGCGTCACCAAACAATAGTGTGTCGACCCTTAGCCTAAAATTGTCGTCATGGAATTATTGCAAGTGATGTTATATATACTCTGCAAAAAATGAAACTTAAAAGTAAAGAAAACTTAATATCTGATAGTGTTGCCGACATCCATACAAAGTTAATACCACAATTGAGACCGCCTCCGTGGTCTAGTGGTAGAGCGTCCGCCCGGAGAGCGAAAGGTCCGGGGTTCGATCCCCGACCGCGTCATACCAAAAGACGTTAAAAGATGTTACTTGTTGTTACCCTGTCTGGCGCTCGGCATTAAGGGGCTAAAACAAGGACTGGTCGGCTCGGAGTCAGTATACTGTGTCTGAGTGGGGTATTCATGTTAAACTGCAGCAAGTGAACAACGAAAACATGTCACGACTGACGGAAGCCAAACGCAACAACGCCGTCGGCCAACTGCAATCAGTAGCATCATCTTCAGTTGTATCCAGCCTTCTCACATAGCACAAAGCACCATTTCAAGACCGTGGAACCGCTATCAGACACAGTGGAAACACGGGACCTTCCCAGATACGGTCGACTACGTATCACTACGAGACCACAGGGCAGATACATAAGGCTACGGAGAGGTGAGGTGAAATTGGGTTTAACGTCGCGTTCAAGATTATTGCGCTTATATAGCGACGTGCATGCACGTGTATGTGTGTGTGTGTGTGGCTGCTTGTACTAGTCCCGACTGATGCCGATTTTATAGTGCTAGCACACTGAGATATCATGCCGCAGTTTAACATGGATACCCCACTCAGACACAGTATACTGACTTCGAGCCGACCAGTCCTTGTTTTAGCCCTTTAATGCCGAGCGCCAGACAGGGTAACAACAAGTACCATCTTTAAACGTCTTTTGGTATGACGCGGCCGGGGATCGAACCCCGGACCTTTCGCTCTCCGGGCGGACGCTCTACCACTAGACCATGGAGGCGGTCCCATAAGGCTACGTCACTTGCGTAAAAGAACCACCACGGCCACCTCTACAAGTACGACAATACCAGGTATTCGCGCCGGTGATGGTATTGTCATGATGTGATGATGCGGGAAGCCATCTCTTACAATGGTAGAACAGGCTTGGTGCTGGGGATTTTAACGGCACAACGTTACACGCATGAGATTATTCGGCCACACGTCCTTCCCATATGCAACAAGCGAACTTCATGTTGCATGATCAGATGTTAATCTAGATCAGATAAGTTTTGCAAATATTTTCCCTACAACTTCCAGTAATGTGATAGGTCTATAGTTTCCTGGATCATTGGATCGTCCTTTCTTATAAATAGTCAAGATAACACCATATGTCCACTGGTCGGGATAAATTCCCGTCCGCAAGACAACATTATATAATGTTAATAACATTTCGATACAGGGTTGGGGTATATTATTTAAAAATTCGATTGGCAAACCACAATATCCAGGTGATTTTCCAGATTTCATATCATGGATGGCTCCCAAGAGTTCAGATTCAGTTAAATCAGTACCATAAATGAATATTTGTCAACCGAATTATTAATAAGTTAATCGGATAATGAATTTACAAAGTCGTCGATAGTTGTATGGAAATCAATATAGTCATCAATATCACCCATGCCTCCAAATAGAGTCTCAAAGTGACATATCCGGTCCTTGGGTGTGATTGAGTTCGTTTTTATGGTCTGTTGTACCCGAAAGCATGGAACAGAACTGTTCATTGTCGTGTTCACAGAAGGCTACTTTAAATTTATCAACAAACATAATAAATCCACCATCCATTTTCTCCATACATAGGTCTTTATTATAATTTCGAACTGATGTGTATTTCTGTCTTACATGGCATATTTTTATATAAAATTTATATATATATACGATCACTGAATAAACGAAAGTTCCCACGGACAAATCCGCATACTGATGACAGTGGACACACCATTTTGTAAAAGTTGATCACCGGTAAATTCGAGGCCACTTAATTAACGCCCGCAAGGGAGACACATTAATTTCATGATTAAAGGTATATGATCCTATCTCAATAAAACTGTCAAAGAAGACTTTTCCAGATTGAACATGGACACACTGGCAGTCATATTGAAAATCATTTGTTTGTCCAATACTAGTATACAGGGATTTCTTCATGTATCGTTATGAATTTGTGTATGCAGTAATGTGGTAAAGGAAAATAATAATAGGTATATTTTGAGGAGGAGTGTGATTTTGTAAATATTTGACTTTCTTGTTCTGTATCAGGTACGTGTTCTTCTTCCAAGTTCCATTTCTTCCTGAGTGGTCACTGAGACTGAATGACATGTGGGCTCTAGAAGGAATCTTGACGGGGCGTCAGTATGGGGTCACCACAGAGATAGACGAGATTGAGGCCTACAAATATGCTTTCTCCAGACCAGGTAACTGCAGTGGTTACAAATATGATAATAGTTATAGGAGTACAACTATGATAATAGTAATCGAGTACCACTATTTGAATTGTGTTGTGACAGTTAGAGGAGGACTTTGACCTACCCACGCTGTAGGTTTCACTACATTAGTGTGCATGTCAAGGGTGTGCATGTCCTGGGTTCAATACATTGCTAGGGTGGTTGTGGGTGAGTAATGTCACTACAGTTATCGTTATTCTACTTGGTGTCAAGGCCCAACATGTGGTACCACATTTTGCAGTCTGACAGGTGTACATCACAATGGAATGGAATCTTCCAGAATACAGATTATATATTTTACAATTTTTTGTTACAATGTAGAAAATGAGACTTGTGCCATAAATGCCTCGATCAAATGGATTGTCATCATTTCTTAGTGAAAGGCCACCCTACCTCAAACATACCCGTGTATGTGTTTACTGAGTAGAAGCCCAGTAATGGCTCGTAAACAAGCTCTTTATCACAACACACATCTGATATGAAAATATGATTAAAGTGAGCTTGTTTATAATGATTAGAGCAGTAATTGAGGGTCATTTAGTTAACTCTTTATATTTAGTGGAGTTGTTATTGCAATATTTGCTTCTTAATGATATGGTCAGATCCTTGCACATCAAAAACCATGGCTGGCGTTCAGTGGTTGAGTATGTCACTTTTTGAACAACTGCACATGATGAGATTGCTTCAGTCATCCGACACCGTTTACATGAATGGAACTTTCAGTGCCTGCCCTGAACTATGGAGGAATTCAAGTTTCTTTATTGTATTTCTTTTAACTAATGGCAACAAATGGGTGTATCTGTGGCCTATACGATTTCAATGAAGAGGTAGGAAGGGAGTACATTGCAGTGTATTTAACCTTGTCTTTTGTTTGTTTATGCTGTCTGCTAACTTGGCCGGGGTATCTGCAAAACGGATAGTCACCATATGGGCCCTGTCCCTGGTTCAATGAATTGCTTGAGAGTTGTTAAGAGTGGAGTCACCTCTGTTGTGGCTATGAACCTGTGGTGGAGTAGATGATTATGTTGTTTTCAGTATTCAGTCGTTATATCGAGATGAATTGTCAATATTAATGTTAACAATTTATATTTAAACTTTACATGGATATACTGACATTAGACAATGGACAGTCAAAAGCTACGAGTAGTTGAGGGTACTCATGGGTCAAATGAAACATTACCTGTAACAGAATTATGGCATCAGAATTGATCCGTGAAATAGGATTGTTTGTTCTTTCAGGGGTCAGTGGCCCATATATCCTTAGGATGTTAGGTTTATACTTAGATATTGTTTTTAAAATATGAGTGCAGGCTGTAAATAATCAAGTCTGCAAAAACCAAACCAGTGATTGTAATTATGAACAACGTCTCGCACCTTCCAGTCATGATGGCACAAAATCAACCAAGGCACCTAGCCTAACCACCCGGGCCCTTTAGCCGCCTCATGCTGCAAGCACAGGTTGCTAGGTACTTATTCCACCCTTGGGATCCTCACAGGGGGATTAGTATTTTAGTATTGCCTGGAGCTGGGATTAGTCGTTTGAGATCAGTAACCTTCTTGGTCATATGGAAACCCTTAGCTTGAGGCACTGCAACTCATGCAGATTGATTTTATGTATATATGTAACGCTGTATTTTTCATGTTTACCCCTTTTTCCCTGCATCCAGGTGTTGCAACAGCTTCTATCAATTATTATCGAGCTTTAACCCGGTTCCCTCCGAGTAAAACCCCAAAGATCTCTTGTCCTGTCCTGACAATCTGGGGCTGCAAGGACGCGTTCCTGGAGAAGGCCTTGGGGGCGGCTGGTAATACTGTTGCAGATAATTACACAGTCAAATACATAGAGGAGGCCAGTCACTGGGTCATGATGGACACTCCGGACCAAGTTAACAAACACATGACCGAATTTCTTAAGTAAATATGTAAGGCTCAGATCCATGGTAAGAACACATCAGAGATTATCAATAAATTATATCATAAAGTAAATATCATAAAATTGAGATCAGTATCAAATGAGTGGTGGATTCTCAGATGTGTTGTAAATTTTGTGGAGGTCTTACCGACATTGTCAGAATCATGTTGAGTAATGAAACTAGATTTGCTTTGTTGGACTGGGACAGAACCTTAAGAAGAAAATAGATGGCATCCCTGGCCATCACATCAACTTTTCTCAACATGACGTGGCGGTATTGACTTTGACGTCATGATGTCATAACAATAAAATTGTTCATACTGCCATGCATGGGGATCTCTGGCATAGATTAAAGTCCTACCAACCACACTGTTGTGCTACTTGTTCAAAGTGACATTTATTGTTGTGATGTCAGAGTGACAAAGATAAATGCAGCATGTTGTAACTTTCCTGTTGATAACTATTAAACTAATATGGATAAACATCATATTTTTGTGTTTATTTCTTGAAGAATATATTTTGTTATCATTTTTGGAAAGTGATCAGTACAAGACTGTACTTTCTTTTTTGTTTACGGTGCAGCATTATCTTTACCTGTGTGTGTCATACTGAAGGGCCAAACATCGTAAACTGGTTAGTCCTGTGATGATTCAAAATGGTATCGGTTCACCGCTTTCAGTTGTTATGTGCCATGAAACAGGTATCATATTTTGCTGTAGGTTAGAAAGCGTCACCGGTCTGATAGTTAGGAGACTACCATTTAAGATCTATGTTGAGATTGTCGTAGGACTCTCAGTGTGGTAACTCCAAGTGCGAACAAGGACCAGACACGGACGTAGCGTCACATTAAACATGACATTATGATATCCACACATACAGGTATGATAGAAGGCCATTTCACTTCCGGCGACGAAGACGTCTGTTGAAGATGTCACAAAGACATAACATGATAATTCTAGTACAGCGGGCAGTGTTTCAAACGACCATTCTACGGGAGAAAATAAACCAACTTCTCCTGCTCGGTCGGTATCTACCCTAGACATGCACTGCCAAGTGAGTTATACCCGGACTAACCAAGGTCATGTGTCCGAACCTCATGTAGAAAACACTATAAGTTTCTTAGTATAGTTCAGTGTAGAAATATTTCCAGTAGTATAGAAACTACTTGACCATAGCCAATAAGCAGTGTAGTTATATTTTACCGAGCAACCATCGTTCCTATACAACAAGTAGTCAGTGTAGAAGCTGCTGCTCGGTAAACAAGGTAATAAGCCTCTGACTGCCCATTGTCCAGGTATCAGTGTTGGCGTGTGACTTGTGTCCATGAGTGTATTCACGTATAATGTTAGACAATACGTAAACAGAGTCTGGTTCAGAGTGTGCACGAGCATGCCTGTTCTCTCACATGTACTGAATTGATTCAGGAAGGCAGGGTAGAAGTGTAAACCAAAGAAATGTCAACTCTTTGAGAAGAGGTGAATTATCTTGGACATATTGTTTCTGCTCAAGGTGGTTCAATGGCTCCTGCAAAGACTGAAGGTATTCGAAAATGGCAAGCCCTATCAAATTTTACTGAATTGAGAACTTCTCTGAGATTGTGCTCATATTATCGTCGATTTGTGATGCTACCAAAAGTCAGTGTGACTGGGATGAACATCTACTTATGGCTCCAGTATACACAGTTCTTCCAAGTATACACCAAACTACCTTGTTGTGTGTAGGGAAATTAACCTACCAGTAGATATCATGTATGGGCCAACAGTGAAGCCATCAGTTGAGGAAGAAAATGGGAATGGTGTGGAAGACATGGAGTCCCGGATAACAAAGACTTAGGAAATAGTCAAGAAAAATCTACAACGATCATCCCAGTATCAGAAAGAGTATTATGATCGCAAATCGCATGCAGAACAATTACAAGCAGGGGACTAAGTTTTACTTTTCTGCCCTACAGTACCAAAGGAAAATGTCTTAAACTGTAAATACATGGGGATTGACCACATACTTGCAAAGCTTTCTTAACTGATCTATAGAATACAGCATGCATCTAACCACAAGAAGATAGTAGATCATAGGAATAGACTCAGATTGGACAATAATGTTTGTAATAACAACCCATCCACACCTTCAGTCAGTACTGTGTAGTACTGTTTTTACACTGATTCCTTATTGTTTATTCCAATGCACATCATCAGGCTTCATACTTAAGCCTTATCTGTAAACATCAATCTATCATCATTCTACATTGCATAAACATCAATTATCCACACGTATATAACCTCCCTACTTCACATTCCTGTACATCACTTGCTTGATAATGGAGTTAGTATCTACACCGAAACGTCGCATTCATTATAATAAAGAAGATGTATATACACAGAACTATCTCCCTTGTCATGGCAAACCTGTCTTGTCTTTTCATGGCAAACTCACAAACAATGATTGATTGTGTGAAGATCGATCCATTCTTTCCAGACGATGGCATGATTGTGGCCCCTGCCCACAGAGGTAGATGATACAATCTATCACATTGCAGTTGGCAGGCAACCTGCGGTTGAAAGTGAACAAGAAATGAAGTCACCAGCACTCATCTGCTCAAATGTATCGGGTAGTAAGGCTTGGTGACGTGGTTGGTTGCATGTTATCGTACCTTGACATATCTATTTTCAACTTCCGGTTTGTCTGGTCCCAACTTACTTTGTTTCAGGCCTCTGTGATATAATTCAGTTATTGCGATTCCCCTCTTTGGATACGTCCTATGGCGCTGTTCCGATCGGCAGCGCTAAGTTTGTCAAACTTGAAAAATGTTGACAATTGAATGACACATTATTGGCATATGCTTGCCTTTTTATAGCCACTACTGTTTTCCTCCATGACATTTTTAACAAGTGTGAAAACAATGCCGTTTAAGACAATGCAAATCGTCAATGGCTGCGTTTAGACGCACCGTTTGTCGAATATCAGGCCACCAACATTTTCCAATAACATATATCCAAATTATATACCGGATTTTTGTGTAATGAACTACATACTACCTGTGCGTTTCATTTTTTGAAGAGTGTATGTGAGTAAAGTATATTCATGTTAAACCAATGTTTCAGTGTATTATCCGTACAAAGTGACATTCATTATTTCAAGATGATTCTCACCGCTGCTAATCGACAAACTATTTAAGGTTTAAATCAGACGATGCTGCTGTACTCATTGCCTTCGCTGACATCAAAATTTGGGCTTGATATTTTCATGGCAGAATGGAGATAATGTACCAGGTTCTGTGTTTTCAATGTGGAGCTATGTATAGTGAGCTACCTGTAGATTTGATGGCTTTATTTCTATCATGTGTAACCTCACCCTGTGCGTTTTCAAATCTAATTGTACCTCCTATAATATTGTACGTATACAAATGTACAATTGTGATGATGGTTTATCGTGATATTTGACAAGTCAAGTCTCGTTAATCCGACACTCGTTAATCCGACAATCGGCTTTATCCGACACAAATGATGGGAACCGATTTTATCAGTGTATGTAATTACATTTGTTATCAAATGACACATGTTAACTAAGTCTTTGACAGGATATATGAGGTGAGGTGAAAACGGGGTTAACGTCGCTTTCAAGATAATTGCACTTATAATGCTTATATAACGAGATAATGCCAGAAATAGATACGAGATATTTTAGAAACATTATACTGACTCCGAGCTGTCCTTGCTTTCTTTCCTTTAATGCCCAGCGCCTGGAAAGAAGTTTTCCATGATAAGTTTCATTTGGTTTGAAACTAAATGTATACTGCTGTAAATACTGCACCATGTTTCAGGGGAACAAATTCACAGCTGCTGAAGCTGTTTGTGCAAGGATTCCTAGAGTTCTGGGACCGCCTCCGTGGTCTAGTGGTAGAACGTCCTCCCGGAGAGCGGAAGGTCCGGGGATCGATCCCCGGCCGCGTCGTACCAAAAGACGTGATAAGATCGTACTTGTTGTTACCCTGTCTGGCGCTCGGCATTAAGGGGCTAAAACAAGGACTGGTCGGCTCGGAGTCAGGATACTGTGTCTGAGTGGGGTTTTCATGTTAAACTACGGCATGGTATCTCAGTGAGCTAGCACTATAATCGGCATCAGTCCGGACTAGCACAAGCAGCCACACAAACACACACACGTACATGCACGTCGCTATATAAGTGCAATAATCTTGGACGCGACGTAAAACCCCATTTCACCTCACCTCACCTAGAGTTCTGGTACTCATGGCGATACCAGCTGCGTGAGTTCGAAAAGTCCGAGTTGTGTAACTTAGGCATTAACACAAATCTAAATAGTGTGTTCGAATCCCAGGCTCGCTCTGATTATGTTGCTATGTTTGTCAGCTCAGCACAGGGCCCTCGCGCATGGATTTCACCACAAGATCTTTTGTTCTCCCTACTGCCTCCTGTGACTGAGAAACGATGGTTGATGTGACGTGAGACCACGCCTTTCAGAAGAGATAACACAATGTGTCATGTCATGGTTGACTGAGAAACAATGGTTGATGTGACGTGAGACCACGCCTTTCAGAAGAGATAACACAATCTGTCAAGTCATGGTTGACTGAGAAACAATGGTTGATGTGACGTGAGACCACGCCTTTCAGAAGAGATAACACAATCTGTCATGTCATGGTTGACTGAGCAACAATGGTTGATGTGACGTGAGACCACGCCTTTCAGAAGAGATAACACAATCTGTCATGTCATGGTTGACTGAGAAACAATGGTTGATGTGACGTGAGACCACGCCTTTCAGAAGAGATAACACAATCTGTCATGTCATGGTTGACTGAGAAACAATGGTTGATGTGACGTGAGACCACGCCTTTCAGAAGAGATAACACAATCTGTCATGTCATGGTTGACTGAGAAACGATTATTTTCAGCTGCTTTAATATGTTTGTAACCGGCTTTATTTAAACATCTTGAAAACATCACGTGGCAGTTTACGTTTCACAAGCATGGTTCAATTAACAAGAGAGTACCCTTGTCTTATAAAAGAATATGCTGTTGTATATTATGGCAAAGATGAAGAGATATCTTTCATTCTATTCAAACTACGTTTCAATTACATTTTCTTGGCTACAGATTCTGTGATCTTTCAGAGATAATTCGATTTTTAGATGATTTGTTGATATCACAAATTCGATTATTAGATTTTAAAATGATTTATTTATATAACAAATTCGATTTTAAGGTATCACAAAATGATTTATTGAGATCACAAATTCAAGTTTTAGATAGATCTATCACAAAATAATTTATTGATTGCAGACAAGGAGTGCGGGTAATTTTAAACTTATTATCAGACTGCCACGTTTAATTTAACAGCTTAAATTCATTAAATCTATTTTTTAATAATTCCCCTTCCCAAATCAGTATATCAAATGTACTTTATGCAAGAAAGGCGAGACAGACAATACTGTAGACACTTTTTAATTAACTTTATCATTTACTACAGTATGACATTAAGGTAGAATTCATTATTTTCATGAACCTAGAAGTGATTTATTTATATCTTAAAGGTGAATTTGTGATATCGATATATACACAGATATATATTCCCTATTTTATAATATCAATGAATAAATTATTGATATTATACAAAAGGGAATGACTTGTAAAACGGCGCGTCATAGGTTACTAATTTCTTGGCCGTTGGTTGTCACAGGTGACAAGTGAATATGTTTTATTATATATCAAGGTACACATGAAAATTAATAAAAAGTTGATTACACGGAATCACAGGCTGCGAAAAACATTGAAATGGATCAAACCGATATATTATGACCTGAAGAGCAGAACTTAATCTTATCTTTTCTTTCCGTGGTTCCAATTGGACATTGTTCGCGTAACAATGTAGCTATGTATCCATGAAATCACTACATCCATATACTACTATCTACAGTGTTATCAATGATATACAGCTAACCACAAGGGTTAAAGTCCGCCCATTCATGCGCATTGCCGCATATATAAAACAGGGTCGCACTAACTTCGTTTCTATTCATTCCCGTGAGCACTTTTGACTTTCCCAACCAGGAAGTATGGCGATTAAGGACCTTTTTCTCAGGTGTATTTCTTTCGGATTGGGCTGTTTTTATTCAACATTCGTTTTGTTCAATTTATCTTTGGGGTTTGTGAAACACCCTATCGCATTTTTCTCACGCAAGAAACGAGATGTGATGCCATCAGTTCTAAACGACCCGGACTTGGGGACGCATGGCTATCTTCACTTGGAGGTAAGTAAGTGATCGAGTGAAGCAAACATTACTTTTGTCAACGCGGAACATTTGAATTATTCTTTGCAGATTATTTGTGCTGAATTATGCAGATGTGCCAGATTTATTTTACGCCTCTTTGTCAGTTCTGATTTCAGGACATTAAGTTCTATAACGTGGATCAACATTGGTCACAATCGCATAACATATTCTTTACAAGCGAGTGCAGTCGCGACAGACTTATCACCAGCATTAGGCCTAATACTGGTGGTTTGTGGACTTTGGACTGAGCTAAAGCAGTGACGGTCACTTGTGCTGAGTCATTTGGAAATCATTTCTACATGTTTTATAGGCGTTAATCACTATTATTAATAAACAATATGAATTTTATTTTGGTAATCTAAATTATTATGAACATAATCATGATTATCATATGCAATTTCAGCATGTTCAGTGTGGTGTTTATAAATAATTAATAAAACAATAAGCGAGTGAGAGTGAGGTTAATACATTAATTCTCATACAAGTTTCATAAAATCAGTGTGACACACATGTGAGCGTAAAAATTTCTTTATTACCCATAATTTCTTAGACTTCTAAGCTACATCATGTACATCAGCTAGCTTCCCTTTAGAGAAATGCACTGATCACAATCACAGTGTTTGAAAAAACTCAGTTGTCAAATAATGTCAACAACTTTCAGCTATGGCATTTTTAGTGTGACATCATTCCAATCCTACGTCACAATAAGATTTGGATGACGTCAGCCATGCCATCCCTATGATGTAAACACTAGACTGCTGCAAGTGAAGTGATATTTGAACCAGCGCACTTATGATTGTTATGAACTCGGTTATTTCTAACCCTGTGGGCAATGTAGTGTATTTGTAAGACCGTACATCATGCTCAGGTGCTTGTACGTCCCGCACCTAAACTGGAAGGAACATCAAGCAAACAGATGTCTCGACTGAACCGTGATTTATACGTAACTGACCACAGGTAAATTGTCATGACGTCACACAAGATGCTGGGGCTTGTGACATATGGCGTAATAGCGCGGCACATAGGCGCTCACAATATGTAAACAAACCTAACACAATGGGCAATAACTTTATATTCAAACATTCTGTCAGCTGTGATTATTTATTTATCACATGGTAGCTTATAAGTTTATGATAGTAATATCCACATATTGGTCATTGTTGAGAAGCTGGTAAGAAACATAATAATTAAAAAGAAGAATGAAATGTGTAAATAAATGATAGGCCCCAAGTATTAACAAGTATTAACAACAGATATGATAGACATAACTTCAGACTAGACCAAAGTACCACTACTAAAAAAAGTTCATCTCATCCTAAACTACTTAATTCTTTGTTTTTGCTGACATCACCGAGTTCGTGTTTGATTTGGTCATAGAATGGAGGTAATGCGTTTTCAATACCGAGCTGTGGCATGTATGGTGTTACCTGTCAATTTGATGGCCCTGAATCTGTCATTTGTAACCTCACCCTGCACGGTTTCAAATTTAATTAATTTTGCACACTTAAAATGTGCAATTGTGATGATGAAAATTTATGATTTGTTTGTTTGTTGTTTAACGCTGCACTCAACAATGTTCCAGCTATATGACGATGGTCTGTAAGTAATCGAGTCTGGACCAGACAATCCAATGATTGGTATCTCAAGCATCGATCCACGCAATTGGGATCCAATGACATGCATCAACCAAGTCAGCGAGCCTGACAACCAAATCCTGTTAGTCTCCTTTTACGGCAATCAATTCTAACCCAGATCTTCATGGGTCGAAAGTTTAGGAAGTAGCAGATCCTGCTAACACTGTTTTTAGTTACTAGTCATGTTGATTATGTTTATTTTGTAAATACAATTGTTATAAAATTTTATGAATGACATGACACAAGTTAATGTCTGATTGGATCGATGAAAGTCAGAAGAACATGAAACATTTATAGTTAAGGAATAAAGAACTTCTTATCCATAAATAGTTTAATGTTTGTGACACATTTTGTTTTGAATCAAATTTATGCTGCTACAAATGCTGCACCATGTTTACCGGGCTTTTCTAACTTCAGGAGGTAAGAATCCACTATGTTGCCCAAGGCGACGAGAGCAAGCCGCTCATGCTGTTCGTCCATGGGTTCCCAGAGTTCTGGTACTCATGGCGATACCAGCTGCGTGAGTTCAAGAAGGATTACAGGTGATCAGAGCTGCGTCTCTTGCAAGAAACCTATCATCATGTGTTCAAATCTCAGCCTTGCCCTGATTATGTTTTTATGTTTGTCAGCGCAGTACCCTTGCTTTTGGATTTCACCATAGCTGTAAACGTTCAAGATGTGCAGCACTCTGGGATATCTTCCCACATCAAGATCAAAGACCTGTTTTTCTCAATCCTTATCACAAATTTGCCATCTCCCACCAGAAAGTAACCAGCCTTATCACAACGTTACCTTCTCCCACCAGAAAGTGACCAGCCCTATCACAAACTTACCTTCTCCCACCAGAAAGTAAACAGAGAGTAGTCCACACTATCAACAGTTACCTGCTCTACAAGAGCACCCCATCAGGAAGTAGCTGACTCAAAAAACATTACCACCTTTCAGAAAGTTGCCCACGCCATCAGATAGTAACCAGCAATCAAAACATAACCCCCTTTCAGAAAGTTGCCCACGCCATCAGATAGTAACCAACAATCAAAACATAACCCCCTTTCAGAAAGTTACCCACGCCATCAGATAGTAACCAACAATCAAAACAAAACCCCCTTTCAGAAAGTTACCCACGCCATCAGATAGTAACCAACAATCAAAACATAACCACCTTTCAGGAAGTTTCCCACACCATCAGATAGTAACAACTATCAAAACATAACCACCTTTCAGAAAGTTTCCCACGCCATCAGATAGTAACCAACAATCAAGATGTAACCATCTTTCAGTAAGTTGCCCACGCCATCAGATAGTAATCAACAATCAAAACGTAACCACCTTTCAGAAAGTTACCTACACCATCAGATAGTAATCAACCATCACAATGTTACCACCTTTCAGAAAGTTACCCACACCATCAAATAGTAACCAACTATCAAAACATAACCCCCTTTCAGAAAGTTGCCCACACCATCAGATAGTAACCAACAATCAAAATGTAACCACCTTTCAGAAAGTTACCTTTACCATCAGATAGTAATCAACCATCAAAATGTAACCACCTTTCAGAAAGTTGCCCACGCCATCAGATAGTAACCAACAATCAAAACGTAACCACCTTTCTGAAAGTTACCCACACCATCAGATAGTAATCAACCATCAAAATGCAACCAACTTTCAGAAAGTTACCTACACCATCAGATAGTAACCAACTATCAAAACATAACCCCTTTTCAGAAAGTTACCTACACCATCAGATAGTAATCAACCATCAAAATGCAACCAACTTTCAGAAAGTTACCTACACCATCAGATAGTAATCAACCATCACAATGTTACCACCTTTCAGAAAGTTACCCACACCATCAGATAGTAACCAACTATCAAAACATAACCCCCTTTCAGAAAGTTACCTACACCATCAGATAGTAACCAACAATCAAAATGTAACCACCTTTCAGAAAGTTACCCACACCATCAGATAGTCATCAACCATCAAAACATAACCACCTTTCAGAAAGTTTCCCACTCCATCAGATAGTAACCAACAATCAAAATGTTACCACCTTTCAGTAAGTTGCCCACGCCATCAGATAGTAACCAACAATCAAAATGTAACCACCTTTCAGTAAGTTGCCCACACCATCAGATAGTAACCAACAATCAAAATGTAACCACCTTTCAGAAAGTTACCTACACCATCAGATAGTAATCAACCATCAAAATGTAACCACCTTTCAGAAAGTTTCCCACGCCATCAGATAGTAACCAACAATCAAAACGTAACCACCTTTCAAAAAGTTGCCCAAGCCATCAGATAGAAACCAACAATCAAAACGTAACCACCTTTCAGAAAGTTACCTACACCATCAGATAGTAATCAACCATCACAATGTTACCACCTTTCAGAAAGTTACCCACACCATCAGATAGTAACCAACTATCAAAACATAACCCCTTTTCAGAAAGTTACCTACACCATCAGATAGTAATCAACCATCAAAATGCAACCAACTTTCAGAAAGTTACCTTTACCATCAGATAGTAATCAACCATCACAATGTTACCACCTTTCAGAAAGTTACCCACACCATCAGATAATAACCAACTATTAAAACATAACCCCCTTTCAGAAAGTTACCCACACCATCAGATAGTAACCAACAATCAAAATGTAACCACCTTTCAGAAAGTTACCTACACCATCAGATAGTCATCAACCATCAAAATGTAACCACCTTTGAGAAAGTTGCCCACGCCATCAGATAGAAACCAACAATCAAAACGTAACCACCTTTCAGAAAGTTACCTACACCATCAGATAGTAATCAACCATCACAATGTTACCACCTTCCAGAAAGTTACCCACACCATCAGATAGTAACCAACTATCAAAACATAACCCCCTTTCAGAAAGTTACCTACACCATCAGATAGTAATCAACCATCAAAATGCAACCAACTTTCAGAAAGTTACCCACACCATCAGATAGTAACTAACCATCACAATGTTACCACCTTTCAGAAAGTTACCCACTCCATCAGATAGTAACCAACTATCAAAATGTAACCACCTTTCAGAAAGTTACCCACTCCATTAGATAGTAACCAACTATCAAAATGTAACCACCTTTCAGAAAGTTACCCACACCATCAGATAGTAACCAACTATCAAAATGTAACCACCTTTCAGAAAGTTACCCACGCCATCAGATAGTAACCAACCATCACAATGTTACCACCTTTCAGAAAGTTACCCACTCCATCAGATAGTAACCAACTATCAAAATGCAACCACCTTTCAGAAAGTTACCCACTCCATCAGATAGTAACCAACCATCACAATGTTACCACCTTTCAGAAAGTTACCCACTCCATCAGATAGTAACCAACTATCAAAATGCAACCACCTTTCAGAAAGTTACCCACTCCATCAGATAGTAACCAACCATCACAATGTTACCGCCTTTCAGAAAGTTACCCACTCCATCAGATAGTAACCAACTATCAAAATGCAACCACCTTTCAGAAAGTTACCCACTCCATCAGATAGTAACCAACTATCAAAATGTAACCACCTTTCAGAAAGTTACCTACACCATCAGATAGTAATCAACCATCACAATGTTACCACCTTTCAGAAAGTTACCCACTCCATCAGATAGTAAGTAACCAGCTATCAAAACGTCAACACCTTTATTTTCCAGTCTTGCCAGAAAGATACATGCACTGTCACAAAGTTACTGATTCCCCAAAGATGATAAGATCACTTTCTGTTGCTTGACATTTGTTTCTCCTCCATTTTAATCATATCTCAAGTTTGAAGACCTGTGTTATTTTCCCCTAGGGTTGTGGCCATTGATTTGAGAGGCTATGGTGAATCTGACAAGCCTTCCGGTGTTGCCAATTACCAGATGTCCAAGATGGTGGCCGATCTTAAACAACTCATCCCTGCTCTAGGTAACATTAAAATTTGGAAGCTTTGTAAACAAATCAATTCTAGAAGAGAATGAAGCATATGTCCAATATTTTGTCTATGTCATAGAATTCTTGGATCTAGTTTATAATGCAGTGTTCTGGCCATGCAGTGGCCTCACAGGATTCTCACAATATTATATTCATTGGTGCATGATAGTAACTCTCAGTGGGACAAGGGGTGCATTCATGTAGCATTCATGTAGATGGGAGTCACTTATTTTCTCAAAAACAGTTTACATCACAGGACAGCCCATTTCACTTCACCTCATGACTGCACATGGTTGCAGCATAACTCAGAACACAGCATGTGAACATTGTGTAATTCATGTGAAATCTAATTCAATGACAAAGCTACATTATATTTACGAGTACCTTGAGTCAGGCTATGGACCGTGATCACAAGCAAACTGTTGAGGCTAACTGTATATGACATCGGACGTTGTTGCTGCAATACGTAATATCTGAAAAAAGATGCCATGCCCAAATACTGTGTATCGCTAACGTTAATTGTGGACGGCAGTTCTGCATCAATAACCTGCATACCTTGGCATGTTAAGTTTATATGATCTCTCAGAGTTTGGCCCAATAAGTTTTGAAAATGACCAATCTCATTAAAATCAGATCTAAGTTCTCGCTGCCACTAAACAAAGTTCTGAAGGCATCCCATTACGGGACAAATTTTGAAAAATGAACAAACGAACATTCAAGAATGTCTAATATATGGTTGAGATTGTATGGCAGTGCTTTCCACATACTGTGCAACGCCTCCTCTGTTCAAATCTTTATCCCACGGAAGCGAGAGATAGACGATAATTTTGATGGAATCAGTCGTAGGGGCCGTAACTGTCGTTCGGAATACCCCGTGTTAACGTTTTCGTGGTTACATGATCAGAAAACACATTCTGGTAATCGACGCTCTGATTGGTTGGATGAAAGGCCGTTCTGACGTGGCCTGTAACGGGATGTCCTCAGATCTTTGTTTAGCAAGAACTAAGATCTGATTTTAATGAGATTGGAAAAAGACCCCATGTATTTATGCTGAAGGGGTCCTTGTCCCCATTTGTTCAGTTTCTTGGCAGATAACTTGAGTACTGGTGTATGTATGGAATATTGTTCTACAGAAGGTTGTAATAACCTTCCATCATTTCAAACAAATTGAATATTTATGTAAAACTGCTAAAAAAACTATCAGCCAACACACAAATAAAATACACACTATTTATATATTAAAAGGCCAAGTGAAATATAAATTATCATGATCAACATGATAAATATTCAGATACACGGATGTATTCTGATGCCTCTGTGGTGTTTTATGGGGTCTAGACGTGAGAACACAGTACATCTGATCTGCTTCTGTCCTCCAGGCTACAGATCCTGTGTGCTGGTGTCCCATGACTGGGGAGGCGCCATTGCCTGGACATTCACTGCCATGCACCCCGAACTGGTCGACAAGCTGATTGTAATGAACTGCCCCCATCCAGGCATCTTTCGCAGCTACATGGAGAAGAATATGGTGCAGTTCAAGAAATCTTGGTAACAAAAATATAGTCTGTTCTGCATTGGCTCATGGTACTCAAATATGTATGCATGTGACCAAGACCAGTTGCTCATCTCTCTCTTATTTTCGCTCCAACTGAGTTGTTCGGGAAAATTTCCTTGGCTTTGTAATCTGAGCCATCCTCTCAAAACGAAATCTTTCTCATAAATGTTTTTGCTCATATTGATTACATTCTTCTAACCTTCAACTATCATATCTAAAGAATATTGTTTTACCCTTGGCCAAAATGTTTCAACAAAATTTGTCTTAACGTTTTGACTCTGATTTTTACTATGAAAGTATGTAATATCTGTGGTGTTTGTGTCTCAGATCGAGATCCTCACCCTACTTCATCAAAGTCAATGCCAACGAAGAGTCAACACGTCTGTGCTAACCTGAATATCACAAAGCAGACTGCTGCAGCTGGGAAAGGGTCTACAAAGGCTGCATCAAAGACACAGAAGGAGAGCTATTCACAGCTATTGCCCACGCAGCAGAGAACATCAGCAATGCAGACACAACCCCTCATGTCTGATTCATCCCTCATGCTGGTGCAGACCTTCCTGCAGCCTCCGGCCTTCACGCAGCCAAAGGGGGTTTGCAGGCCTCGGCCTCGGCCTTCGTGCAGCCTCCAGCATTCACGCAGCCTAAGAGGGTTTGCACAGCCTCAAGGGTTTGTGCAGGGGTACATGCAGCTTCCCTGCATGCAGAAGGCCTTCACCCAGCAATCTACACTGGGGCGCAGATTTTCGTGCAGCCACCAGCCCTTTCACAGACGCAGGGCTTGCGTGCAGCCAACCTGCGGGCAGCCTCCAGCTTTCACGCAACCTGTTACATGTTTAACGTTCACGCAGCCTTACCTTTTGCAACAGAGTGCGAAACCAGCTTCATTTCGTAATTTGTGTTACCCAGCAAGTTTTTACTTGCTTTGCAGCAGCACGCAGCAATAGATTAGACAGGAAGAATTGGTGGTAAAATTCACCAAATTCTCACCATGAGGTTTAGCACAGATGCATCGTTATGAAGAAATGGTCACCGTTCTCAAGATTGATGCCCACGCTGAGTCAGAAAAGATCATCACAACACTTACAACTGCCTAGACATTTTACTCAGTAGTCGTACTGCCGGGTACCCAAATTCTGGAATCACCAATCATAACTTCATGATTCTCACCATGTGATCCAAACCCTGCTATGGTGATTGCAGTACATTATCGCTTTGGCGTATCTGTACCAAGAGGATCAGCCATTCATGGGCGATCAAGACAAGATAGCCATCAACTGGGCTGTTCATTGAAACTTCACCAGTACAATTGTCAAAGCTTCATCGAATATTGACAGTTAACAGTTTCCTACATGCATCAGATATCATGGAAATCAAACTGCTTCTGCACAGGACACGTCACAGATTCTACAAGGAACTGACTGCATACACACCATTCTGCTTCAGAACTTGATACATCATTTTGTCTATCAACCATACAGTTCACACTGGATTTGTCAGTGTGTGGAGCATTGGACCTGGACCTCGTCCCCAGAGAGAAGGCAATTTTCTATGCGACTATGCTGGAATTAGGTCAAACAGACCTTATGAGAGAAATGCAGTGCACCTTTACAAATCGGTTTGCATGATTACTTGTACATAATGCTGCAACCGGACAATCAGAAGCCTGATGATATACATCAATGTGCCTGGGTCGCAAACTTCATTAGACCCCGATTCACACCGAGGCACCACTCTTCATTGTTTTCTCGATATAAGAATGGGAGCACTTATAAGACACCTATGGGATAGAATCCATAGCCTTTTCACCAAAACTACTCGTCGACATAGTGACCTGGAGGGACACGTCATCCTTCATTTTTGAGGTTCAGGAATTGGTGAATCCTTCAAGGCACAATTTTCTGATACACACACGTGACCACCTTGTCTTGATCATCATACTTCGTACAATCATTCAGACCGAACAATTGTGTGTGCAGCCTGGATCAACTAGATATGCAGCTTACATTCAACATCGACTATCAGGGGAGCACACTTATTACATCCAAATGGGACCGGGTGGTTTATCTGTAGATGAATGCTATCTCCACATCAGTAACTCGGTGGATATATTTGCAACCAGATTTAACAGACATGTAGCAACCTCAAGCCGTCGACGCCATAACCAATTGGGTCCACAGCTTAAACACAAGTTCTTTATGATAAGAACAGACAACTCATCTGTTAGGAGTATGTGTTCCCACCACCGGCACTACAGAAAATCAGACGGAAATTAAGAAGAATATCATGTTCCTAGGGGTCAATGAACAGATCTTGATCTAAACCACAAACAGGTGGAACCCTACACCAACTGTAGGATTCAAGCAATAAGTATGAATCAGGATAAGATATAATATTTATTTTATAGGGTAAAAGTATTATTTATCCTTATCCTGACTCATACGCTAAAGTGCCCTCACAGCCATCCCCTCTTCCCCGGGAAATGAGAGAGTGACGAGTAACTGTCTTGGTGATGTGCTTCCGGTGCGTGCGCAGTCCTGGGGTGCATTTTGGTGAAATGTTTTCGGAACACAGTTCAGGAAGTTTCCACTACCTTTCAGTAATGAGTAGGGATAAGCAATAAGTGTGAGTCAGGATAAGTATAAATAATATTTTTACTCTAAAAAATACATTTTTACCTACTAATGGTAACAATGGTAACTGTTGACACATGGGATCTCATTGTGTCAGTGAATGCCAATATGTCCAGGCTAGAATGTGTCACTTTATTAATGCGAGCAAGGGAGACTCATTAATTTCATTATTTACAGTATATGATCACAGCTATGGTGTGTCAATAAAATTCTCCACCAAGTATTTTCAAGTTCTAACATGGCCAGCATGGCAGCCATAATATTTTTGCAAACTACCCAGGCATTTCTGTTTGTATTGTTATGAATTTGCAATATGCAGTACAGATGTGGTACTGGATAATAATATCCGTTTACTTTTGCTGAGTGTTGTGGATTTGTGATAATCTGACTTTCTTGTCCTGTTTCAGGTATATTTTCTTCTTCCAAGTTCCATTCCTTCCTGAGTTGATGCTGAGAGTGAATGACATGAAAGCTCTGGAAAGAATCTTCACGGGGAGTAAGGGTGGTCTCACCACAGGGAAATGCAGCACTGACGATATAGAGGCCTACAAATATGCTTTCTCTAGACCAGGTAATTATGGTGCTGTGGTTAAAAACTTGATGATGCTATCCTAATAGGAGTACCACTATTGGAATAGTTCTGACAGTAAGAGGAGGACTCTAATTGGTCGTTTCATTGAATTGTTTTACATGTCAAGGCTGTACACATGCTTTGTCCCTGGTTCAGTTGACTGCAAGGGAGAGTGTAAGAAAGGGAAGTCACTCTAGTTGTCCTTATAAACATGATATCAAGACTGTACACATGGCTTGTCCAAGGTTCAGTAGATTGCTGGGGATATGGTAAGAAAGGGAAGTCACTCTAGTTGTCCTTATGAACATGAAATCAAGACTGTACACTTGCCTTGTCCCAGGTTCAACAGATTACTGGGGATATGGTAAGAAAGGGAAGCCACTCTAGTTGTCCTTATAAACATGATATCAAGATTGTACACATGGCTTGTCCCAGGTTCAACAGATTATTGGGGAGATTGTTAGAAAGGGAAGTCCCTCTTGTTACTCACAAGTGTGTCTTTTCATCTTATTTTTATTTGGAATAAGAGCACATGGTAAGGTGACTGATTATGATGATTATCAGTATTAATTATCCCCCGCCACAAAGTGGGAGGGGGATATGGGAATGGGTGCTGTCCATCAGTCACATTTTGTTTCCAGAGCATAACTCAGAAACCATTCAAAATTCAAAATAAATATATTGTTATGAAACTTTGCATGTGTATTAAATGTACTCTGAACATTGATGTTTTGGTATATTTAAAAAAAATAATTATGTTTGCTTGGCAACAAAATGGACTTATACTCAAATATGTGTTGCATTCGTTGTCGGAGCATAACTGGAAACTGTTCAAATTGTTTTTCACAAAACTTTGCCTAAATATCTGTATCTGTATATCACTTGTTGATCTGGTGCTTTTTGATGTTTTGGTATTTCCTAATCTAATTTAAATCAGACCTTAGTTCTCGCTACTGCTAAACAAAGATCTGAAGACATCCCATTAGGGGTCGAGCTTTCATCCGACCAATCAGAGCGTCACTTACCAGATTATGAAAGTGACAGTCGGAATGTGATTTCTAATCATGCAATAACAAAAAAAATTAAATTGATTGGTCATTCCATTAGTCACTTAATTATTTACAAACTGCCCTCTTATAGCTGGAATATTGCTGAGTGCTGTGTTAAACAACAAACAAAACAAACAAAAATAATATTGTTTGTGCCCCGCAGTGGGGGATAGTAATAATGTTGTTTTCTTGTTCATCTCATATCAAGATGAGTTTTCAATATTCATGTCAACTATGGATATATATCATCAATGTGTTGACATTGGACTATTAACAGTGTATGTTTGTTTGTTTCTTGTTTAATGCCCATCCGGAATATTAGAGCTATATGATGGCAGCCTGTAAATAATTGAGTCTGGACCAGACAATCCAGTGATTGACATCATGAGCATCGATCCATGCAATTGGGATATGATGACATGCATCAACCAAGTCAGCAAGCCTGACCACCCGATCCTGTTAGGTGCCTTTTACGGCAAGCATGGGTTGCTGAAGACCTATTCTACCCGGGATCTTCACATTCTATTCATATCAGTGATGAGCTTTGAGTAGTTGTGGGTACTCATGGGTCAAACGACGGACTGCCTGTGAATATCACTGACCAGGTAATAGAAATGTAGGATCAGTATTGATCATTTGTTTGTTCAGTTCGTTTGTTCAGGGGCTTTTTTGTTTTGGGGGCGGTCGGGTAGCCTAGTGGTTAAAGCGTTTGCGCGTCATGCCGAAGACCTGGGTTCGATTCCCGACATGTGTTCAGTGAAGCCCATTTCTCTTGTCCTCGTCGTGATATTGCTGGAATATTGCTAAAAGTGGCGTTAATCCATACTCATTCATTCATTCAATTTTTGTTTTTGAATGCCACACTCCAATTGCATTGTCTCATATCGGGTCTTCATAACACACAATCCACCAAGTCACACAGTCTGACCACCGATGCATTCAGTCGCCCCATGCTAAGCATAGTTTACTGGGACCTATTTGAACCATGAAACCCCACAGGGGACTCTGACCTGCCTAGGGCATGGATGTGGTGTTGAGATCAGCATCTTGGACACCTGGAGCCAACCCTGGGAGTTTCAGCTTGTGACACTGCGACTCATGCAGATTGTTTGTATGTATTCAACACCATGCTAAGCTTTTGTTTCCAACCTCCAGGTGCTGCCACAGCTGCCATCAATTATTATCGAGCTACAATCCGGTTTCCTGCGAAAAGGATCCCTAAGATCTCCTGCCCGGTGCTGACCATCTGGGGTTGCAAGGACACAGCCCTGGAGACAGGCTTGGCCGCTGCTGCTGATGCTGTTGTAGACAACCACACAGTCAAATACATAGAGGAGGCTAGTCACTGGGTCATGATGGACACTCCGGACAAAGTTAACAAACACATGACTGATTTTCTTAAGTAAATATGTAACATTCAGATCCATGATAGAAACCCAAGATAATAACAATATAATATACTATTAAAATATATTCAGGTATATATTATGTTTTACGTTTATAGGATGCAGAAATAGTTTTGAAGAAACATAATTCTTTTTTGAAAGGTGATAAGTACAAATTTTTATGTTTTGTTGTAACTGTGTTCGCATTATTATAGTCTCTACCGGTGTGTATCCCAACTAGTCTTACTGAATTTACACTGCTTTACAATTTATTATGCCTAGATACAGTTATGTTGTAGTCACTAGTCTTCTAGTAAGAGACTAAATTATATTCTTATAGGACTACTTATATCCTTCCAAAACGTTGCTACTGTGAGTTACCTGTCAATACAGGTGTATTGGATTTTGAGCTGACGGGGCTTGTAACATGAACGTTCAGTTTGTAAAATCCCGTACTCCCTGCTATGATGTGACACGACGTGATACATACAGGCCATGACCATGTATGGGTTTTTACAAGATGACAACTGGCCAATCAGATACCTGGATTCTTTGCCAAATAATGAAAAAGTCTTTCCAGGTGTGTTTGCAAGAGGTCTTACAACACTGGATGTTTAATGGCCTGCAGTTCACTACATGGTCAGGTCGTGTCGGGAGTCGGTCACTTTGATGTGGGAATGAAGCTCCTTCACGTGTCAAATGTTCTGTTGTTCAACTAAGGATCCTACCCTACTACCGAGTTATTTACAGTGTAGAGGTATTACATCCTTGACTACAGTGAACAATATACACAACTGGTCCTCAGGCAAGATATGTGTTTATCTCCATATTGGATACTTATTTCAAATACATGCATATATACATGCAATTAGCTGTTATCAGAGACATTCAGTTTCAGGCTGCTATCGGTTACTTGCATAGAGTGGTGAACTTGCAAAATAACTTTAAAACTTGGTTTAATATACAGTAATCCCTCGCTACAACGCTACCTTCGGGGTCCAAATAATTGATGAGCGTTATAGATGATCAGCAGTTTAATGAAGGTCAAGTCGTAGGTGGTAGATGACCAACAAAACAGTATACATGCTCTGCCTACCTAACACGATCTATGTTGTTAGTAAATCTTGGGAGCCATGCTTTACCGCGCGCTATAACCAGGTTAGCGCTATATTGAAGGGCGCAATAACGAGGGAACACTGTATAGACCAATTCTCTTTTACACCCCTTTTATTTTTTGCCAGTTATTCTTGGCTCAGCCCCAAATATACAGAATGTTCTTTATTGGAAAATGTGTCTTTCAACCAAAATAAATATGATCATCTAACCTTATTCAATGTTGTGTGTGGAAACTGGTGTGAGAAATCTTTTTCAGATTACGTATTATATGATTGTTTATCTCACCTTGTCATGTAATTGTGTATAGATTTTTAATGAATGGAAATCCAGGTGTATGTGATCATATTTTAGTACATCATTCTTGTTTTGGGAACAACATACGTCCTCAGGAAGCGAGTACAAGACTGGATGCTTACAAAACTGGTTGTGCAAAACTATTTTTGCTATGATTTTTTGACAAGCTTCGTGTTGTTTTTTGTGAAGAATATATAAAGGGTCAAAAGCTACTGTCTACAATACTTTGTATACATTTATTGATTGTATGATTGAATAGATAAATACAAGTTTTAACCTCGGTATTATGTTTTTTTGAGTTAGTGAGGAGTTAGCCTCTATAGTCTGTATGGCAAATCAGACCCGTGAAGATCCGGGGTCTACAGCAACCCATGCTTGCCGTAAAAGGCGACTATGCATGTTGTAAGAAGCAACTAACGGGATCAGGTGGTCAGGCTTGCTGACTTGGTTGATGCATGTCATAGTGTCCCAATTACGTGGATTGATGCTCATGATGTCAATCACTGGATTGACTGGTCCAGGCTTCCTTATTTACAGACTGCTGTCATATAGCTGGAATATTGCTGAGTGCGGCATTAAACAACAAACCAACCAACATGTGGCAAATCATGGTCAACAGAGTGAACCTTCACCCATGCCTTCAGGGTAGCTTGAAGCAATATGCCAATGGCAAACAATGATTGATTATGTCAACTCTGCTATATGTCACATCATGGTAGAGAGTGAATATATATATCCATGCCTTTGAGAAAAGTTGACACGATCTGTTCCGTTATTGTTGACTGGCAAACGATGGTCATGGTTATGGACCCTGCCTTCAGAGCTAATATGACGCAATCTATCACATGGCAGCCTGAAAGTATACAATTTTGATGGAAACATGCAAATCCATTAAAATTGAAAAGGAGATTCAGAACCTGTGGAAAATAAAGGCTTGCTTCCTATGAGCTATAGAATTACAGTAAGGACTGGGCGGAAAGCAAACTATATGGTTCAAGGTGTGATACAAGACTAGCAAAGTGTGAACAGCAATCTATACCATCAGGGTAAGAAACCTGTGACACCAGCACTCAACTGCTTGTCATGTGTGGTGACGTGACAGATCAATCATCTTACACACCGTGAAACCCCGGTTGTCTACCACATTCACTGAGTGTAAGATGACTGAATCTATCACGTCATGTGGTGACGTGACAGATCAGTCATCTTACACACCGTGAAACCCCGGTTGTCTACCACATTCACTGAGTGTAAGATGACTGAATCTATCACGTCATGTGGTGACGTGACAGATCAGTCATCTTACACACCGTGAAACCCCGGTTGTCTACCACATTCACTGCGTGTAAGATGACTGAATCTATCACGTCATGTGGTGATATGATAGATTCAATCATCTTACACACCGTGAAACCCCGGTTGTCTACCACATTCACTGAGTGTAAGATGATTGAATCTATCACGTCATGTGGTGATATGATAGATTCAATCATCTTACACACCGTGAAACCCCGGTTGTCTACCACATTCACTGAGTGTAAGATGACTGAATCTATCACGTCATGTGGTGACGTGACAGATCAGTCATCTTACACACAGTGAAACCCCGGTTGTCTACCACATTCACTGAGTGTAAGATGACTGAATCTATCACGTCATGTGGTGATGTGATAGATTCAATCATCTTACACACAGTGAAACCCCGGTTGTCTACCACATTCACTGCGTGTAAGATGACTGAATCTATCACGTCATGTGGTGACGTGACAGATCAGTCATCTTACACACCGTGAAACCCCGGTTGTCTACCACATTCACTGCGTGTGAGATGACTAAATCTATCACGTCATATGTGACAGAGGTCTCAACACCATGGATAGGGGAGTGGAGGTGAAATGTGGTTTAACATCGTGTTCAAAGCCTACTTCACTTCTATAGCCACATGCATGCATGTGTGGCTGTTTGTACCAGTCCAGACTAAAGTAGTCTTTATAGTGCTAGGCCACTGAAATACCATGTGCAGTCTAACATGGATCCCCCACACATAATACTGACTCCAAGACAACCAGTCCTTGTTTTACCCCCTTAACGCAGGGTGCCATGCGGAGTAACAACAAGTACCACGTCTTTTGGTATGACACGGCATGGGGATCGAACCTCCGACCTTCTGCTTTCCAGGCAGACGCTCTATCCACTAGGCCATGGAGGTGGTTCAGCATAAAATGCAAGGAAAAACAGAGTATAAGATTAGTTTCTGTACATAATTTTATTTTTGTCTTAGCTGTCCACTCTTGAGATTGATTGAGTGAATGATGCGCAGACATAGTGTGCAGACTCATCCTCGAGGATCCAGGGTATTACATCACATCTATTAAGATGCATATCCTGGACCCAACTGCTACCACAGCCTCTTTCAGGAGTGACATCACCACCTCTATCTCTAACTTAGTATGTAGCAGGAGAGAGCCTGAATTAAGTTGAATGGATAGCTCTACTTTCGCCTTGTGTCATTCAAATAGGGCTCAAAGCCCATTTCTGGTGTCCCCTGCCGTGATGTTGCTGGAATATTGCTAAAAGCGGTGTAAAACCTCACTCACTCACTCACTCACTCACTCAAAACAAAGCCATGGTAGCGAATGGGTCCAGGGTATTTATCATAGTAGAATGGCACTGGGTAATTAAGGATGTAAAGTAATGAACAGGTCCAGCAGTGAAAATATTGTGACCATGTTCTTCTCCAGTACTGTTAAGGCACATGCAACAACCATCAATGTCTGCAGTAAGCACAATGCTTGAATATATTCCATGTGCAGGTTTTGGGAATTTGAACATGAATTTTCTTTGCAGCTTGACGTCAAACGTCTGTGTCACAAGAGGTTTTCACAGCTTGCAGTATGTCAGACTCGCTTCCAAAACAGGAGAGTAACACTTGCATGGTTTTTCTGTAATAAAACATGTTATAGGTAAAAGTGATCAACTTGGATACATTAAAAAAAGAACTACTTTCTCTGTTACACGTTCCCCGCAAATTGTAACATCTTGCCTATTTCACACAACATACTGACTCGTGAAGATCGGGGGTAGAATAGGTCTTCAGCAACCCATACTTGCCGTAAAAGGCGACTAAGCTTGTGGTTGGAGGAGACTAATGGGATCGGGTGGTCAGGCTCGCTGACTTGGTTGATGCATGTCATCATATCCCAATTGTGTGCATCGATGCTCATGATGTCAATCACTGGATTTTCCGGTCGAGACTCAATTATTTTCAGACTGCCGTCATATATGGCTGAAATATTGCGGCGTAAAACAACAAACCACACGACATACTGACCATATATCAATCATCACTTGATCTGTGCCTTCAGGCTGAGATGACACAATGTTCACATTATTAACACCAACTAATTCTCAAGCATCTTGTACAGAAATGTTGTGAAAGTGATGATCCTACAGAAAGCTGTTCTGACCTTTTGCAGAGGACCTTCTGCTCGAATTCGGACGATTTCTGAGTGGCCAGTTTGATGATGTTTGTTGCTATGTCTGCCAGCCTGGCAACATTCAGACCGTAGCTCTTGGCAGCGACCCCGCGCACCAGTTGGTAGAGGAAGGTGATCACATCACTGTCATCCTCATCTGTGGGAAACAATCACACAGGGGATATAATCAGTAATAAAATTTAGGATGTGATATGGTTTTGCCTGCAGTCAGCAATATTCCTGTTACATAATGACAGGCTTTTTACAAATAATTGAGTCTAGTCCAAGAAAAACACTTGTTTGGGGATGATGACACAATTGGTTGTGTCAACATGCAATGTTCATATTTCATGGGCAAGTTTGGCAAGGAGGGGTGCTGATATTCTACCCCTGAATCTCCACACGGAGACAGCTAAGGGTCCTATTCTGCCCCTGAATCCCCACAACGGGATAATCAAAGGGTGCTTTTCTTCTCTTGAATCCCCAAACAGGACAGCTAATTTATATATAAGTGTGCTATTCTGCCCCTGAATCCCCACATGCAGACAGCTAAGGGTTCTATTCTGCCCCTGAATTCCCACAAGGAGATCGATAGGGGTGCTATTCTGCCCCAGAATCCCCACATGGAGACAGCTAAGGGTTCTATTCTGCCCCTGAATTCCCACAAGGAGACCGATAGGGGTGCTATTCTGCCCCTGAATCCCAACATGGAGACAGCTAAGGGTTCTATTCTGCCCCTGAATCCCAACATGGAGACAGCTAAGGGTTCTATTCTGCCCCTGAATCCCCACATGGCGACGGCTAAGGGTTCTATTCTGCCCCTGAATTCCCACAAGGAGACCGATAGGGGTGCTATTCTGCCCCAGTTTGTGTTCTGAACCCCTGTGACCTTCAAGTTCCCCTACTGCTTTATCACTGTGCCCACCATCACCTTCATGTACCCACCATCACCTTCATGTTCCCCTACTGGACCATCACTGTACCCACCATCACCTTCATGTACCCCAACTTGACCATCACTGTACCCACCATCACCTTCATGTACCCACTATCACCTTCATGTACCACTACTGGACCATCACCTTCATGTACCCACCATCACCTTCATGTACCACTACTGGACCATCACTGTACCTACCATCATGCAGCAGGAAGGACATGTGGTAGTTGCCGACAATGTCTGGATACGTTCCCTCAAACTCCGATAACATGGGGTAGTGGGTCACAAACAGGGTCAAGTTCTTCACCTGCGAAGACATTGAATAGTCTTTAAGGGGAATTTCAAAGTTAGAAATACTTGAAGACATGAAACCTTTCATTGATAGCAAGTTCTATAGTATTTGTTTCTGATCAAGTCCTTGCCCCTTCATCACTTCATAATGAAATGAAATTGTTATCCATAAAACAGTTCCATGGATTCATCAGTTTGTACCTTAGACTTAAAAAACTAAAAAGAACTGGTTCCCAAGCAATGACTTTAGAAAATATAGTGTGGGCAGGTGGGCACTATTTTTGTTGTTGCTTGTTCAACCTCGTATGTAACCAAATAAACAGCTATGTACCATCAACCTGGGAAAGGGCCTCCCTACATAAACAAGCATACAAACTGCTATTGCTGCCATGACCATATTAATACGAGATGCGCAGTAAAGGAGTGAGCATGTTAAGGGAAGCGACTGATATTGGATCACATTTTTTTTAGTATTATATTTTATTTTTTTAGAAAATGGAATTAAAAACAAAACGTGCGGCACACTTAATGATGATGTGGGCAGTGCCTGAAAACCAAGTCTATTTTTTTTTTAACCAAGACATGGAACCCTAATACCGATTCAACATGGTTGCCTTAAAACAAGCTATATTCTACTTGTGACCTATCCCCGGGAGGAGAGAGAACAAAAACAGTTCCTTTCTTATATGCTGCACCACATGCTGACTGTTTTGGTTCAGTTATCGACAACAAGATTATGCAACAGATCATTTGTAAAATGTTTTCAAAATATGTCTACTGGAACAACAAAAAACTCATTACATTACATATAGTCTGACCATTTCCCCATTCCCCAGTATAAATGTTCACAAGGCACAACTGATATACACACTTCTTTGATAAAGAAGTTGAGGGTGGCATAGGCAATGGCGACTCCATCGTGGGTAGATGTTCCCCTGCCAAGCTCGTCCATGATGACGAGGGACCTCTCTGTAGCGTGAGCCATGATGTCGGAAGCCTCCTCCAGTTCCACCATGAAGGTGCTGCGCCCCTTGAAGATCTCATCAGCTGCACCCATTCTACAATACAGCAAAAAGATCTTCCTGTCATTTGTTTCTGAAATGTCCATGTGAGACGAGGTGTGGTGAGATGTGTGAGGAATGGCATTTAACCGTGTGTTAATCATTATTAGCAATGTCTGTGGGTGCATGTGCATGTGCATGTGCATGTGCTTGTACTTGTCCAAGTCCTTGTACGAAGGACAGCTCTGTAGTGCCAGCTGACTGAGGTACTAGTTTAACATGGATACCCCAATCAGGCATAATATAATGACTCTGAGCCGACCAGTCCTAGTTTTATTCTCTTAAACTAAGCACTAGGCAGGAAGTCCCATCTTTAAACATCTTTTGGTATGACTCTATTCGTCCCCCTTCCGGGAAGATGCTCTATCCACTATGTCACGAAAGTCATGAGGACGTATGAGTAAGTGACTTTAAACTATGTATTGTCACTGTATCTGATATAGTCATAGTGATCTCTTGCAAGCATGAGAAATTTGTTGTACAGTTTATTTATAAAATACATCAAGTGTTCTGTTATTCCAGTGCTAGATATTTCACTTCAAGAATGAGACACGTCTCCTAAAGGACCTTATTTTATGCTGGTACTACACATTTTGATGCCAGACAGTGTCACATTTTCATGCTGTGTTTCCTTGTATCTCCTACATGTCACACAGGGGATTATATAAGTGTTGTCATTATTTTGACAAAGAATTATTTTGACATCTTAGGTGTATTTGGTAAGAATCCTCATGCCAATGCTTCAGGTAGGGTTTACACACAAGGGAATATGGTGGTAATACATACCATCACCCAAAACAGCAAAAAAACACCTAACAAGCATAAAATTTAAATCTAAATTTACAGCTGTAACAATGGTAACATATAACCACATTTCAGTCATAAACATTAGAAAGCCATCTTTAAAGTTCCATCCATTTAAAAGGGAAACTAAAGTAGCCTTCACATCAATTTGTAGTTTCTTGTTGATCAAATGATCTTAACAGAAAACTGAAAACAAAGTTATGAAGAGAGGATCATAACATGTTAATATAGCATCTAGCACACCAAGATTCAATTTGTTAGCTGGGACACATGAGTGTATATATACAGATGGGGCAGTATTCTATCACTATGCATCAGCTCAACATAGAAGGAAATCTTAAAGTGACAGGTTGAAGGCCTTTGATGAATCAGGCCAACACTCTGAGTGTATATATACAGATTGGGCAGTATTCTATCACTATGCATCAGCTCAACATGGAAGGAAATCTTAAAATGACAGGTTGAAGGCCTTTGATGAATCAGGCCAACACTCTGAGTGTATATATACAGATTGGGCAGTATTCTATCACTATGCATCAGCTCAACATGGAAGGAAATCTTAAAATGACAGGTTGAAGGCCTTTGATGAATCAGGCCAACACTCTGAGTGTATATATACAGATTGGGCAGTATTCTATCACTATGCATCAGCTCAACATGGAAGGAAATCTTAAAATGACAGGTTGAAGGCCTTTGATGAATCAGTCCCAAATTCTGCAATCCAAACCCTTGATGATAAGGAATGGATTGCAACTTTAGACCTATGTCCAATGGGCCACTCATGACCCTGATAATGATGCAGTAGTTCTCAGCTAGCCATGTCACCCCCATGTAGGCCTACCTTGTGTATATAGCATCTAGCACACCAATTGTCGCTCTGTCGGCTGGGACAAACGACCCGATCTGTGCCATGATGGAGATCAGGGCCACTTGTCGGATGTACGAGCTCTTGCCTCCCATGTTGGGTCCAGTGATAATCATTACTCGCTCCCCACTTGCCTGTCACAAACAGATTAACATGGACTTGGTTCACATTACAAGGATTGTTTGCTATTATGTTGCCAGTTTATGGATAGACAAAAGTTGTCAGTCAGACTACCTGCTCAAGCTTTTTGCCTACCCTCACAGTTTCACTGACCTACTCACCCCAAGTCTATCTTAAGGTTTCAACACAAAATACGCACAAGACATATTACGGCAACAATATATTCCTCTGTTAACCATGGTATAATATCTTCATTCTAATATGACAAATGCCATTGTTTATTGTGGAAGTGATGTCACCACCTCCATCTCTCTGATCAGTGACTTCTCACTGAACGTCTCTTGCTTGTGGCTGTTGTCACATTTGACAGCTAGATTCAGCACCCACAAGTTTGTGTCAGACTCAAAACAAGCTATGGTGTTGAATGGCTCCAGGTATTTATAGTAACAGAATGGAGATATAATACCCTGGATAATAGAGGATGCAGCAGTATATGAAATAAACTAAAGACACTGACAGCCTACCTGTAACCGTGGTCTCTGACAGGGTGTCGTCCCAACTAATCAATCTCCACACACACTGACAGCCTACCTGTAACCGTGGTCTCTGACAGGGTGTCGTCCCAACTAATCAATCTCCACACACACTGACAGCCTACCTGTAACCGTGGTCTCTGACAGGGTGTCGTCCCAACTAATCAATCTCCACACACAAGGACAGCCTACCTGTAACTGTGTATCATTGGGCACAAACTGTTCATGATCGGCCTTGAGAATGTCTATGACTGGGTGTCGGCCCTGATCAATCTCCACACACACTGCATCATCCACCACTTCAGGCCTAGAACAACAAGAACATTTAAACAGAAGGGAACAGTAGTTCCTGGTCTGTCTTGGAACAGCTTGCCCAAACACCCCTGTCAAGGGACACATTGCACGTTTGTGTGAATCACGTGATTTTCATGGCAAGCTACATTCAAGGACTTAGGAAATGAAAGCTGCTTCAATTATCAAGAAGCACATATATTTATTATAGAAACATCAATATTCACACTTTCACTGAATATGTAGAAAAAGAACACTTTGGGGGTTTGTTTTTTTGGCATCAAGAACATTTTGTATTTCTGTATTTGAAACATTATATCTAAGACATTATTTCATAGACATGGTGTTTCTTGTGGGCAATAAGATCTGCCTCATTCCCAACAATGTCAAAACATATTTTACATCCAAGTAGAAACTTTAATATGAGAAGTATCCTGATTGTGTGGTTTTGACACAATGTCATGATAACAGCACAAAACTGTACTCTTAATGTTAAACTGCCATAATAAAACAGAATGGCTCAAGATGCAACAACAAAATATCATAATGGTAAGGATTATGTTTAAGTATACCCCAAATATGTTATATGTTATATATAAATATGTTTCCTACTACAGAAAAATGTCCACCTCTTTTTATGAATTTGTCAAGGTGTGATATTCATAGTAGCACTGTATTGTTTGATACCACAGGAATCAGAACTTCTGACCAAATAATGAGTGAGTGAGTGAGTGAGTATGGTTTTACGCCGCTTTTAGCAATATTCCAGCAATATCACGGCGGGGGACACCAGAAATGGGCTTCACACATTGTACCCATGTCGGGAATCGAACCCGGGTCTTCGGCGTGACGAGCGAACGCTTTAACCTCTAGGCTACCCGATCGCCCCGACCAAATAATGAAGTACTGACCTGCAGTATCCGTTCTGCTGAGCAAGTGTGGACAGAGACAGGAGACAGTCTAGAGTAGCCAGGTGCTGTATTCCCCTCTTGAACTGCAGGTAGAACTCTGAGAACTCCCTGCAACAAAGTCACGCAAACGTACTCAAGTGACCATACATGAAAACCTTTTCTTCATGTGGTGTTGTTGACTAGTCCATCAAAATATTTCATCTTTTGCATTTCATTTCATCACCAAATCTCCTCACAAACAACCATCACACACTACCATAAGTGATATCAACTGATTAATATTTGGTTGTATATGAAACAATGCCCTAGTGTGGTCGATAAGTTGATAAAACATCGTAATATATATTTCACTTAATCGTATTGGTGGAGTGTGGTTTAAAATATCATTATGATTCTGCCTATGTTGTAATGGTGGACATCTCTGAATGGTGCAGTACATACTGTAGGAAGTCCCTCCATGCATCTGTGGCGTCCAGCACCAACTGTTCCCGCAGCTGGTTCAACAGCTTGTACTTCTCCACAATGACCGGTGTGTGGAACCTGCTTACTGCTTTCGTGCTGGGGACACAGCAAATAGTCACAATTCTGTTTGTACCGGTAACTGGTAAAGTTAACTCTATAGTAAAATATTTTTCTTTGTACACATGTGCAAGCCTTCAACTTAGTAATTTTCTTATATGCTATAAAGTTTCTCATGGATGATCAAAATTGGAATATAGAGATTCTCACCCAAGTGTCTGTTGAAATCAAATATATCTACGTCTTCATAAAAATTGTAAACTTCTATTGACGAGTGTGGATATATTTGAATTCAAGGCATGAGGGTTCGATTCTATTTATCATCCCAAATCATTCTTCCAACTTGTTCAGATTGCAAACAGTAATAACCAGTGTCATGAGAGTAAAAAGCTGACATGCCTCAGTGGCAGAAGGATTAGTGCTGATGATGTCACAATGGTTGACAAAGCATTGTTATGCAATTACATGTGGTGATATCTCCTGTGGAAGCTAGTTCACCCCAAGTCAAAAAGTGCAACATAGCTCACCTGCTAATCTTGGTCCAGTCGGAGGGTACCAGTTTAAGTTGGGTGTTCCGAACCTCAACCAGAAACTACAACATAGGGTAACATCTCTAAATTACACAGCCTGCTTACAGGGCTGAGAGCGAGGCCAGTTTGCAGTCCCAGCAAGTTTGATTTAAGACAATGTCTCAAATTCACACAGGGCATTCACTTAACAAATCTAGACCCACAGGATTTTAACGTACAACATTTAGACCCTTAGGGCATTCCCTAACAACATCTAGACACAAAGGACATTAACCAAAAATATCTAGTCCCACAGGGCATTCAAGAACAACATCTAGACACACTGGCCATTCACTAACAACATCTCGACACACAGGACATTCACTAACACTATCTGGACCCAAAGGACATTCACTAACAACATCTAGACACACAGGGCATTCACTAACAATATCTCGACACACAGGACATTCACTAACAACATTTAGACCAACAGGGCATTCAATAACACTATCTGGACCCAAAGGACATTCACTATCAACCTCTTGACAGTCAGGGCATTCACTAACAACATCTAGACACACAGGGTATTCACTAACAACATTAAGACACACAGGACATTAACTAACAACATCTAGACACACACGGCATTCACTAACAACATCTAGACACACAGCAAATTCACTAACAACAACTAGACACACAGGACATTCACTAACAACATCTAGACACACAGGACATTCACTAACAACATCTAGACACACAGCAAATTCACTAACAACATCTTGACATACAGGACATTAACTAACAACATCTAGACACACAGCAAATTCACTAACAACATCTAGACACACAGGGCATTCACTAACAACATCTAGACACACAGGGCATTCACTAACAACATCTAGACACACAGGGCATTCACTAACAACATCTAGACACACAGGGCATTCACTAACAACATCTAGACACACAGGGCATTCACTAATAACATCTAGACACACAGGGCATTCACTAACAACATCTAGACACACAGGGCATTCACTAACAACATCTAGACACACAGGGCATTCACTAACAACATCTAGACACACAGGGCATTCACTAATAACATCTAGACACACAGGGCATTCACTAACAACATCTCGACATACAGGACATTAACTAACAACATCTAGACACACAGCAAATTCACTAACAACATCTAGACACACAGGGCATTCACTAACAACATCTAGTCACACAGGGCATTCACTAACACTAGCTAGACACACAGGACATTCACTAACAGCATCTAGACACACAGGGCATTCACTAACAACATCTTGTCACACAGGGCATTCACTAACACTATCTAGACACACAGGACATTCACTAACAGCATCTAGACACACAGGGCATTCACTAACAACATCTAGTCACACAGGGCATTCACTAACACTATCTGGACACACAGGACATTCACTAACAGCATCTAGACACACAGGGCATTCACTAACAACATCTAGTCACACAGGATACTCACTTACAACATCTAGACTAGAAATGGGATCAGAGGAAGAATATGCTCTCTCAAAAGTCAGAATTAAAATTATTTCAAAATTGATTAATGTCACATCTGTTGATTGATGTCATCTGCGAACTAAATTTGTATGTTTGAATTAGCTATGAAATATGTCTGTTACAGTCTTCACATAACTAATACATGCATCGGGTATTCACAACATGAGCTGCGTCCATGATGTCTGACCTCTGTCTGTAACACAGTGACGTAGTTGAGAGCAGGCTGTCTGACGGTGCGGCGGACATCTCGAAGGTGGTCCTTCAGGTCTAGTTGTACATCGGCCATCTCTTTCTTTCTGCCGACAATCTGCGGAAATTTACTCTCATCACTGAACAGGTTGGGTTTGTCATTCTCTCTGAAACATTCAACATCATCCCAAGACTTCACAAATCTTCAAATCCTAATGAATTATGATATCAAAACATGAATAAATTTGATGAAATGTATTAAAAGACAAAATAGCGTTAAAATAAGACTAACACACTTCACAACAGATTTTCAGACTTGCTTTTTCCGGTAGTGTTTTGCCTTGGGGAAGGAAATCAAATTTCATTGCATGTGCATATAACACACCCCTCCTGCAACACGGCTGTAATGTGTTGGAGTGAGTGAGTGAGTATGGTTTTACGCCGTTTTAGCAATATTCCAGCAATATCACGGTGGGGAATACCAGAAATGGGCTTCACACTTTGTACCCATGACGGGAATCGAACCTCGGTCTTCGGCGTGATGAGTGAATGCTTTAACCACTAGGCTACCTGACCGCCCTGTAATGTTTTGGAAAAAACAGTGCATCACGAGAAGATATAGATACTATTTTGTGTATTTTCTATCTTCCAGCTTGTACCTTGCAGCTTTCTCATTGATGAGTCCAGAAAAGCTCTTCGCCTCCCCCAGCAGGCCAGGCACTTCAGTCAATATTGTTTTTATCAAAGTGGATTTCACCTGGTCTCCTACAGAGCTGGATAGAGTCTTCATCTCCCGAAACATCTTCTCTAGAGCCTTACACACCAGGTAGAATTCACCTGTGGAGCACTGAAACAAGCAAATTGTAACTCTGATGTATAACTCTGACTCTCATGTCACTCTGATGTATAACTCTGACTCTCATGTCACTCTGATGTATAACTCTGACTCTCATGTCACTCTGATGTATAACTCTGACTCACATGTCATTCTGATGTATAACTCTGACTCTCATGTCACTCTGATGTATAACTCTGACTCACATGTCCCTTTGATGTATATAGCTCTTACTCTCATGTCACTCTGATGTATAACTCTGACTCTCGTGTCACTCTGATGTATAACTCTGACTCTCATGTCACTCTGATGTATAACTCTGACTCTCATGTCACTCTGATGTATAACTCTGACTCTCATGTCACTCTGATGTATAACTCTGACTCTCATGTCACTCTGATGTATAACTCTGACTCTCATGTCACTCTGATGTATAACTCTGACTCTCATGTAACTCTGATGTATAACTCTGACTCTCATGTCACTCTGATGTTTATACTCCAAATACGAAGTATGACTAAATTTAATGTAAACACAGCTACCCTAATTTACTCACAAATCTGTCACAGTGTGGCCTCACTGTTTAATATGTATACAGTCTTGATCAATATTCACACAGCCAAATCAATAAAGCCCTGGCAGTATTTGCATTGCGTCACATGTATTGAGAAAGATTCTTATTGTGATCTTTTGTTATAAATCTATTCATATAAAACTGCTATCTTTAAGTTATCCTATTGTTAAACACTTGGTACCTCTTCTTGGACATGGAAATAAATGTCTTACTTTTGGATTGTTTTTTCCCACTTCCAATACATATAACAGACATAAAATCATGGAGGAGCCCTTTACCGGACACATGAAACAGACACAGTACCCATGCCATACATCATAATACACACACTCTTGCAGTACACATGCATACTGGATACATGCACTACTATGAATGATTGAAGGGTGTTGTTTTACTGAAGCAATATCTCCAGTCAGTCGCAGACACATTCTGCAGTAAAATTACAAAAATTCTGCAGCTAATATATATATCCATGAATTGTCTTCCTTCTGTGTATTACTTCTAAATGCCCTTCAAAGACTATATATATAGTGTCTGATATTTACTCATGGTTAGATGTAAACAGTTATGTTGTCGTAATACTACATTTAAAAGTGACAATGACATATTTCAAATTTTGTTGTATTGTGGGATTCATTTTGTTATGTTTGAGTTGTATGTTAAATGTTTGGGCATTATTAAATGAAAAAAATTGAAAATAATGAAAATTAGTGTATTGACTGACAAAATAAAGGCAAATTCCATGATTTTTCGGCAATTCTGCAGAATGATACATTTTCTGCAAATCTTTCCGTGTTTGCAGAATCCGGTGCACACCATGTTTTTTTCAGACATCTTACACGTCAACCAATCACGTGTTTTGGTTACTTGGTGACTTGGGAGTGGTGTGCATACTACTATATCAAACTACTGGATCCGCCTCTGTCTACTGCATATGCAGTTTCATGATATAACAGTGTTACCTTCTTGTAGTAGATGGAGCACAGCCCCTTCTCCAGGTCTGGCAGCTTCGCCAGGACATCTCGGAGCTTGACAAGGCCAGACAGGGTACCACAGCCCAGCTCCTCCACAGCTTCCTGTCGCTCTCGGATAGCACTGGATGGGGGAACGGGATAATACACAACTTATAGGAATACTACTCACGCAACTGATGCTAAAGAGAAATACTTTCAAACCCTTTTCATCTGCAGGGACAAATGTTAAACTTCATACCCATATTCGAAACCAGGAGGAACTGTTTATCAAATAGAATTATCGTCAAGACAGAATTTGTAGAAAAGGGCTATAAATATCTTTATTTGAAGTTAGTTATAGTGTGTTTGTTGTTTAACTCTGCACTCAGCAATATTCCAGCTATATGACGGAAGGAATACAATGACATGCATCAACCATGGACCTATATACCGGTTATACAAGTCCGTGCATCAACCAAGTCAGCGATCCTGACCACTTGATCCCGTTAATCATCTCTTACGACAAGCATAGTCCCCTTTTACAGCAAGCATCGGTTGCTGAATACCTTTTGTAACCCGGGCTTCATGGGTCTGAAGTTAGCTATAGAGGCAAGGCAGTTAACCATGGTTTGGACAGAAAAAAACAACTGTGAACCTCAGTTCATAAACTTTGATACAGAGGGTGATGTTTTAGCTGCAGTCAGCAATATTTCAGCTGTATCTCAGCAGCCTGTAAGTAATCAAGCCGGATCCAAACATGCTAGGATAGGCTAGTTCAGGACAGTCGGCTCAAGTGTGATGACGCAGGTTTTGTTGATTGCTTATCACTGTACCCTGATGGCTTCGGCACCGCTCATGATATCAGTCACTGGGACACCGCTCATGATATCTGTCACTGGGACACTGCTCGTGATATCAGTCACTGGGACATTGCTCATGATATCAGTCACTGGGACAACGCTCATGATATCAGTCACTGGGACATTGCTCATGATATCAGTCACTGGGACACCGCTCATGATATCAATCACTGGTACACTGCTCATGATATCAGTCACTGGGACACCACTCATGATATCACTCACTAGGAAACGGCTCATAATATCAGTCACTGGTTCAGACTTGATTATTTACAGGCCACTGTCATGCAGCTGTGTCAACAGGAAACAACAAAACTACTTGGAACTTCATGCAAGTCCAGCCCAAGTCAACAATTAATGATTCCAACATAATGAGTGTCCTCCATTACATGTCAATATCATTCAAATAGTTCACATATTGTGTTGCAACACATATTGTATTGTGAGATGAAATGAGGTTTAACATCACATTGAATATTATTTTACTCATAAAGCAATGTGCATTTATGTATATGCGTGCATGCATGTGTGCGCGTGTGCAACAGTGTGGGTGTGTGTGCTTGTGTGTGTGTGTGCATGGCTGCTGGTACTAGTCTGGTTTAGCCCACTGCAATATCATGTCACAATCTAACAAGGACACCCCACTCAGACACAGTAAACCAGTCCTTGCTTTATCCCCTTAATGCTGAGTGCCAGGCTGAGAGTAACAACATGGACCATTTTTGAACGTTTTTTCATTTGATGTCGCCCAGGTTCAAACCACCGACCTTTGGCTCTCCACCATGGCGGCGGTCTACGGTATCATGGGTTACATTTTGAAACACCATGTTGAGCTTTTACCTATCACTGCAGCTCAGCATGCAAGCAATATTAATCAGTATATGTATTCCACATTTAGCCGAGTGTTGATGGTTACCATGGTTACCTGACATCCATTAGTGGATTAGCAAGCCAGGATCTAAGCAGCCGACAGCCAAACTTTGTCACAGTGTGGTTGATGACCCAGAACAATGTGGCTCTCTGGCGGCCATCGGTCAGGTTCTGAAACAACTCCAGATTACGCACAGTGCTGCCACCTAGCTGCAGGAACTTGGACTTGAGGGAAAACTTGGTGAAATTACTGAAACAAAGCACAGGAACACGTCCTTCATCAGGTACACAGAAATCAAATTTGACAATGTGAAATATCCCTCCTCCTGAGACACAAGTGGTATATCTATTAAAAAAACCTTCTGAATCACAAAACAAAGACATTATGTAGTCTTTGATGGGTACCTTGACTGTCAGTTCTCATTTTCATAAATGAGGAGACATTATTTCATTTCATTTAAATCTCTTCATTAGTCACGCTATAAGTGAAATACAAGTCACCTACAAAGACATATCCAAAGTTGTCATTAGTCATAACTAGAAAAACATGAAATGGGAAATTTTCAATTCGTACTGATATTCACCATGTTCACTGCAGACTTAATCAGGCATCTGAGCAGGTCCAGATAAAACCTCAGACATATTTCAAAAGGTTATGAAATACAAAAATCATTTAACCGAATTAGAGATAATGATGCTTATTAAAAAACATTCTTGCAATCAATGAGTGTCACATCACATTTAGAATATGAGACATGTCAAGGCAGTAAATCACCATCTTCCCAAAGCAAGGGAGTTATCTGACTGTAAAATTTCAATGTTCAATCGTAGCGACACCAGTGGCTATTACGAGTTATGTCCCTTCTATACCCCCTCCTATTGACCAATCAGATTCCAACTCTCATATCACTTGCATTTGCTTCAAACAAAATGGCGGCACCCAGTCAAGACGACCTGATCGATACAGAAAAAGTATCTTGTAATGAAACGGGTCTTACTTCGCGAAGTGCATCAAATCACGCGAGCACCTTGATTGAAAACATGAAATGATTAGGAAAATATCTGTTGACGGCGAGTTAGCGGTACGCATGCTTGGCAAATCCTTCAAGTGACCGAAATCTGTATGGCAGTTTACAAACCGGATGTCAAATTCGTAATGTGATTTGGATTGGACTATGCATAGACTCGTTAGTCCAGACTAAATATAATTCCATAATGCCAGCCTAGTTCGGCAAGGGTGGAAACTGGATTTTTATAGTCAGTTAACTCCCTTGCCTCGGGAAGATGGTAAATCACTTACCTTGTAAGTTGTAGTGCATTCTGTAAATGGAAATCTTTGAGGTAGACAATGATAGCTGAGAGACAGCAGATGACAGGCTTGGGTAGGTTGACCACTGACTGAAGGCTGGTTCCTGAATATGAACAAGGACTATATACAATATGAAACTGGTACACTCTTTTTCGTGCTGTGAGTGAGTGGTGTGTCAAGCATGCTGTCTCAGCTTGTAGATGATGATAACCTTATACTTGAAAGTGATGACAAACTAGGAGATATAATCGAGGCACATCTTACATCGACTTACAACCAGCAGATACTGGCACGGGTAAGGGAAACTACTCTGCAGATCCAACTATTACACCATAGACTACAGGTCTGCTCCTACTTTCACTTTTACCGTGGTGTACAGAGAAGATTTACCTAGAAGTCCAAGGCATCATTGTATCATAATATTCAAGGATAATTCCAAGGAGGTGCCTTGTGCTTTAAGCCCCTAAATTTGAAAAAAGGCTCACATTTTCAAATATCATGGGGTATTTTAACAATGTGCCATATGGGCAAGTGTGGGTGTACCTCTGGAATATTTGAACTTTTCACATAAAGGTCCCATGTCAGAAAATTCCTAGAGTGAACCCTGATATTGAACAATAAAATATCACCATCTGGGATGAACCTCACTAAATTTACTTCAATGAAATGCTCCGACTCATGGAAAGGAACTTTGAATAAATAATGCAAAATGTAGAAACATGAACCAACACTGAAAAATAAGCAATTTCACGTGACCTGGAATTTACTTGCTATATGACTTGTTACCTACCAGAATAGAAGCCAGAAACTGTTTCAAATGCTTGGCTGTACAAAAAGTTGTCATCTCCTAACCGTTCCAGTCGTATTCGATCATCCTCGGTTGAACTGAAACACAGGTTGATTACCACTGTACGAATACATTGTACAAATCATATCACACAACAACCCAGTCATATCATGGCATGTCAGCTTAATGTGTGAGGAAAGCCCGAAGTGATGCAGGTCTAAGGCGTTTACCACATTTGCTTCATTCACAGCCAAGTCTTTTTAGCTGTCATGGAGAGGGGTGAGGTTGGTTGATTGACAGGCTAGCTCCAATTTCTGTACAAGACTAACCTCAAGGCCACAACATCACTGATGAGCTTCTCTGTCCTGTTAGTCAGCGAGTCTGGCAGCAGCATCTCAACTGGTTGTATGTGTGTTATCCTCTTCTCAAGCTCTGCTCTTGTGTCACCATCCTCGAAACAGTCATACACCACATCGCCAGTACCAGGGTCCACAGCCTAGACCAAGAATATACAATATCTTTACACTTGACAAGATTGTCATACATTGCATCACCAAAAGTGCTGCAAAATTAGGATGAAATCATGGTGTGTCTGTATTTCATTTCTCTACTGCAAATACTGATCATAAATCAAGCTTTCGGTTCAAGGAATATAAGCAGAACCAATTTTACAGGTACCCTCACCTAACAGGAGCACAACAAGTCTTTTCAGCATCCCCACATAAACAATAGCAGGTCTAACCTTACCCTATTCCTACCCAACAAGAACAGGAATTATCTTACCTAATCCCCACACAACAGGAGCAGGACTTATCTTACCCAATCCCTACCCAACAAGAACAGGAATTATCTTACCTCATCCCCACACAACAACAGCAAGACTAATCTTACCCTGTCCCCACCCAACAGGAGCAGGTCTAACCTTACCCTATCCCTACCCAAACAGAGCAGGACCATTCTTACTTTTAATATCCCCACGCAACAAGAGCAGGACTAATCTTACCACCATCTGCCTACAACAAGAGCAGGACCATTCTTACTTTATTCCCACCCAACAAGAGCAGGACCACTCTTACTTTATTCCCACCCAACAAGAGCAGGACCATTCTTACTTTATTCCCACCCAACAAGAGTAGGACCACTCTTACTTTATTCCCACCCAACAAGAGCAGGACCATTCTTACTTTATTCCCACCCAACAAGAGTAGGACCACTCTTACTTTATTCCCACCCAACAAGAGTAGGACCATTCTTACTTTATTCCAACCCAACAAGAGTAGGACCACTCTTACTTTATTCCCACCCAACAAGAGTAGGACCACTCTTACTTTATTCCCACCCAACAAGAGTAGGACCACTCTTACTTTATTCCCACCCAACAAGAGTAGGACCATTCTTACTTTATTCCAACCCAACAAGAGTAGGACCACTCTTACTTTATTCCCACCCAACAAGAGTAGGACCATTCTTACTTTATTCCAACCCAACAAGAGTAGGACCACTCTTACTTTATTCCCACCCAACAAGAGTAGGACCACTCTTACTTTATTCCCACCCAACAAGAGTAGGACCACTCTTACTTTATTCCAACACAACAAGAGCAGGACCATTCTTACTTTATTCCCACCCAACAAGAGCAGGACCACTCTTACTTTATTCCCACCCAACAAGAGCAGGACCACTCTTACTTTATTCCCACCCAACAAGAACAAGACCACTCTTACTTTATTCCCACCCAACAAGAGCAGGACCATTCTTACTTTATTCCCACCCAACAAGAGCAGGACCACTCTTACTTTATTCCCACCCAACAAGAGCAGGACCACTCTTACTTTCTTCCCACCCAACAAGAGCAGGACCATTCTTACTTTATTCCCACCCAACTAGAGCAGGACCATTCTTACTTTATTCCCACCCAACAAGAGCAGGACCAGTCTTACTTTATTCCCACCCAACAAGAGCAGGACCATTCTTACTTTATTCCCACCCAACAAGAGCAGGACTATTCTTACTTTATTCCCACCCAACAAGAGCAGGACCACTCTTACATTATTTCCACCCAACAAGAGCAGGACCATTCTTACTTTATTCCCACCCAACAAGAGTAGGACCACTCTTACTTTATTCCCACCCAACAAGAGTAGGACCACTCTTACTTTATTCCCACCCAACAAGAGTAGGACCATTCTTACTTTATTCCAACCCAACAAGAGCAGGACCATTCTTACTTTATTCCCACCCAACAAGAGCAGGACCATTCTTACTTTATTCCCACCCAACAAGAGCAGGACCATTCTTACTTTATCCCCACCCAACAAGAGCAGGACCATTCTTACTTTATTCCCACCCAACAAGAGCAGGACCACTCTTACTTTATCCCCACCCAACAAGAGCAGGACCATTCTTACTTCATCCCCACCCAACAAGAGCAGGACCACTCTTACTTTATCCCCACCCAACAAGAGCAGGACCATTCTTACTTTATCCCCACCCAACAAGAGTAGGACCACTCTTACTTTATTCCCACCCAACAAGAGCAGGACCACTCTTACTTTATCCCCACCCAACAAGAGCAGGACCATTCTTACTTTATTCCCACCCAACAAGAGCAGGACCACTCTTACTTTATCCCCACCCAACAAGATCAGGACCATTCTTACTTTATCCCCACCCAACAAGAGCAGGACCACTCTTACTTTATCCCCACCCAACAAGAGCAGGACCATTCTTACTTTATCCCCACCCAACAAGAGTAGGACCACTCTTACTTTATTCCCACCCAACAAGAGCAGGACCACTCTTACTTTATCCCCACCCAACAAGAGCAGGACCATTCTTACTTTATCCCCACCCAACAAGAGCAGGACCACTCTTACTTTATTCCCACCCAACAAGAGCAGGACCATTCTTACTTTATCCCCACCCAACAAGAGCAGGACCACTCTTACTTTATCCCCACCCAACAAGACCAGGCCCACTCTTACCAGCATCCCAATTTCGTGCTTGCTTCCTTTGCGGAGTCCCGTGGGAGAGTCGTACACACACATGAGGTAGTTGTTGGGATGGACCCCGGGTGATGCAGCATCCGTGTCCCCTACACCAGACAGTGGGTCGACATGTGGGAAGATAAGGACTTGAACAAACCACCAGTTACACATCATTCATGCAGTGTGGAATTAATTTTTGCTTACATTGTTATAAAATCTGTTAATGAGAATCATCAAAACTCCAAAAAGGAAATTTCAAGTAAGTTTGCTTTCAATTTCATAATTTTAAGTTTCAATGTTTTCAAACAGAAATCTGCTTCTTCATGGCATACGTTACTTTTTGTGTGTGAACCAATTATCTTTGATAGAAGTAAAACTAAAAGTAAATTGGAGGAGCTCAATATTTAAAAACAGTAATTGGCATAACTTTGTTTGGGGGTAGTTAGTTTAGTGGAATTTACAAAAAAAATTAAAAGAGCAGGATGTTTAATATTGATACATGTGAAGCGGTACAGCAAGGTCACGATACGATACGTATAGCGATAGGTATGTCACGATATGATTCTTATCACGATACACATATTTTTCAAATATCATGTAAACCTGTTGACAATAGATATTTCAGAGCAGGTTCAAAAGGAAAAGCTAGCTGCAGACACATGTTCGTAATAGCTGTTTAGAGTAGTAAACTTGAAATGCTAATTACAACACATTTTCCTATATCTGACTGATAAAATAATGCCAGGGATCATCAAATGAATAGTAAGTAACTCATTTCAGCAAGTGTATGTCTTGTATCGATACAGAGAAAAACGTATTGTGTATTGTATTGTCATGAAAACTCACGATGCACCGGTGCACCGATGTATCGTTCCACCCCTAGTAACATGTACACATACCGGTACTTGAAACTGATAGACAGGGTTGTAAACTCTTTTCTGACCACCCCATCCGATTAGTCACCTTTACGACAAGCAGGGGTTACTGAAGACCAATTCTAACCCAGATCTTCACGAAACAACGAAGGATATCTTCCCCAATGAGTGTTGACTTGGTGTAGAGGGCTGACAGTTTACGGCCAAAAGGCCCTGCCTTGTTGCTGCCAGCAGCCTTCAGGGCCGCGGTCTCGGTCTGCTTCACAACACCAACCTGGAGAAAGGAAATATTGATGAGTTATTTCCCTTGATACAGTTTGTATTCTCAAAACTGAAATGACACAGGGCCCTATTCCACTAAGCAGTCTCAGCGCTACTACTTGTGAAACTCCCATAATTCATCATATCTCCAATGAGGTACTATATCATCTTATTTATTTACTTATATGATTCTTGAGAGACTCAGAAATGAGATATATCAGTTGAGTACTGTTACAATGTATTTATATTTGTGCAGACATACACAAACAAGCAATGAGAACATTGTATATTGTACATTGTATATTGCATGTACATCCAGCGTCATTATTGAGGGGTCACGCAGATAATAAGAGATAAAAATATTCATAAACGTTGCGGTTTCTACTCCCAAGACTGCACTACAGTTGCGTCTGGAATTAACTACTTTATACTTGCATTGACTGTTACTTGTCATGAATTGCATGAATGTGCATGGGCTAAGCCACTGGTTGCATTCAGGCATGTGTTTTGGGTAGCTTTTTCCATCACCTACTTTTCATTGTTTCTAATAGTTGTTGTCCATTTTTCCAGTTTCAAAAAGCATCTAGTCATTGTGACCTAGGCTTAGACAACATGTTGTTCACATTGTCAACATACTCAGACCTATTGACGTTGCTGGCATATGTTTATGTTTGACACCCTACACACCCTTCAAGAATGACGTGGAGAATATGTTGTACATTGTATATACCTTGTATCCAGCAGACACTAGCCTGCGGACATGCACAAACAAGCGATGAGTGGGAATACTGGCTGTCATGAAGTTGTGATCAGGGTGGGCAAATATCTTCAACACCTTTGCTGCAATCTACAAAGTAAACACAAAGACCAACAACCTGATAAACATGGTAAATACTGGAAGAGTGGTAAAACCTCTTTACCATGCCACAACATGTGGAACAACAGCAACCTTTCTACCTTGGAATAACACAGAAACGGTGACTTAACACTTACAGTATTCGACGTAATACGATATTTGCTAATATATTGGCAAGTGAACAATCCCAATTAGCACCCCTTCCGACTGATCAATGTACACAAGACTTATTTATTCGTGTATAATACACACTCATGTGTCATATGCACCATTAATTATGGGCAATTAAATTCTGGAAAAATATATCTGTCGTATATAAACATTTCAGGCTGTCATCATAAACCACGAAATTTATCTTTTATCTTTTTTTCCACCAAAATAATATTTTAATAAGAGCCCCCTATTTCTAATTCTGAGTGTGCCCTGGGCGCTTATTACGTCGACCATGGTAACCAGAACCATGCCAGTCTGTGTCTGTACTCAACCACCACTTGGAACTTTAAGTAAACCTTCATCCATCGTAGCAGGATCATAGCATTTCAGAGTGACATTATAAATCAAGAGTGAATGTTTCACAACTGTAAGAGTTCATGTAGAGAAAGACCACTAAAGAAAACAGTGATATGTTTTGAATCTTACAATGTCGATAAATCTTGCAATGTAAGATACAGGTGTAATCAGGTGTATGATGCCAGGAAATTTTAACATTTGAAACCTCTGGATATCACTGTTGGTTCCAAATGCGATGTTGAATACTCAGTGAAACTCACATTTATCTCCTATTAACCAAGTTGCTTCTTAATTGTTGGTACCCTCACAAATGTCCCCTTTTCCTTCACCCTTTGTCTTACTGAAGCAGTTAGGCTGCTCATGGAATAAAATACAATGCCTCAACTAGGCTGTGAGCTTAGTGTGTTGTGAATGTAGACATTTCTTACTTCCATTCGATACATGTAAATTTCATTTAAATCCAAACACGATAGCGTGAGGTTTCAAATTTGCATTTGAAACCTCCACATTGAAAAAACACACGAGGACAGATCTCCATTCTACCAATGACAAAACAAACATGAACCCTTTGGTCATGGCCTAACTGATTAGTGATGTGGTGTCACTTGAGTCTAATACTTTCAGTAAGTTGAAAGGCCAAATTCAGGGATCAGTGAAGATTGGTTTTCATCTGCATAATCTCTGCTTTAAACCATAATTTTCACTTCAACCACTTCCCATCAGTAGAGATTTATCACATCATAATACTGGCATGAAGGCTGAAATACCCTGAAAGCATTACTCAAACTAACATCCCTAGAGAAAAAGCAGCTACCTTTGTAAAGTTTTGTTTGAAATTACACATAATTTTTATGATGTTATAAAGTTCTACAGATGGGAAGTCAAAGTGTTGTGAAGTAGAAATGACATCACAGTAAGTGATAGAGTAGCATTAAAAGAGAAGCTGTGTTGATGCTACTGAAGTTTAGAATACACTTTTGGTTTGTTCAGTTTTCCACATGAAATATATTGCGACACTTGCTGCAAATAATGTAGAAACAGCAACACTTTATTTGGCCAGGTAAATGAACATGATGAAGGAAGATCAATATTTGAAATATTTGAGGACCTACCTCTGCATCATCTCCGAAGAACCTGTACTTGTAACCACACTCCACAAAGAGGACGGAATCAGGATACCGTTCCTTGATCTCCATAAACTGCTGCTCAAGGGGAGTATATTTAGTCTTAGTTGTCTTGTTCACAATAGCAGCTACCTTTGGTTTCCAAGTGTTTTTTCCTGAAGCAAATCTACCCGAAAGGTTGGACTGCCTGCTGACACCCTGAATCTCCATGACTTCATCGTCGCTACTGTCCAAACACACGGGATTCTCACAGCTGGACGTACTTGGTGGTGGGCTGTCTGACCGAGTCTTATTGTTCTCATAACTTTTTTGTTTTATATCTGTGTATGAAGTCGATGGCTCACAGTCAGCTGAGAACTCAGACAGTCTCTTCAGTGTATTTTCTGTAAGTTTTCCTAATGGAGTCTTTGGGCTAGCTGCAGTGGTTGATGGGATTGGTTCCTGACAGCTGTTAATGCCATTGCTTGGAGGACTTAGACAAGTCTTTTTGGGTGGTTTGGGGTTGTTACTTTCCTTAGGAGATTGTTTTCTTTTGGATGATGATGATGATGATTTACCATTCTGAAAGTGAAGTTCATCTGAGGCTTAAATAGTTCATTCACAGTTTCAGGCTATGCACACATTATGCTCTATATTTTCTAGTAGATTTACTTTTAACATAAGCAAATCTGAAATTTGCATGTGCATATGTAAACTAGAAACGTGTTTTCTTTGGTGGTAGTTTCCTCTGTGTGTGTATGTGTATGAATGTTGTTTTACGTGAGTAATTACTTAACATGCCCTATCAAGTAAAAGCTCTTATTTTATAACTTATCAGTGGTAAGATTTTTTGACCACTTATACCATGTATACATTGCAGTGTGGACCAAACATTTTGTTAACCAACTCGTAAAACCAGCGCCTGAAAAAGACAAGTCAATTTGGTCATAACAGCCCATATGTCTGGTGAAAAATGACCACCTTAGTCGAAATGAACCAGTGAAATATCTGATCGAAACAAATGAGCATACTGACTGGATTGCATATCTGAACAATTAATTGTTCCGAAACATCTAAAAAATACCTGAAGCATCTACCAAGTAGCATGTGCCGCTTCTGAAATGGTCGATCAATTTGGGATTTGTTTAGTTGACTTGCAATATTCTGTCTTGTTTTATTGCCTACTAAAATTTTCAAGAATAAATAACTCACATAACTTTTAGAGAAGATTCTACTGGTCTGAGTGTCATGATTAATCAGGCAAGGCATAACACCAGGCAGGGAAAGTGTGTGTGTGTGTGCATGTCTGAATGAATGTATAGCTTGTCCAAATTTGTGAACAAGGCAGCCAAATAAAGTATGAATGCTACAAAACAAGGATGAACCAGCTAGGAATTTTAGGTTTGGTTTAGCCATTTTCGTTGGCATGGATCGTCAAGTATCTGGCTGACAGACAGACTCCATTAGGCCTAACAGTGTTGAAGGGGTCGTTTTCGGCACAGGTAATACAGAAATGTACCCGTCAATTCCGTCGCAAGGCCTCAGGCATAATGCGTGTAGTTATTCGTCACGTCTTATATGCCAAACTGTGGTTAATTTCAATATGGCAGTACTGTCATACTGTTGTATGAGATGCATTCCAGCGCATCACATAGGAAACGATCATACACTGTGATGTTTGTACATTAATCTAATATTCCAGCAATATTCCATGATGCGAACTTGCACTTATAATCAGGTGAACCGAAACTATACAACATGAACCGGTTTAAATTCAGTTTTCGGTTGAGGAATATCGACTTGTTCGCAGTTTAGGGTACCAGGTACATTTCTGTATTTTGAATTTGGCTAGGGTACGTTTCTGTATTCAGAAACGTACCTGGGGTACACATTTGTAGTACCTGTACCAACAACGGACCCCTTCGGCCCTAATAGTGATGGACAGATAGTCACCGCATACCTTAGATTAACATTTGGTCCCAGATATAAAGATTTTTCATTTAAAAATAAATAGGGCCTATCCACAAAAATAAAGAAGTAAAATTCAAATGAAGCCCAAAGCAATGATTAAGACTTGCCAAATCATTAGATCTAGAAATTAGAATGACTTGGATAAGAACTGCAACGTCTTCAATTTGTTCTCTAGGGTCTGAAGACGGACAACACCAACCTTTCCATTTCGTTTTGACAGGGTCTCTTCGTCAGTGGCAAAACTGTTTCCTGACGATTTGGGATTCTTTGCAGCAAAGAACTTTGAGAGCGTAACTTGTTTAGACATTTTTCAAAAAGTGTTTGTCAGCAATCTAGCTTCGGTTCAGGTCGACTTACAACGACTCACGACTCTGTCATTTAATTTCATTAAACACAAATCAAGATTTGATACATTTCTCTTTAACCAAACACACTTACTACAAGTCAAGTGTTTGACCAAGTGAGAAAGCAAGACAAACACATTAGTAAACTGAATCAATTGCAACTTTTACCGCCATGACAGGTAAGGGACGTAATTCTTATGTCGTCGATAAAGCCCTATACTCAATCTTTGCAGCCGGAAACATGAGATCGAACCAGCTTGTTGAAAGTTGAGATACTGTTTTCAAACTGACTAACTCCTGATGTTTAACTTCCATTATGATTACGTAATAAATAGAGAATATTAGCCGAGTAAACATCATGTATAAGAGAATACATTTTTTATTCCTATACGATATTTACGATACAGAAACACACAAGGGTAATAATTTCTTCATCACATGATGCCATTCTTATAATATTCGATGTCATCATCATCATCATCATCATCATCATCATCATCGTCATCGCATGGTCATCAAACCAACTTCTATATGTCACTTAAAGATGTTTATGGGATTGGTTTATTGTATACTTAACACTAGCCAAGCTATGATATATGATGAAACGATTTAGCGCCTCTCTCTCTCTCTCTCTCTCTCTCTCTCTCTCTCTCTCTCTCTCTCTCTCCCCCCTCCCTCTCTCCCCACATACACACACATCGCCTTACACATGTTGAGATGTCGGTGCGTTGTACAAGCACTCGTCTTGATAGCCTAACTGATATTTTACAACTTTGGAAGGAATCATTGCAGCTAAGTTTATTAACTTTTGGGGGAATATTAACACGACGTATAATGAGTTTCATTTCATAACAGGATACACATGATTAGCTGAGCGTTTAAACGTCTGCATATAGTATTGTTTGTACACATCCAGGTTGCGAGCTTAATCCATTTACGTAACTTTCTGACAGAAATAAGTCAATCAGTGCCGATTTGCAAACACATAAATATTACATCATTGATGCCAATTGCAAGTATCGACAGAATATATTTAATTTCTATTACTCCAACAGTCAAAACAAGACACCAGCCCCCATGATAAACATTATTTGTCCTTGAATCTGGTTATACTACACACTATCAATACTACTTCCTCTAATTCTTCTCCATGTGCTGTTAAGCAAATGATCATGTAAACATTTCAATACATATTGATAAATATACAACGACTGTTTTGTTTTTCAAATCAAGGTTATACAACAGCTAGATAAGAGGTACATGGGGTATAACCGTCTCAGTGATCAAGAACACTGCACTCCTGATCCTAATGAGGAAACCTTTCACTGTTTTTATTGGGACATAATGATTGAGTTTGTAGTCGTCCTTTTTCTGTGTGGCCTCTTTGACTTTTTTGCTGTGGCCGTTATGACCTTTTATCATGGCCGTTTTTCCGCCAAGACGATCTGATCGATAATCAAGATCTATACTGCAATAAAACGGGTCTTTGACAGACAGGCTACCACGTGGCAACGAGCACGGTAGGAATTGTTTGACAACATGCAAATATCAAGATAATAGTGTCTTGAAACTGGCAAAGGTAATGCTGTGGCCGTTATGACTGTTTTCATGGCCGTTTTGCCTTTAGGTTGTGGCCGACTTTTTTCTGTGGCCGTTTTGACTTTACCATTTGTGGCCGTTCTGAAATGAGGCCGTTTTAACCTGCTCCTACACCCATGAGCGCAACATCGGACATTGAGTTTGACCAGAGCGGTAAAGAAGAGAACCAGATGTCTAATCAGGTCAGCAGAAGGCATGACCTGCAGGAAGAGCTGGAATCCCTTCACTTTCTCAAGCGTGTTTGTGACACTCAAGTATACTTAGACCTGGAGGATGGTTCCTCTTATTTTCTTGCGCAGCAGCCTTCTCTATTTTCAATATTTACCAGCAAATTATAATGTTTATGTCGTTTCCTGTCAACGTTAGAATTGATAACGTTCTTAACAGAACCCTGTCTTTCCCAACAGTCACATATGTAGTTGCAGTTTCATTAAGCGCTCGCATATTGCACATTATTCCAATGTTGCACCGATACATAGATTTTGACGAGAATGTGTCTGATGTTGACCTAACCAAAGTTGAGCAAAGCCCTGTGTATTCTCTGAGAGGGATCATGTGCATGTGCATTCCAGCAAACCATGCTGGATAAATTGAAATAAATTATCATTGAGCAGGATGATTTACGACCCGTGAAGATCAGGGGTAGAATAGGTCTTCAGCAACGCATGCTTGCCGTAAAAGGCGACTATGCTTGTCGTAAGAGGCGATTAACGGGATCGGGTGGTCGGGCTCGCTGACCTGGTTGATGCATGTCATCGTATCCATATTGCCTGGATCGATGCTCATGATGTTAATCACGGATTGTCTGGTTCAGACTCGATTACTTACAGATCGCTGTCTTGTAGCTGGAATATTGGTGAGTGCGGCGTTAAACAACAAACAAAAAAGCAAACAAAGCAAACCGAGCCTGGTGCACTGTATGACCAGGAAGATCACCAAAACATGCGACTAACAGGGATAAAATAGATGGAACAGTAATGTTCACCCACGCAGTGAAAACGGTTGTGGTGCTTGTTACATCCGAACTTACGTTCCCACATGATTGTAGTCGCATATATGTGTTCAACATTAGTTTTCGTTTTGGCACGTGGTCCCGTTATCAGGTAAAGCTGAGTAACGTTGAATGGATGACCGGCAGCTTGACTGCTGAGCGTTCCCCAAGAAGACCCGGGTTAGAAATGGTCTTCAGCATCCCATGCTTGTCGCAACAGACGAATAACGGATTCAGGTGGTCAGCCTCTGACTTGATTGCGTAGGTTGATGCGTTGGATATGCCATTCACTGGATTGACTCGATTATTTACAGACCTCCGTCACATAGAAGGAATATTTCCGAGTGCGACATTAAACAAACAAACAAAAACAAAAAAAAGCTCAAGTTAATCTTTGAGATGGGTACTATTAACATCTATGAGGGTCTCTGCCATATGAGGTAAAATATTTCTTTCTTTTACAACCAATGTTTCTCTGTTTGCCCGAAATCCTGGAAGTGATCATTGACTGCGCCTTGTGATGAACACACCTACTGTTTAGAGACAATATCATTTGAAAAGTGACGTCATGGGTAGGATGTGCAATGTAACATACCTCGTTAAATTATATTTTTGGGGAAACAGCAGTCAATGTTTATTCCAAGTACTAAGTGTCAGATCAACTCAATATGATACAATCCCTGTGAAGATGCGTGTTGCAATTGGTCTTCAGTGTCCCATGCTTGTCGTAAGAGGCGATAGGTTGTCAGGCTCGCTGACTTGGTTGATGCATATCATCGTATCATAGTTGCGTTGATCACTGGATTGTCTGGTCCAGACTCGATTTTTTAGACGCCTTCATATTGCTGGAATAATGCTGAGTAGTACAAACTGATACTACGTGTTGTATGGATTATCATGCAAGAGGTTCTTTATGTATGTATGTTATCATGGCAACACATTAGTGCATAACGATTACATCTATCAATGATCTTACCGCAATGTTGTTGTAGATTTCCGCCCACACTCCTGAGGTGCCACTCTTGTGGCTGAGATTAGAATAGCTTTAGCTTCTAGTCTTCAGCACTTTATGGGTATCGGTAAAAAGGTGTGTTGAGGTCAACCTGGTCGTGTATTAACTGAACACTCTCCCGTGTATATCAAATATGTTAGCTAATCACCATAACAAAACATCTGTATTTCTGCTATGAAAAGAAACAAACTTTAATTGATAATATGTTTTGATAATTCTTTCAACTCATTTCTCAACATGAAAACTAATAATGCGTATCTGTAATACAAGCATAATGTTATTTCCAAAATATATCCAGATATATATATCTCAGCCCTCAGCCTAAATTGGATCTACAACGGAGCTGTTGTATCTCAGCTCTACTACCTCCGACCACATGGAGAAACAGCTGGGATATGAGATTCTGGACCTGTTCTGTGACATTGGCGGTGCTCTTGGGCTGTTGCTTGGTGCCAGTATACTGACAGTGTTGGAAGTGTTTGATTTCATGCGTGTTACTGCATTATCGTCTGTGACTGAAAGTGCCAAGACTGTCATAGGAAATTGTTATAATTAAAAGAAATCTAACTTTTAATTTGCAAATATGTATTCTCAAATATGTACTCAAAGGCAAATGTTACCTTGACGCATTCAAAATAGACGTAAACTATGTACAAATTATTTCATTCAAAGGGGAATGGTTGCCGATATACGGGGATGGGCGTGATGAAGTTCCTAATGCGTTGATATGGAATTCCGAAGGCGTCCTACACCTACATGTATACCAATTTCCATGTCATCTCCCACTGATTAATTGCTTTATGGGATTTTACGTTAGGCTGTCCTGTTGGACAAAGCAACACATCCACATGTTGTTTTGCAGATACTGCTGTAACACTCTGTCCATTCGGGTTCTGGTATTGATTTAGAGATTTCTTAGAGACTATATTTTCAGGATATACATGTCAAAAGAACAAATATTTTGGTTTGAAAACCCTGAAACGAATTTCGTTTTCCACAACATTTTCTTGAGCAAATTGCCATGACGACCCCGTAAATGTTATTAAACTCAACGCTCTTTGAGTTTAATGCAACCCAATTATGAACCTATGTCATTTGTAGCGTTTTTCCGTCAAATGTAGTGTTGCATTCAATGACTTTGTAAATTATCAATTCATTTAATAATGATTACATTGTGCAGGCACTAACATCATGTTGCGTGAATTAAAAACAAAATTCACACGTACATAAGTAGCTTCTCCTCGAACAAACTGAAACGAGATAAATACTCCCATATTTAAAGATGTTCCTACACGAATATCAACACGGTCTCTACGGTTGCCATGACGGAAAACAAGTACAATTTGATATACTTGTAAATAGGTAGACTGTAGTGGGGTTTAACATAAACGTTCCTTTTTGGAACTTTGATATTACTTTTTGCAATGCATATGCAAACATGTCTAAAAGAATTGTGGACCCATAAGTCTGTTGTGCCTTCCTTTCCGTGCTATGTTATGGCCATTATTTAACCTTTGTCAATTTGTCACATATATTGCTGAAATACAAACAGGAAAAACTTCAGTAATAGTGTCAGTGGTTTTATTAAAAGTGTTTGATGTTATCAATAGAAAGTGGTGGTTGGTGTTGTTTGAAGTTTAACTCTAGTATAAAAAGTGTTGCACAGTTATGTTTTTTCATCAAAATTCTGCCTTTTATTCCCTATGAAATCAGTTTCGGCAGGTATTCCAGATTGATTATTTTATGGCGTTGACGTTGAGAAAAGTATTGTTAAATCTTTCATTACGTTGATCCAATTTTTTGGTCAGGGCCAAACATTTGATACTCTGGGAGTGGGGCCCTAATAGTGTTTGACCCCTCCTTTCAGGGAACAAAATTGCTTTTTATGAAACAGCTGCAAAGGAATCCAGCCTTATCAAAAACCGTATGGCTTGGCCTTCTGCAATTACAAAACATTGTTACTTTGGCGTTAGTATTGAATGCATGACTGTATTACATTGTGTGACGTATTAGCTTTAGTATAGGACTACACAGCTAGTATTTTGAAACAGCCCAACCATCGTATGTTCCCTAAATCAACTAACTTACCTTGGGAAAATGTTGTGTGTATTACCCATCTGATGATTGGACTAAAAACTAGAAAGTTTCTTGCTTCTTTTTAACTTTGCAAAAAACGTTGTATGCACATTTGGCCCGTTGCCGCCTCCTGTCTGTTGTGCCTATAGATACATGGTGTTGGGTTAAAATATATATATGATATATAGAACAATCTCCAGTGATGTCTTTGTTCTCCGACGGGGATATCTTGTATTGGTAGTGCTGACATAAAAATGTTATGGGTGTATTAACCGTTCTTAAACTATTTCCCGTTCCATGGATTCAAACACTTAGATTTCGCTAATTGTACGATCACTTCGGCCTTATGAACAGTGGGAATGTTTCCGAAGTCATATTTAGATCGTTATTCTCACTGGTACTGTGTAATTAAAATGTTGTCTATATTGTTTCTTTGTGTTATTATAAACTACCACGTGAGGCAATAGCTGTATGATTCATACACTTTACATTTTTACAATTGAAAAGCGACATAAAATTTGAAATTTGACATAAAAGCGACAAAATCCCTTCCATATTCGCAAGGCATGTCTGCTTAAAGCAGAATCGATTGTACGATTCCGACTATATCATGAACTCGTTGCACCTGCGAAATTGACTTGGAGCTGGTCCGCTGGTCTTATATATAAAGGACGAACAATTCAACTCTAAGCCAGTTTGGGATAATTGTCCCTTTGATGCCTGTTTTAAATCTCATAAAAACCTCTGACGTATTTAATCCTTTACAAGAACGTTTGGCTATGATATTGATGTGACCATCTTACTTTAGAACAACGTCAGAAGAAATGGAGCAACTAACTTGACTAAACTAACAAAATTAAACTTACTCACGACATTGACCTTCCATAAATATGCCATTGAGCTTTGACAGGTCTTGTCAGATCCTTGCTTATATCAAATTTCATGTCTGTACAAGTAATGGTGCCTTAGAATTTTACAGTGATTTGAGGTGAGGTGAGGTGAGGTGAAATGGGGTTTAACGTCGCGTCCAAGATTATTGCACTTATATAGCGACGTGCATGTACGTGTGTGTGTGTGTGTGTGTGTGTGTGTGTGTGTGTCTGCTTGTACTAGTCCGGACTGATGCCGATTTATAGTGCTAGCCCACTGAAATACCATGCCGCAGTTTAACATGAATACCCCACTCAGACACAGTATACTGACTCCGAGCCGACCAGTCCTTGTTTTAGCCCCTTAATGCCGAGCGCCAGACAAGGTGACCACGGTGGCGATCACAGTGATTTGACATTCTGCCACAAAACCTGAACAGGGACCATGATCATTGAATCTTCATGACCGAAACTGAAACCTTAATTTGTTATATGGCATTAGCGATTGTTTTGGGTTTATTTGCAGGGATTGTCAGTGGCAGCAAATGACCGAGGCTCACGTAAAACATCGAGTGCTGTAGTGGCCGACCTGCAGCGGATGTTTGATTGAAAGATACATCCTTTGAGCTTTGTTAACAAACGTGACAGACTTCATCGTCGACAGGTTCCATGGTGTGACAGTGACTAGAAGGTCCGCTTTACCTTAAAAGTGAGTGAGTGATTTGGGTTTACCGCCGCTTTTAACAGTATTCCAGTTATATCGCGGCGTATCATCTTAAAGTAGGAGGAAAGCCCGAAGTGATGCAGGTTTCAGACGTTTACCACTTCGGTGATACCCACGACTACGGGTATGGTGCTGACAAACCTAAAAAACAAAATCGGGGCGAACAGGGATTCGAACCCACAATCATAGGTTTCTGGCGTGCCCAAGGGACGCAACTCTGCACAGTGAACCGCGGCGCCTTAGACGATTGGGCCACCCGTGCCCCCTTACATTAAAAAAGCGACAAGATGTAGGTTCGAGGCATTTTTCCACCTAACTTATCTATATGGAAACACCCAATTCTTGCCAGGTTCCAACACTATCCCGGAGCACGCGAACACGTGCCTCTTCAAGATATTCGACAGTGACAACTTCTGGACACTCGACAGTGCACTGACTTATGTTATGAGGCCTGCTACTTATTGCTGCTGCATATTCATTGATCTTGTTTGGTTTACTGATTTCACAATTTATTTCTATTCTAACCTTTTAAGGTTAACCTCTGCTTTTCAATTGGAACTCACTTCGTAAAATAATTATGTACAAAATTAATAAATAGAGGTTATCACGCAGGTGTGGTTGGGGATGGTAAATATCCTGCATTAGGATTAAACATTGTATTTAGCGAGCCTTGGCTCCAACGGCTCCAACGGATATCGTTTTTATCCGTTGGCTTTATCCTGCCGAGAAACCTGCCCATTATATGATTAATGAAAGTATTTAATACTGTTTACTGGATGCTGAAAGAAAAACAATATTAGGTGTTGAAAGGACATTTGGCACCACCTTGCAGAAAAAAGAGATGTGTCTTCACAAAACAACAATCTATTTTCTTTCAGGACGTCCAGTATGCCGAGTAAGCCATTTTGTTGCAAACCTGAGGGAAACTTATTTGTTCCGGGATTTTCTGTAACAGATGCTTTTGCACAATAGTTCCACGCTCCTGGCCCTGAATATCAAAAAGATTGCTCGCTTAAAAGATGTTACATGTACAATCGTCCTTTAGTGAGTGAGAGAGTGAGTATGGTTTTACGTCGCTTTTAGCAATATTCCAGCAAAATCACGGCGGGGGACACCAGAAATGGGCTCCACACATTGTACCCATGTCGGGAATCGAACCCGGGTCTTCGGCGTGACGAGCGAACGCTTTAATCACTAGGCTACCCGACCGCCCCTCAATCGTCCTTCAAGTAACAGTTTACTGATCCTTCTCGGGAACACGCGTTGGGGGTGAGACAACTGCACGTCGTCTGTAGTGACTCAGCCCGAGGACATACGGTAACGCCCTATCCATTGGGAACCCTGATTAGAATATGCCCCTCGGCACTGGTTCTGACAAATCAAGGATGCATGTGTTGTTGTGTCGAACTGGGACGGCTTATATATTTAGTTGGCACTACATCTGGGAAATTTGTGAAACATCCTGGGGATCAGAAGCACAGTTTACAACAAAGAGTGAGTGAGTTTCATTTTACGCCGCTTGTAGCAATATTCCAGCAATATCACGGCGGGGGACACCAGAAATGGGCTCCACACATTGTACCCATGTCGGGAATCGAACCCGGGTCTTCGGCGTGACGAGCGAACGCTTTAACCACTAGGCTACCCGACCGCCCCTAACAACAAAGAAAACTCCATCACTAACCAACATGGTGGCAGTTAACCACCTCAACCTAACCACCGGAACTTGAAGTTCCTTGTGTTGGAAAACAGCACCATCAGTTCACGTTCTGCATGTGTTGATTATACCCAAAGAAATTTGATTTGCCATCTGGTCAAACACATTTTCTGTTAAGGAAATCAGAGTTGAATTTACACGTGTAATCAATTTTCCAATTAAAAAGGATTGGTGTAACATGCAAAGCCTGAATAAAAGAAGTATTTGAAAATATTTTTTCCATAAAACAACCCCATTTCTAGATTATTAAATGGTCAGTCCCAGCGGAAGCAGCCACTTTATTTATATAAGTGGGAGTACTTCCTGAATTCTTTTTCCATCATCAGCAAAGATATGAATGTTTGACCACCCACCCGTAACCCACTTATTGGACAATTCATATATTTGAAGCAATACTATGCCATAGTACTTTGCTTTGTGTGTGAAACCCGAACCCACTACACGAAGAAATGTATTTTTCCTAATGGACTGCTATTATTGCTAATTGGTTAAAATAATGGTAATGTGAGTAAACCGTCAGCCCATTTGCTATGTCCACATGGAACCTCTGTGTATTGAAAACCCGCTACAAAACAAGTCGTATAAATTGACAGGTTTATGTATCAAAGGGTTGCCCACAATCAGCAGAGATTCATTTCACAGATGTAACTACATTTCCTATTACTTAAATAATACGCCAGTGAATACACAAACGCCAGAGAATAACAAGACTCCATTATCCACAGAAATAGATCATTCCATTAAGCACAAAAGTTAAAACAGAGGTACAGATTGTATGAATGGATCATTAAGTAAATGTTGCATAGATATAGTGCCAATTTATTTTCTAGTGCTCACATAGGCATGCAAGGACACAGAGCAAAATGTTCTTATGCTTCTAGTGTGCTGATATGACACTAAAGGATCAACTACCTTGACGAACACATCTACTCTCTGACAATGAGACGCAAGAAAGCATTACACGAGATGGTGACTGTGCAGGGACTCACCCAAGTATGTGACACAAGTTCCAATATTCTAAGACGTGGAGTCTGGCTCCTCATCTTTTGTGGCGCACTTGCCTTCACGACGTTCAACATCTACAAGCAAATATCGTTATATCTGTCTGCACCTGTCAACGTGAGAGTGGATCAGATCTTTGACAACATCCTTTTGTTTCCAACCATAACAATCTGTAATAACAACTACGCTAAGGGTTCACTGCTTGATATTTTTGGACTGGACCATGTAATTCCAGCGGTGTTTCCTTATACTGACTTTGATGAACAATTACCAAATGTTAACCTAAGTCAGCTGGACTTGTCTGCCATATATGTTGACGGACAACTATCATTCAACTTGGGACACACCATTGAAGAAGCTATTGTTAAGGTAGGTAGTACAGTACACTTGTGTAACAAAAAGGAATAACATGATAATTTCAAAGGTGGTCACATATGGCAATTTGGTGTGTACCTTTATTCATGCATACATTTCGTGCTTAAGATGTATATTTGGCGCCATGTCCACAAGTTGAGCTGCATCCTACAAAACCCTTACGACTGATATATTAATTCAAGACAAGACAAGACAATTTATTCAGTACAGAGGCCAGTGGCATATTAGTTGACGGACAACAAGCATTAAACTTTGGACACGTCATTGAAGGAGCTATTGTTAAGGTAGGTAGTACGCTACGCCTGTGCAATGGGAAGGGTTGTGGTTCTGTGTGTCAATGTATATAATTAGTGCCTAAGATATACGTCCAAAGGGCTTGCTGCATCCTGAACCACACTATCTGTCTCTCGATTGTTCTAATATAGTCTCTTACATCTTGAAAACTACTATGGCTGGATATTCGAGATCAATAAATATAGCTACAGTAAACTACGGTTATAACGAACTCAAAGGGACTACTAATTTTAGTTCGCTATAACCGTAATTCGTTATAAGCATATACACAGCATAACTACAGCATATAGTCGGGACCAAAAAGTTAGTTCGTTATATCCGTTAGTTCGTTATAAGCGTGTTCGTTATAACCGTAGTTTACTGTACATTGTACAATTCGATGATGAATGCAAATATTGTCCTTTGTAGAATCTATTTATCATAATGAAGTGTTTTACCATTTCATTAAGAAGACTAGCATTACTATATTCTTATGTAACATAATGTCCAATGTAACATAGGGAGTATACTAAACATTTACTATACTTAAAAGCTAATACAATATACACTATAGTAAATACACTTTATTTCAAATAATATACCTATTTTCAGTATGGTTCTTGGTAAATGTGGAAGAGTCCCTCTCCAGTGAAATAGTGCGTCTTAGTCAAAATGGTTACCGTACAAGTGTTATCAGATATAATACCCATATAAAAATATACTTTTCCCGTTCGGTTATGGATTTGCGTGGATAGCCTAAGATGTTGAAAATATAAACAGATTTATATTCATTTTTAAGAACAGAATTTTTGATAGCAAGACTGGATTACCGGCAGGTCCAATTCATCAAAGTATAGGTACAATGTACGGTTTAAGTAGCTGTTTACTTAAAGTCTGATTTGACATCATTTAAATTCAGTAACTTTGGGTTAGCTGTAAAAAACTGGTAGATACACAAATATTGAATATTACACATTTTGTAAAGAAAAATAATCAGTTATCTACTGATGATGAATTTCATTTTACGTTTATTTGTCGTATGTAAAACGTATTAAGAGAAATTTATCTAAGCAATCATCTACCACATGTAAATGATAATGATCAATCTACCTATTATCTTGTAAATCTATTGGTATCTACAAAGAATAAATTATTGTGTACTGTTGGCCTGTATCTTTATTAAGTACATCAGTTAAAGAAAGTTGAACCTGTCATATAACTTGTACAACTGTGTTCTTAATATCCACAAAATGTAAACCACAACAAGCATGCGTCTCTAAATTGTATTAAATGACTGCATTAGTTTGTTTGTGTGTTTGTTGTTTAACGCCGCACGCCGCAATATTCCAGCTGTATGACGGCGATCTGTAAGGAATCGAGTCTGGACCAGACAATCCAGTGATTGACATCATGAGCTTCGATCTACGCAATTGGAATACGATGACATTCATCAACCAAGTCAGCAAGCCTGCCCACCCGATCCCGTTAGTCGCCTCTTACGACAAGCAATCATGGCATTTGGCCTTTATATTGAATAAATTTAAATCTGTCTGTCTGTCTGTCTGTCTGTCTGTCTGTCTAAACATATATACCCACAGTACAAATCCCTTCATAATATGCCAATAAGAAGTCAGAATGCAGGAAACGCAAAAGAGAAAATGTTGTCCTTGGACATCATGTATTATTAACATACCATACCTATGAATCAAACAATGGTGATACATTTAACGGGAAACAGTAAAATATATGTTAACATTTAACACCTCTGTACTCAATGGAACTTTCTTAAATTGATCGGGTGGTCAGGCTCAGTTGTTGATAGCGTGTTGTGGTACCCATAGTAGATCATTGTTCATAATGTCAATCACTGGATTGTCTGATGCAGGCTAGATTTAGAGGCCACAGTCATATGACAGAATACAGCTTTAGCCAACAAACAAACAATTTTGTTAGGAAATATGTTTGTCTGGTGGGTGCTACTGGCAGAACAGGACGTGCCTACCGTCTTGCGAACACCTGGTGTCATCACTGGTTTCAGCAGAGATTACACATGAATAGGGAAAGGCATTTTCGGATGTGTTTTTCAACAGGGACCAATTCATATTGTCTTAATCTCTATGTTGCATTTGACTCCCTGTGGAGTGTGTTTCAGTAGATATTTGAAACTGACCATTCTCTGGCGTTGACATGTTGAATGCATCACATAGAAAACATGCAAACGAACCTGATGCATGTTCTGCTCAGATGTGTTACCACTGCCCAAAACAACCTCATCATTGTCATGACACAAATTTAGGAGCAATGGTACAGGTCTCTTACAGTGAGGTGTATACTGGCGAATGGCAGTGGAAGTTAGATTATCTCCGAACAAGGGGGGCGGTCGGTCGGGTAGCCTAGTGGTTAAAGCGTTCGCTCGTCACGCCGAAGATCCGGGTTCGATTCCCGACATGGGTACAATGTGTGAAGCCCATTTCTGGTGTCCCCCGCCGTGATAATGCTGGAAAATTTCTAAAAGCGGCGTAAAACCAAATTCACTCACTCCGAACAAGGGTGATCTTATCGACATAACGCTTAACACATAACAATTAAAATGGTATTTGCTCCTGTCTCATGTGCAGAAACAACCGGAATCCAAGTCTTTGCTCACAAAACATGTTTCTCGAACAAAGCGATGTTAATCAGTCATGAATAATGTCATGACTGCAACGTGATATTAATTCATTTAAGGAATAGTTTGACGCAACTGCCTTGAACACTCGTGTACTTCATATTGTATTATACACACATATTAGGACACAATCTACAGTAATGGATTATATCGGACGGAGTTTGTACAGGCACTCCGTTTCCTCATTTTGACTGACCTGGAAATACCTATGATAGGGTGCCCTAGGCACTGGAATTAGGCTACATGTCTATTATTTAATTACCCTGAATATTATTCTTTCTATGACAGGGGCATGAGTGGTCCAGCAATTTGTTATACATAGTCCCGGAGATATTCTGAGAGCCAATGATGTTTTGTTCGAATCCTCAATTCGCTCTGATTATGATCCTTGGTATGTCAGCACTATACCTTTTCTTTAGGGTTTCGCCAAGGTGGTGAATGTCTAAGACCTGTGTCACTTAAGCCTTTCAATCAACACTGAGCTTACATGCCATAATATACTATCACAGCAGTATTCACTCAGTCTTACTCTCGTAACTTCATGTCTGCACAATGCCCCTTAGACTAACATTTAGTCTCTGAAATCCTATATTACACAATATCCTTCTTGACTCCCTATGATGATTGCTTTTGTATGCGTCTCTAGATTTTGTTTTTCATAAAATAAATATATTCCACGGCCATGGTGCAGGACTAAATGCCCCTTTGCATCGTAGGATTTTCCGAGGAAGAACTGGCTCCAAGCAGCTCATGTTTGTTGTAATGGCGGACGACACCATTATCGTGTACTCACGATGTACGACGTGGCTGATTGCAATGCAATCTTACCACAACGGCATGGGTCGTTGCCTTAACTCCCTGGCACGCATCTGACTAGCTTTACTGATGCCTTGAATGTAACCCTGATCCCACCACCATTGAGCAACATCCATATGACGTTCTTTATATCTTAGTGGAAAGAGCAAGATCGATTGTAGCTCAAAATTTGTGAACTGTAGACACCAAAGGCTGGAGCTGCTTGGCCATTGCTCGACATAACGGGAACGTTGACAATTGGAAACGTGTAGCTATCCCAAATACAGTCTTGTCGAGAGATTTTTGTCACTCTTAATCTTTATGCATAGATGTAAATATGAAACAGATAAGACCGTTTCACTGGGCCTTTTTTCAGGTAGACAAATCAGTTGAAGGGAAATGACTATTTACCATTATTGAACGATATCATATCGATATACACGATGCTTGTGGGACCGCCTCCGTATTCTTGTGGTAGAGCGTCCGCTCGGAGAGCGGAAGGTCCGGGGTTCGATCCCCGGCCGCGTCATACCACAAGACGTTAAAAGATGGTACTTGTTGTTACCTTGTCTGGCGCTCGGCATTAAGGGTCTAAAACAAGGACTAGTCGGCTCGGAGTCAGTATACTGTGTCTGAGTGGGGTATTCATGTTAAACTGCGGCATGGTATCTCAGTGAGCTAGCACTATAAATCGGCATCAGTCCGGACTAGTACAAGCAGCCACAACACACACACACACACACACGTGCATGCACGTCGTTATATTAGTGCAATGATCTTGGACGCGACGTTAAAGCCAATTTCACCTCACCTCACGAAGCTTGTGAATGTCATGTCAACATGATACATGTTTGATGAAACTATATGTCAACCATATTTAAACATAATTACTTTCAGTGTGACTGGGAGTCAGCGCCTTGTGGACAAGACGACTTTATCTACAAAGAAACTGATCTGGGCAAATGTTTTACATATAACGGTAAGGATAATGTTTTTACTGAAATCATGCTTCAGTCATAACTTTTAAGTCACATTAGCGTCTTGAGACTATATGTAATGACCATAGCCTTCTTCACTGTAAACAATGTTATTTATTTCTGAGTGTGTGTGTGTGTGTGAGTATGGTTTAATGCAACTTTTAGCAATTTTCCAGTACTATCATAGGGGTGGACACCAGAAATGTGGGGAGGTTTTGGTTGCTTGTTGTTAAACGCCGCACTCGGTCTGTAAATAATCGAGTCTGGATCAGACAATTCAGTGAGTGTCGATCCACGAAACTGGGATACGATTACATGAATCAACCAAATCAGCGACCCTGACGACCAGATCTCGTTAGTAGTCCCATTTTAAGTCGGATTTTATGTCGGCGTAATGAACACAACCATTGGGCTTCCCAGCGGACCCAATTTTGAAAAACCCACACTGATTGCCATTTCCTGACCAACGGCTTTTAAAATGAAATGAAATTTGGTATACTATGAACAGATGTGAAGTAATTGTTATCGTCTTATATCATATTGTTGAAATGATAACAATGTCATAAATTATTAAACCTCAAATTTATTACTTGCCTTTTCATGATCACACATGTATCGCCCGGTGAGCTACACTGCCGTACACATTATAGTTTATTCAAAATTGACGTTTTTTGGTATGGCACTGTATTTCTTGAAAACATTCCTGATGTCTGTGAGAGCCTAAAACCGGGATGCCTTCAAGTAACTGGAGAGGGCACGGATGGCCCAGTCGTCTCAGGAGCCGCGATTCGCTGTGCAGAGTTGCGTTCCTTGGGCACGCCAGTAACATATGATTGTGGGCTCGAATCCCGGTTCGCCCCGATTATGATGCTAGGGTTTGTCAGCACCATACCCGTGCTCGTGGGTTTCACCGAAGTACATGTAGTAAACGTCTGAGACCTGCATCACTTCGGGCTTTCCTCTCGCATTAAGCTGACACGCCTTGATATGACTGGAATACTGTTAAAAGCGGCGTTAAACCCAACTCACTCACTCAAGTGACTGGATCTTTTTTTCTTATAAACTAGACAAGTGATGATCCGGGTTAGAATAGGTCTTAAACGTTAAACAACAAACAAACAAACATATCTGACACACATGCTTTCTGTTGCAGTCAATGGTTCTCTGCGGTCTCGGAACTCCGGGCGTGCCCATGGGCTGCGCCTCTTGCTGAATGTCCAGGAAGAGGAATACACTCGGAGTATTAACGGGTATCTTGGAACAGGTTTCATGGTGACTATCGATGAAAAGAGCTGTTGATCAATTGAGTAATAGTTACGGAAATGATCGTCCTTAAAGGACTGTCTGATTAACCTTATGATCTCTTCTGGAATTGGGTACCGTGTTATGAAACATAGCCCTCCCTCCCTTTAAACAGTGACTAACATCTCTGGTTTGTTTTGTTCATCGTTACTACCCAAGCCAGGAAGTTGTCAAAATCGACTTCCTTCCAAATGGGCATCGTTCCACAACACGAGGCCATCATTGGGCTGGCTGGTAACAGCATAATAGGTGGTGTGTTTGTCTAGTGTTTAACGCCGCACTCAGCAATAGTCCAGCTACATGACGGCCGCCAGGTCAGCAAGCCAGACCACCCAAGCATAGTCGCCTTTTACGGCAAGCATGGGTTGCTGAAGACCTGTTCTTACACGGATCTTCACGGGTGATAATAACAATAATCACGGGCAGCGTAGCAAAGCAATAGCGTTGAGATTGCTCTCTGGCATGGTACTCAGCATCATGCTGGTTACTGTGAAACTGCTTAATTGATTCTGCTTTTATTCACGGTGACAGCTATCAATATTTTCAGTAAGCAGGGCATCTCAATACAGGGACACTTGCTGCAACATACCGCGATTGAAAAGAAATATAAGCTCTCTCCTAATGCCATTTATACGAGCATGTATGATTGGTTGGTTGCTTGGTTGGTTGTTTTACGCCGCACCCAGCATTATTCCAGCTTTATGACGGCGGTCTGTAAATAATCCAGTCTGGACCACACAATCCAGAGATTAATATCATGAGCATCGATCCACGCAATTGGGATCGATGACATGCATCAACCAAGTCAGCGAGCCTGGCCACCCAATCCCCTTAGTGGCCTCTTACGACAAGCATAGTCGCCTTTTGCATGTATGCACATGGTCTGTTGTATAGTATGTGGTTCTGTTTGTTGTGTACTAAAGATTGCTGTTCACGCTCCGGAGGTGTCCCCAATCATGTCCGAGACGGGAATAGCTGTAACTCCCGGCTTCCAGCACTTCATGAGTATCGGAGTAAAGGTCAGTTTCATGTTCTGTTAATAACGGAAATTAATGCCAATTATAATCGAAAACAGTAGAACGTTGCGTCTTTTTCTCCATACTTCTATTAGTAAATCTGTAACGGGTGTTTCGGGTATATCTATTCAAATCACATAAAGTGTTGCCACTGTTGTGGTGTCTGTCATTGACGTACATGTATGCTGGTAACACCCAGGATAAGTAACTACAAGCACTGTAGGTGCTATGTTCTTTTCTGTCCATGACATCAACAGTTGTCATTTCAAAAAACCTGTTCAGTTGTATTTGTTATGGATCCTGAAAAGAACATGACATATTGTATTTGTAAATTGTTTGTATATCCTAAGTGTAAAGAACACAGAACTCAAACGTCAACACCAGAGAATAATCAGTCTCGATTATCTTCCAAAAAAGGATTTCATGGGGCTTAAAGGGTAAAATAGTGATGAAACTTTTTGAATGAATCACTGAAAAGCAGTGATGTCACCAGGTGTTCGCAAGAAGAGGAAGCGTTTCCTGCTTTACCGGTAGAACAGGCCACCCAGACAATTTTGATAAAAAAGTAAGTTTTTGGTACTCTACGCCTCATCCAGCAATACTCCTGCCATATGACGGCGGCCTGTAAACGATCGAATCTGGAACGGACAATCAAGTGATTACTATCACCAGCAATGACCCTCGTGTCAAGGCACGACACCACGTAACCAACCAAGCCACCAACATGACCACACGTACCAGCGAGTATGGAGGTCCCCTTTCCTTTTAAAGTAATAAATATGGGATAGCAAAGCGCTTGTTAGGGAGGAAACAAAATATTGGATTGGGTTAGTTAGTTTCCAAGTTCAATTTACCGTATTTCAACATACATTAAGTTACCTAACTCTACATTGAAACATTATATATGTATCTCCTATGTGGAAAGAATACAAAACGCGTTATGTAAATGATATGTAAGATAGATCTGCCCACGGGACCTAAACAAACTGCTATTATTTCGAACTGTAGGTCCACTACCGCGCCGAATCCACACGCCACTGCAAAAACTTATTTCGAAGAATGCAGTCGAATTTGTTAATAGTTTTACGTGATTTTGGAGTTCAGGTAATTGGCTTTTACCAAGAAAGTTATTTCTAAAATCTTTATTTATCTGACTGTCCAAATGAAACAAATGAAAACAGAAGAATGTAAATATACACTTAATTGCATTATGTTGTTAACTGCCGCACAAAATTCACTATTTATTATATAGGCGTATTGGGAAGTCATTCCCCTTGTTCCCACTTTCACATTTACGTACTATTCACAGTATTTAGTTTTTGCTAATATTTTAACTACACATGGAAAAACGTTTGAGTGAAAGGATAAAAAGTGCGCATCTTTGTATTTTCGTCAACTTGTAACGTGCAATGACATTCCATTAATGGTAATCCATTTAAACTGTTCGAGTTGCGAAGTGAACATAAAATCATACTAACAGACATGCTCACACACAAGGACTCTATCCTCAAACATTCTTAGTGAGGTGAAATTGGGTTTAACGTCGCGTCCAAGATTATTGCACTTATATAGCGACGTGCATGCACGTGTATGTGTGTGTGTGGCTGCTTGTACTAGTCCGGACTGATGCCGATTTATAGTGCTAGCTCACTGAGATACCATGCCGCAGTTTAACATGAATACCCCACTCAGACACAGTATACTGACTCCGAGCCGACCAGTCCTTGTTTTAGCCCCTTAATGCCGAGCGCCAGACAAGGTAACAACAAGTACAATCTTTTAACGTCTTTTTGTATGACGCGGCCCGGGATCGAACCCTGGACCATCCGCTCTCCGGGCGGACGCTCTACCACTAGACCACGGAGGCGGTCCAAACATTCTTACCACATGTATGTACAGGTAGCAGTATACTATAATGTGGGCTGCCGATGATGGACTCGCGAACACCTGGTATCATCATTATCTGATAGTGATTCGTTAACACATGTTCACGACATTTAGAATCGTACAATAATATCTGCTTTTATCAGATAGTTCTTATATTTATGGAAAGGGTTCAGTCGCTTTTATTTACGACAGTACAACTAAAAATCGAATCGCAATTTAGAACTATACTATCTTTTATTACTCGAATTTGCAGCATAATTCTTTTGAAAAATAACTATCACAATGAAGACCTGATATGATAACCTGAAGCTACATTGCATGATGTTATTTCTGTATTATGACAGAGGGTAACCGCAAAGGAGGGTGTAGGTGGCTGTGGCGAGAAGCCTCTGAAGTATTTCACAGGGAACTATTCCCGAGATTCATGCAGGAAGGAGTGTCAGATGCGTTTTATCGTCAGCATGTGTAACTGCAAGGACATTTCAAATCCAAGCGATGTTCCACTCTGCAATCCCCAGCAATACCAGGAATGTTTAGTCCCAGCTCTTCAGCAGTATCTGCAGACAGACACTGGGTGTGAAGCTGGATGTCCTGAACCATGTCAATATACCAGGTTCACCACCCAACACTCCAGCTCTCCACTGTCCAGGAACTACATTACTGAGTACACCAAGGCCAAGGGTAAGACTGAAGAGTACTGGCGGAAGAATCTTGTCATTCTGGAGATGTATTTCAGCTCTTTGGCCTACGAAAACATGGAGAAACAGCTGGGGTATGAGATCCTGGACCTGTTCTGTGACATAGGCGGAGCACTGGGGCTGTTGCTTGGTGCCAGCCTACTGACAGTGTTGGAAGTGTTTGATTTCATGTTTATTTCTGTCTTCTCGGGGGTGTTTGAAAAGAACAAAGTTAACTCCAAATAAGCATGGGTGATCGAAATGATAAAAAAACCCCAAAAAACAGGAATAATATGTATGACTGTTTTGATTTGGGCTACAGGTGGCTAATTTACTTATTTATGACAGACAGTGAAGATTTATTTTGTCAATGGACAATAAATGTCTGCCATCTATCATGAAGTGATTTATACTACTCAAAGGTTCATTTATCTTCTTTTGACATGCATGTCAAAAAGGACGTTCCAAATCAGGACATTGGCCTCTGATTGAAGTTTTACAATTTTTAGGTATATCTATAAAAGAGAGCACTCCCTTTCCCAAAACGTATCGTTTCAAATACTGAAATTAGCAACTACAAGCTTAAAATAGCCGAGCTTTTGGTCTCAGAATATTCATTCATATGTCCAAATACGTTTTGGACAAATGATCCTACCAAGAACGACTTTATATATGATAGAGAATCATGTCCGATGGAGCTACCTATTCCTTTTTCGGGTCAACACTTGACATGCCTTTGCATGCATTTGAGTCGTGTGTCTCCGGTGATGCAGGATAAGCTCACCTTTGCGCAAACACCTGCTAGCATCCCCATTTGATACTGATTCTTACGATACCAGTTAAAACTGAACTATTGTTGTACAATGTTGTTATGTTGTGAAATTGTCATTGTATCTGGTTGATGTTTCAATACATTAATTTGTTGCTTCTATCTTGATCTAACTTATCATTTCGAGTAGCGGATTGTGTTTTACTTCATTACAACATTTAGCATGAAAGACCCTTTTGTGAGGTTTTGTGAACATTCCCAGTCAGTGAGACAAGAATAGTCATAAAACGTCATCCCATTTGGCGTAAAAGGCAAAATAGTGGTGGAAACTGTATGAATGGATCACTGAAAAATCAGTGATGACGTTATGGCCAGGTGTTTGCGAAAACAGGTAAGCATGTCCTCCCCTAACGGATGTAGATCCTGATACTGACACAATTTGCATAAACAGTAAGTTCTTGTTGCCTGGAGCCGCACTGCAATACGTCGGCTGTTATGTTTCCGTTTAGAACGTTTAATATTTACAATGGTATTCAATAGGTACACGACAACCAGCGCTTACAACCTACCTAATGGGATATTACCATGTGTAAATACTTCACCGTGAGAGCTAGTTACCTCAATAAATGATATTTGGACAGGTCTACGTGATGTTTTTATTACTTTTCGCGTGTAACATGGGAGCAAATAAACTGGACAGGTCACGCACCAGGTGATAATAGCTAATGTACAATGGAGTTTATTCAGGTGTATCAGTGTCTTCAACTTACGTCAAACTGAGAATTGTTCAAATGTGCGTTCAACCCAACTAACACAGTCTTGAGTCTTGATGTAAGAGAGCTTACATGAAGAAAGATACAGTAGAAGTGAAACACATTCAGAAGAAGATCAATCTGATTTATTATGCGTATTTAATGCATTTAATTATTTTATATATCCATCATAGTTCATTGTCTAGTGTATGTACCTTAAACGTGTTGTGTATACTTGTAACGTGATATGTGATGTATATTATGATTTCAAGTATTATTTTTTTTATTGCTTAAAATAATAAAATGCAGCAAAGGGTTATGTGATCTTGGCACAGTAAGGCTATTTAGGCTCATCGTCAGCTCAGGGCCCTTGCCCCCTCTACGCGCAGTCCAGCCAGCGAATGTTCTTCCCCCAGGAAACGCTGCCTAGTCGAATCCACCCAGAACGTTTCGGAGAATGTGCACCTTCTGCATACCCAGATTGTCAGAAGGGCTGTATTTCTGGCAGCAACCCCGGGTACTCTCCCAATGTCAGTCAACAGGCTTGGATGCAAGAGTGACATTTCGTTAGCGAGGTCCGCGTGTTTGCCATGCTCTTGTCAATCACATTCGTGTCAAAAGGGACAGAGAATTGGATTTATAAAAAAAGGAGAAGATCTGGTTTGTTGGTCTGGATAGTTCTGAGACTGTATACGGGCCTATTCCAAATAATTGTATATGTATCATTTTCAATGACGCTCTGACATATCCTGGGTCGTACCATGGATGGACCTCTGTGTCAAACTACAAGCATTGCGAAGACGGTAAAGAAAGGATCGAGCCACGATGGTATGTTTGTGCCAAAGATGGGCATCCACTGACAATGTGTCGGACGGTCCCATCAAATTCATCACATAATAAACATTTCATATCAACATTTTGATGCAAAATCACACATTGACGGTTTTGAGTGGGAAGTGACTGGTCCCGAGCCGCAAACATTTGGTTCACTTTTCTGACCATGCGACTTCATCCAAGTGAAGGACTCTGTTGGGTTGCTGATCCTCTCAACACACTGCACATAAACTCGGTAGTGGTCGTTCAGAAAGCCTCTCTCAGAAGAACTGATTCTGGGCCGATTTGATATGACACTTGGCTTGCTTGACAAGCATATCTGTACCGTTCAGCAGTACAGTACCATGAACAAAATCAACATTCTTATTTAGATTTAGCAATCAACCTCCAACTTAGTATATATGACTGGACGGTGTGTGATGACACGGATAATTGAAAATGACATCAGTTTTGTCACTGACGCCACACGTCTACCATAGAAAGGTTGGTAGGTTCACGAAGGACCTTTTGAGCAAATGTCGTATGATTCTCTTTGAATTCTACGTCGAGAAGGCATGCTCGATTGATGTCACAATCATCTGACGTCACTAATATATCTACGAGTAAAGCTGTTTAACTGTACGTTTTACATTTAAGTCACTGTTTATTACTGTTTACAAACTGAAAAGTTGGAAAAATGATTTTGGATAATAAAGTGATATTCACCCTTGTGTCGGAAAGCCTTGGAGTTTTAAAGTGTTGTTAAATTGTGTTTATGCATTTGGTATCGAAGGACACTCAGGTGGGATTCTCTTTGTATTGGAGTGAGTGAGTGAGTTTGGTTTAACGCCGCTTTTAACAGTATTCCAGTTATATCGCGGCGTGTCAGCTTAATGTGGGGGGAAAGCCCGAAGTGATGCAGGTCTCAGACGTTTATCACTTCGGTGAAACCCACGAACACGGGTATGGTGCTGACAAACCTAGAAACATAATCGGGGCGAACCGGGATTCGAACCCACAATCATAGGTATCTGACGTGCCCAATGGACGCAACTCTGCACAGCGAATCGCGGCGCCTTAGACGACTTGGCCACCCGTGCCCCTCTTTGTATTGGAACTGACATGGTGAGCTTTAGACCATTACAGGCATGTGGGCCTTTCCATAGAACAATAGTCCACCAACCCGTTTTCTTAATAAATGAGTAGCTCCGTGTGTTAGTAAACAGCAGTCAGCTTAGACAATTTAGGCAAATATAATCATGAACACGTGAAGAAGAGATGGTGAAAAAATCTTCTTATCTGTAAAACTCATTTTGATCTACTTATCTGTAAAACTCATTTTGAAGCTTTGAACAACCGGATATCGCTGAAGATCTTATCTCACAAAAATACTTATGACATACGTAAGACAATGGCTTCAAAATAATGGTTGTTTGCAAACATTTCAAATTCCTCTCCATGTTATTAGACGTAAATGCCTTCTGACATTATCTAGTGTGGTCTAGACTATTATTCACAGTTCGTCGACATATAGATGTATTTGGAGAATTGCTGACTGCCACGTTAAACCAAATCCCACCACCCACTTACTCTCTTTCCATGCATACACACTTTGGAAAGTTGGAAAATGTCAATGCCTAAAGCAATACAACGTTCTGGTAGCGTGTAAATACATTAATGGGCGATGGAGCTAGCCTAATGGCTTTGAACAAACAAGTATTGTTCAGAAGGTGCAGAAGGGTTCATCGCTATCTGTAAAGTCCTTTTTGTCAAGTGTTCAGTTAACAGGCTCTATGTGATGCAATGTTCGTTTTATAGTATGTTTGAATTATAAAGAATTGTGCTGTTTATAAAAGCTAGCGCTACAAGCAGGTTTAGATCGAGTTATGTGATGACAACAATTTATAAGCATCTTGAATGTGATATTTAAAGAACAAGCTACAAAAATATAAACTAACATTGTGATTGGCGTTGATAAGATTGGTGGATAAGTACTCACCACATTGTAATGTTATTATAATATGAACTAATAACACCTTTACGTTGATATCACGTGATGATTAACCTGTCTGTGGGATTTTCACCATAATGGAATAAAACCTCACCCAGAAAGTGTGAGTCCAGTCACATTTGAAGTGCCTGTTGGTCTATGGTGTCAAAAGCCGCTGAGAGATCAAGGAGGACTAAAAGTGGTACCTTTCCATTATTAACATCTCTCTGAAGGTCGTTAGCAACACGAAGCAAAGCAGTAAAGCAGTCTCTTTTAGCAGTCAGATCGTGTCCACCAATATGCTTCAGCGATTGTTTATTGACAGCCTTTTCAAGGACCTCAGACATGAAAGGCAGGTTTGACACAGGTCGATATCATATCTTTACTGTCCAACTTGTGCTTCTTAATCATTAGTCGAACAACAACATCAACATCTTCAGACTTGTGTTTACTGTCCGTAAAATCCAAACAGAAATACTAACAATTCATAAACATTATGTTACATATGGATTGTCTAATTTAATATCAACAGTGCAAATCACATTAGATAAGCGATATTATCAAAGCCGAATAATGAAATGTATATACACCACATACCATGCATAAAGCAACGCCATATTATAAAGGCTCGCCAGCCAAGCGATATAACTGCATCGAACAATGCGCAAATGAAGCAAAACTGTATTTTAAGGTTCGCCAGCCCAGCAATAGCATTGGTTCCAGCAGTATTCCTTACCACCATATGTGCACTCCATATCACCGCTCATCTGCAAAAAGGAAATATATTAAAATCACGAAAAACAAGGTATTGTTTCTAAAATGCATCAAATATCTTTAAGAAAAAGGTTTGAGGCCATGCATACAAAGTGAACGAGAGCGAGCGAGATAGAACCCTTTACATGTATATACACGCAAAATCACACCACCCAGTAGCATATAATCACCTTGTTTAGTGACATACCGCTGGGAGAGTAAAAATAGTTCTAATTGTCCTCCACACACTGATTCAAGAAATAACAATTATTTTTGTAACTCTCTGTGTTATACATGGCCTAGATGTACAACGAATTTATCTTA